TTTGCTCGATTATGGAATATTTACCATAAATTATCGTGTTTTCCAAGACGCAATTGCCGCTTAGAATGTTAGCTTTTTGTCGGTTCTTACCAGTTTTTGTTTTCCTTTTCATTTGTTGCCTTTTGGTGGAACATGAAACCGTTATACAATAAGTGTGTGGGCGGTGGGTAGGAGGTGTTAGGCGTAAGGTGTGAGTTGGTGGGTGCTGGTGTTGTTTAGCGGGATTGGGCATTCACTAATCGCGTGTTGCCTTTGCCGCCATCTCTTCACCCTCCCCAACATTTTATTTGTTTCGCCTCTCCGTTGGTTTTTCCTTTGACTTTACATTCCCACCCGCCCCCATAATGATTCTCCATAGCTGGCTGGCGCCTCTATCTTTGGCTATTCACCATTTCACCGCTCTTTGTGTGCCATTATTTCCCTTTGTTGCTGCCTCATTGTCTCGGTTTATCGATTGGCCAGGCAAATTGCATTTAAACACAGCAGCGAACGCATTAATAGTAACACTTGTTACTTTATTCTAAAATCATGTTTATTAAGATTATCTCTTATAATTATTATTAATTATATTCCATTTAGAAAATTATAGTAGCTACTTAATTACTAATGGAACATTTGTTATCTGTTAAATATGGATAGACACTGGAGTCTGTTTGTATTCAGTTTTAATCTTTGTTGTTCTCAAACAAAATGGGGATAAATAGGAATAAAACCAGATTTTAAAGAGTGTCAACAAAGGAAAGATATTACGATCAGCATTCTTCGCTTTGTTTCTTCTCCTTCACAACCAGTTTAAGGTGGTTTATCGTTATCGCTATCGCTAAAATCGGAGCCAGCTGTTGCTATCGGAGTCATATGCCTGCCTTTGGTCGTTGATCGCCACTGGTGTGATGTGATGATGATGATGTGCGGTCTGTCATGGGTTAATTGCCTTGGTCAGCTCTAATTATTGATTGCCGCATCGGTCATTAGCAGGAGATAGCGATAACAGTGCACAAGCTGCTTCTTGGGCTTCATTTTTTATTTATTTTTTATTATTTGTTTCCTATTTTTATTTATATTTGTATCACTTTTTTTTAATATATAAATATTTTCATACCGTGCCTCCTGCAGTGCCCACTCTTCGTTGGTTCTTTGTATTCTTTCGGTATCCTTGAGTCTTTGGCAAATAGAAGCGCAAATTTCCTGCGGCACGTTCTGCACGTCCCCCTCCCTGCCGTTCTTCTTTCCTCTTGCCGTTTCTTTTCTTTTTTTTTTCGACATAAATGAAATGCAAATATTTTAGTGTTTCTTTGTTTTTCCCCCCATAAAATTATATTCTATGCTCTCGTAATTGTACTTTCACTTTCACTGGGTTTTTTCTGCTGGCGGCCAGCAGATGGCGCTGCATTCACAGCAACAGGCGGCGTCGGGACGGCGGAATTGAATCGAGAAAAAGTGCGTTCTCTGATATATTTTTTCGCCTCCCTGCATTTGGGTCTTTATTTTTAGTGCATTCTCTTTTCGGTTTATTTGCTGTTTTTCATTTCACTTTCGATGCCGCCGTCTCGTAATAGTATTTTTAGTTTCAACTAGGTTTCATAGCCTAGACCCAAAAAAAAACTTAAAAAAATAGCACGGACGGAACGAGTCGGAATCTTGTGAAACACGACAAATGTTGACAATCTCCTACGACATCAGCGTGAATCAATAATTCCCTGCTGTAAAAATAGCCAGGAAAACATGTCTTGGGGCAATTACATCGTTAATACTACGGAAAATGTCAGGGCGCATTATCGACATGCAAGTTCAAGACCAAACAAACAACCAAGAACCGAGAGACCCAAAGGCCCCCGTCTTCCCCAGTTCCCCGATTCCCAGACTTTCAGAGGGGCCCGCCTCCTCAACTCAGAAGCCCAAGCACTTAAGCCCGGCCCCTGCTCATTTGCTATTCAAATTGGAGTCGACTCGAAACTCGATCCCCGGCACGTGGAGAACAGTGCAAGTTTCCGAACCCGGCGCCAAATGAACATTTTATACGACAAATAATAGCTATACGAGAATGTGAAATGACCAAGAAAGTCTAAGAAATACTCTTTGAAATGATCGGATATATGAAAATATCTTGATTATTTGACTTTTGCTGAGTGGGAAATTTCCTTAGGGGCGTCTTTCATATGTCAATAGAATAGCCCAACTTTACTATTTGGCTGAAAAGCCCTCATTCCTGAAAAATAAGCAATATATTTTATGAAACAATATAATCCAGTCTTATCCTAAAACCTGTAGTGGCCTCTTCAAAGGCAGGGAAAAAGTAATAACTTTTAGACGTTATAAATTAGAGAAGAGAAAGAAAATAATGGGGTTGCGTCTAGTCTAAGCTCAATGTCAAGTCGATAAAAATAAAAGCAAATACCGCAGTGGTGGTAAGAAAAAGGGTTGCTTCGACTAGCGTTTAAGGTCTATACTATAATAATCGTCAAGGTAAAATGTCAGCTAAGACGAAAGTCAAAGTCAAAGTCGCGCATGGGTTAACCAAAGAAAGTTTGAAAAAGTTGATGGAGGGCAACACGACACAACACGAAAGGGCTGGGAAATTGTTTAGCGAGATGATTTAAAATTCTGTTTAGTTGGTTGAGCAGGCACAAAGAAAGGTGAAAGGGCGTGGTTTATTGACATGTTTACCTGCAAGTCATATTTTGCGACGCATTTCGATAATGATTAGTTAGTTAGTTAGTTAATTAGTTGTCCTATCTGTTCTTCTACCTGGACTTCTACTACAAATATTCATTCTATTTGTGATTTTAATTATATGCCATTTTTACCTGAAATCAATTTAGTTAAAGAATTGACAGGATGTAACAGGCAGCACACTGTAGATCTTGGTAAATCCTCTTAGTTATGATGTGCAAGCAGCACCCTTTAGCCCATGGAACACCCTGTTGGATAAGGTGCACAGGGATCAACAGGGTGATCAGGCAAGGCCCTGTTGCTCTTTTTTCATTATTTTATTCGGTAAATTTGTAATAGCTACCACCTTAATGTTACGTTTCTTAAGGAAAACAAATTTAAGGGACAAGCTATGCATGGAGTGAACACCCTGTGTGAGGGGAATATGGCTTAGTTCGCCCTGTTGGTTCAACCCCCAGTAGTTAGTTTTGCTTCTTCTTCATTATTATTTTCCTTTTCCTTTGTTTTTGCGACATTGCATGACCTAACCAACTAAGCCAACAAACTGACCTAAGCACCCTCCGTAATGCCCCATTCTGGGCCTCCCTTCCCCAGCCACTTTACCACACTTGTCATCGTTGGAAAACCGCTTTCAACCTGAAACCGTATATGGGGAATGGAAAGGGACAGACGGAGACAGAGAGACCCGGCGACTCATGCAATAATTGTATTGTTGCCTTTATGGGTCTCGTCTTTGGTCTATTGCGCACTGTCGTCTGCTGACCATAATATGTGTGTGTTCTATTTCTTTTTTTATGTTTACCTTCTATACGTTTAGTCTCTATACGTTTACCGTTGTTCTTTAGGTGGAACTTTTGGCTTCTTTCATTTTGTTTGAATCAATTTGCCATGCGGACACTCCTTTGCGTTAATGTGTCGTTGTCCTCGAAATCGCGTTCCCCTCGAATCACCTTTCATTCTCCCATGTTCATTCCCCTCTTCTTTTGCCGCGTTCCATAGTCCCGCATTATCCTGTTTGGATTCAATTAGTGTCGGTGGGGGAAAATGCAAAGTACACACTACCGCAGTCGGTAAATAGTACTAACATTAATTCGACGTCGCAAATTATATTGCTTGCTGCCACTGGAAATGTTCCTTCATTTGAATTTATTTATTTAATAAGTATTGGGAATTTTTAATAAATTTACTGAAATGATTATATTACATCAAAGGTTACAAAGATTGTAAGCCTTTTTCATATTGTTTTAACGGTATTTTCGGTGTAGTTCCATTTAAGCCTGGAGCTTATTTTTAGCCGATCTGCTGTTTTTGGCGGTTGCTTAATTTATATTTGTTGACTTTAACCACCTTCGCACTTTAACGCTCTTGATAAATGTGTGCAGTTGTAAATTAAGCTTAAAAAAAAAAACAAAAATAAAACAACGCTGCCATATGCATAAATAAATAAAACAGGCTACGACCCTATTGTTTTTTTTTTATTATTTTTGTTTTTGTATATTTTTGTGGCCGATAAAAAGCCATTTTAAAGTGCTGATAAGATTAAGGCAAGAAGAAGCATGAGGAACAGGCTACCGAATCTTATCAGTCAGCAAGCAGCAGGCATTGCCATCTCTTTTCCGCCCGCGTGCACTCCAGAAACTGCAGCTTTTCCATTCCATTCCGCCACGTTCCGGCACAGGCGTTCTTTACGAGGCATTATGTTTCAGTTCCAAAGCCGCAAAAGCGTCGACGCATTCTGCTCAGTCGCATCGCTTGCTCCCTCTCTTGCGTAGCGTTCCATTGCCGTTCGTTCCGCTGACCCGCTGCGACGCCGTGCGTCAGCGATAATAACTTTTGGAACTCTGGTGTGCTCTGTGTTTCTATCCCTCCGTTTCTGTGCCGCCACCGCTGTTTCAGTTTCGGTTTCAGTTTCGGTTTCGTTTCCCCAGTTTCTCGGTTTCTCGGCTTCTTGCCTTCCGAGTTCTCAGTTCATTCGCAACCTCAAACGCGGCCGCACATGTTGCACGCAAAAATATACAAATAAATAAATAAAACTGAAGAAAGCAGACGGACAGACAGTAAAGCCAAAATAGCGAAATATCCAATCTGAGGAAAAGCCCTCTCCCTGACATCTCTCTCTTTTGCTTCATGCGCGGTGTGTGCTTTTTGTTTTCCTTTTTTTTTTGGGTGTCAAAAAATAACAAAATAAAAATAAGATACGCAAAATGCTGAGCTAAATTTAGCCAGGTCCAAAGAAAAACGAAATGTTTGAAAATGCAGCAAAAACGGCAACAACGGCGGCTGTTGTTTAAAAACCAGCACTAATTTATTTTCAATTTAAACGAGAGCAGGCAATGTGACTGTGAAGCGCCAAAAAGCACGAAAAATCAACGCTAAAAACGCTTAAAAAACGCATTGGAGTGAAACGATCCAGAAAACAATTAAATAAAACGAAAAAAAAACAATAACAACAAAAAACTGTGCCTTTGGGACACTTGATAATAACTTGCTGACAAAAAATACTCTAGCGAAAATAGTAGAGTATTAAAAAAGGGTAATTAAAAACCTGATGGCAACAACAACAACGGCAGCGACAGCAGCAGGCGCTGCGCCAGCGCTAAATCTACTGTCCACCACCCAAAACACAACGCTATTCAACAACAACAACAATAAAATTAATAATTGTAGTAGCAATAACAACAATAACAGCAATGTCGTCGTGATTAGCCAGCCCATCAAGATACCGCTGAGCGAGCGCTTCTCGTCACAGACCTCCACGGGATCGGCGGACAGCGGAGTAATTGTTTCCAGTGCATCGCAGCAGCAGTTGCAGCAGCTGCAGCTACCTCCGCCGCGCAGCAGCAGCGGCTCCCTGAGTCTGGCTCAGGCGCCCCCCGGTGGCAAGTGGCGCCAACAGCAACAGCAGCAGCATCAGCGACAGCAACTATTGCTCAGCCAAGATAGCGGCATCGAGAATGGAGGAGGAGGAGGTGGAACGGGAGCCACGCGCAAGAAGCCAGCCAAGGATCACGCGGCAGCCACCTCCAACACATCCTCCTCGGTCGCCTCCAAGGAGTCGGGTCAATCGAGTAGCGAAAGCCTCGGCAGCAACTGCTCGGAGATCAATCCGGAGGAGACGCCCCTGGAGACTCGCCGTCGAGTGCGCGCCTCCTCCGCCCTGGAGCTGAGCAGCAGCGGCAGCACGGATCATCATAATCCGCAGGGTAGCGGCGTCGGCAGTGCAAACATCCTGCGCAGTCGCATCAAGTACAAGAGCACAAACAGCACTGGCACCCAGGGATTCGATGTGGAGGATCGCATCGATGAGGTGGACATTTGTGACGACGATGATGATGACGACGATGTAGTCGATGTTGATGATGAAGAGGATGATGGCGTCAACGTGGACGACGTTGAGGAGGCGGACAACCAATCGGACAGCCAGTCGGGCATCATCATAAACCTAAAAAGTAGCAGCAACCAAGCGACAGAGGAGGCGTTGAAGCTGAAGGAGAAGCTGGAGGAGAAGGAACAGCAGAAGCAGGAGAGTAGCTCTAGGCTCCTGCCACCGGATCAGGCCCAACTGACGGTGGCAGCTGCCCTGGCCCGGCGACGGGATGCCAAGAGCCTGGCCACCGACGGGCAGATCTACTTTCCGCTGCTCAAGATCAGCGAGGACTCGCACATCGACTCGAAGCTGATCAACCGCAAGGACGGGCTGCAGGACACGATGTATTACTTGGACGAGTTCGGCAGCCCGAAGCTGCGCGAGAAGTTCGCACGAAAGCAGAAGCAGCTGCTGGCCAAGCAACAGAAGCAGCTGATGAAGCGCGAGAGGCGGAGCGAGGAGCAGCGCAAGAAGCGCAACACCACCGTCGCCTCCAATCTGGCGGCCAGCGGGGCCGTGGACGATAGTATGACCAAAGAGGATGAACCGCACTGTGATACTAGCTCTAAGAGCAAACATAACTCTGTACCCAATCCCCCAACCACCATTTATCATAATCATCATCTCGTGGTGGACGTGGAGGAGGACGTGGACGCCGGCGCAGATGAGGCCGTGAAGATGCGCCGTCATAGCCACGACAACCACTATGACAGAATACCCAGCACCCGCCCCAAGAACGATCACCAGTCGCAGGACACCGCCGCAGAGGACATCGAGCAGGGAGCCGAGCCCAATCTCGAGGGAGACGCTGACGGTGACAGCGACGAGAGTGGCGAGAATGTTAAGACTGCCAAATTGGCCAGAACACAGTCCTGCGTCAGTTGGACCAAAGTGGTGCAAAAGTTCAAGAACATTTTAGGTAATCATCCCCAGCACACCTGCTTTAATCAGTTTTCAAAATAATGCAGAAATTGATAAAAGATATTGGGGAATCGGTTTCTGGAATCAAAATCTAGATATTTTATGACCAATGCAAGGCGGTAATACTGATCAGATATTAAGTAAAAGTCTGATAAGAGATACCTAATAATTTATCAGTTGCTCTAATAACTATTTACTAAAGATTTTATTTTTTAAAAACTTCATAAATTATATATAATGGTTAAGAATTAAATCAATTTATATTCAATCACTGTGGCAAATTATATATTAGGTTGGCGTAATTTTTTAAGCCATTAACCACAAGAGATTTTAATATAATTGTATATAATTTTTAGCTGTTACACATACCATATTCAAGGCCACATCAATTGGGCCTAAATGTATCTACGAAAGATAATTGACTTTAAATTATAAAATAAGCTAAGACAGATTAACTTTGTGGAGTCAAAGTATAGTGCATAATGTTTTTACCTACCATATAACCCTGATTTTCTAAAAATGTTTCATTCTTTCTCTTATTTTTTTAGGTAAGTGTTGAACGAATGGAAACAATTCCTCATAACTCCCTCCTCCTGATGACTATCGGGTGAGATTGTTCTATGTACACACACACATATACAAAGACTTTTATATGTAGATAAGTATTATTATTATGATTCTTTGGGGTAAATACATATAAATGTTTATATGACGATGGAAAATTTTCGGGGATTTAATGGAAAGTGATAAGTGATAAGTAAAACGTCTGTGTGTGAAAATTCTTGATTGGTCTATGAATGAAATTATAGAAGGATGATGATAATGACAATTGTCTACGTCTACTTCGTGGAAAATTATAAATTTGTGGGATTTATTATGGGAATATATGAATATATACAAGTCTATGTGTATATAGGTCGTTGAACGAGTGCACTTTTCTGATAGCTTTGTCAAGTTTTTTCCTCTTCCCCTTCTTGTGTGATAAAACAAAAGCGAAAATATATACACCAGAGCGGAAATGTTCAGGGATCTCTCTCTGTTTATTGCCCATATAAAAGGCGATCTTGTCTTTATTGTGAAAAGGCAGGCGTAGATAAGGGAAATGGGAATTTTCTCTACAACAGGCCATATTTCTCAGTTGTTACATTTTCCTTGGTTGGTTGATAAGAGAGAAGGAGATGGAGCAGCAGCACTGATTTATGCCAGCAGCTGATGTTGATTCTTTCTCGTACTTTACACATTATTCTTTATGACTGGCAAACTTTGGATTATAAATATAATGTATATAAAGTATATATACACTTAATACGTGTCTGATAGTACAAAAGAGACTACATTGCTTAATACTAAGTACGCAAAAAGTGACAATCCAAAATCAGGGAAATGAGTTTACCAAAAATTTAACCACAATTGGGTAAATAATTATGCAATTTGTAGAGTAATTTTGATACTTGTATTTGTACACCTAGTAGGGTTTCAATTTCACATTCTTACATATTTAATTATTACGTATGATATACTGTTTACTGTAGGCTGTTGTTGCATCATTTTGGAATCTTGTACCGCGGCAGTTTAGCGAAGCGTTAATAACGCTGCTGTGTGAAATATAACAAAGCCCTTGCATTACGATTTTATTTTTACTTTATGGGCACAAAGGCACTGTGTCACAGCGTGCTTGACACCTACTATGTAGTCTCAGTCCCAGTCCCAGTCCCTATCCCACCCATCAGCTCATCTGACAACACAGCTTCCCAACTTCTCAAGTTGCCGTCTCAGTCTCCATCCGGCCAGAGTCGTATAAATGATTTGCAGCTTTCGCAGATGCTGAGTGATAAGAATGTGGCTGACGGAGCCTTTTGGCTGATAATGGGGCCTATATAGAGAGCAAAATCAAGCGGCAAACGGGAGATTTACCAAAAATTACAATATTTTGTATCTTTACTGGAATTTTTATAAAATATTTAAATTGCTTTTAAAAACTAAAGTTTCTAAACCAAGGGTGCTATTAAATCTATAATGGTGTATATATAAACCTTTAACTATCCCTCTGTAAGGCCTAGTTAAAGTGATCTTAGATTAGAACAGTTAAAATCAAGTGGTTATATTTCTTACACTCTATTATTATATATATACACACCTATGGGGGAGTGAAAACCAAATCTAGATCCGAATTGGGGATTTGGGAGCAGAGATTACCCGGTCTTAGTTGTTGTTGCTGTCATTCCGCGCGACAATCACGCGCTTCTCGTCTCATTCAACGGATGACAGGGCGAAAAAAAAACTTTTCCAAAAATATCAAAGCCAGCAAAACATACTACATATATTGAACTCGTGAAATGATTTCTTTTGCGTTCACCAGAATATATGTATTTAAATACATGAGTATATATATATAATATATATATATATATAGACTTATATGCGTATTCATTAAATTTGTGACCAAAATGGAGGCGTGTCTCTCCTCGCTAAGCTTGTTGATGTTGATTTTTTTTATTCTTCTTCTGGTCGTGTGTTGTTTTGCAACCTCCTCCCCTTTTCCTGCCCTGCCTTAATTTTATTTTTTAGCCATTGATTTGAGGCGAAAAAAATATGTTTTTTTCTTGGCTTTGCTGGGGGGGTTGGGAGAGATAACGAGGATTTCGATTTCGGTTTCGTTTTCGAAGAAGCGATGGCAACAGCAGGCTCATCAGTAGCTGTTTTATTGTATTTTGTTTTACTATTTAATAAAAGACACAGCCTCAGCTGTTGCTGTGCAAAATTGTATGATCAAGTTGTTAAGGGAAAAAATCCCTCAAAAAATTCTTTTTAAAAAGTGGAAAAAGCACAGAGAGCAACCTGTTGTGTTGCATCTACACTACATTTTCGAATTGTTGAATAATAAATTGTGTATAAATTATAAACATTTAATATCTCTATGCCTTTTGGTATATTTTTGGATGCAAAAAAACGAAAGAGAGACGAAAATTGTATGTGAGGAATTTAAAAGGTTTTCGCTTTTTGTTTTCTTTCTTTCTTGTTTTGTGCTTTTAGAGTGGAAATAATTAAACGGTTTATAAATAGTTCATAATCTTTATTTTGCATCTATCGACTGCTAGATGGGCCAATAGCAGGTTTCACTGTACTCTGCCGATGGAGAGATCCACTGAGTCACATGTTGTTTTTTAATGTGCCTGCCTTTGCTCAGCTGTTTTTTCCATTGATGTTTTTGCTTTTGCCTTTGCTTTTATTTTATTTTATTTTCCTTTTTTTTTTTTTAGCAACTTGAATTTAGCTACACGCTTGGCTTATAGTTTAAACAGCTGCGATTTGAAGAGTTTGGTGGGTCATCGTCTCTGTTTTCTCTTTGTTTCTCTCTTTTTATCGATTTCTCTTATGCAAAAAATGGCTTCCCTTGGGCTTTGTTTTTTGTTTTTTTTAACAACAAATTCTCTGCCTTTGCTTGATTTTATTTTGCATTTTTGCTGTGTAGTTCTCAGCACTTTGCTGGCTTCTTGGCGAGAGATACCAGGCTGCCACCTAAAAGTATGCTTCAGCAGGTGCATACTTTTAGAAAATCATACATATAGACCTCCTCTTCTTGTGTGCTGCTTTGGCGGTGATAATGCTGCCAAGAGTGATAATGGCTGCAGATCGCAGATCCGAATGATATTGCCAAGAGACTGCCTGCATCTCGTGATCTTCGCCCGCGTGGTGTCGTCATCTGGCCTGGCCAACCCTTTTCCCCAACCCAAAAATAAAAAAAATCACTCGTTGATCGACAGGTAGCGACGTTAGCCAAAGAAAATAAAATGAAATCAATTTTAATTTAATTTCAATTTGAATTAAATAAACATCTTTGCTGGTATGTGTGCGTATATGTATTTTTTAATTGCCAGCAGAGCAGCGAGCAATGCAAGGTGCAAAAGGTGAGGAATTTTGTGCTGATTTAGCTAGGGAAAAATTTTATTAATGCAATTATAAGGGCATACTTTTCGTATTTTAATAAGCTTGCTAAAGGGGTTTTTTAGTTTTTCTAAAACATACTTTCATATATTACAAATCAGGGTTAACTAAAGTAAAACACATGTTTATTTCAAGGACCTACCCCTATATACTATATATCATTGATTCCAAAAGCTCGATTACTCTGTTTAAATTATAGGTTCTGGTATATCCATTTGTTTTGAATGAGTTTCTAGGGCTCGGAATAGATATTTCATGGAATTTGAATTTGGAATATAGGGGGGTAGAAGAGGGTGGTTGTTGTGTTCTGTTCTGTTAGGTGCTGTGTGTGTGTGGGCGTGGGTTGTGTTTAATTTTAGCCGAAAGAGTTTTGTTAATTTGCTTTTGGCACGGCTCTGGCCGAGAAGCGATGACTCCATACGGCCATATAGAGGCATATAGAGGATAGGTGTTTTTTTTTCTGATAGATTCAATGATTTGGCCTGTTTTCTTTTATTGCACTCTATCTCCCGTCTTTGCTGTTTTCCTTTGCCACCCCTTCTGGGTGTCCAACACCCCCAATTGCAACCCCTTTTAGCGTGGCCAAGTGGTGCCAACTGCTTGTATATCGATTAGTTTCCGTCGACCGTTGGCGGCGGCACAACAAATTGCTTTCCCATTTGGACAGCTCCATGTGTCCCTCCCACCGCCCCTTCTCCTCCGTCTCCTTCTCTTCTTTTCGGTGCAGTTTTTCAATGTTTGTTCAAGGATGGAGAGAGGTGTGAGTGTGTGTTGTGTAGCCTATTGATAATTTGATTGATTTAGCCGCGCGTAGCTCTGAATAAATTTAATTGATTAATGTGAGACTAGGAGAGCTAAAATAGGAACGATGTACACCTGATGATCAAATCGATAAACGCAAATGGAATTGCGCGTAAAAGCCAGAGGCGAAAGAGTTTGTAGAGAGAATATGCTAAGATGTGTCTTTAGATTAGTTGTGAAATTCCTTAATTATCGAAGCTAATCGATATTTATAAGCTAGCAACTTCAGGGAGTATAAATGTAGATTAGTTAAATAATTCCACAAACTATCGAATCAATTCGATTCACTATTTAAGTTTGAATTTGTATGAAGAGTGAATGTGGGTTTATAAATATAAATTAGTTTCAAAATTCGAGGTAATCGATACTTACAAACTATTTACTTTATGGACGGTGGTTGGAATTAATCGATATACAAAATTGGTTAAAATTATATATTTTTGTATAGTAAGTGGCATCTAGTAAATGGTAAATTGTAATCTTAGAATTTACAAAAAGGCATATCTAACCATCTCTCGGTATGTTCTCCTTTTTTTTTTTTTTTTTTTTTTGTGAGGCAATGAGAAACAATGTCAGTGCCAGAAGCGGGTTAAGTCTACTTGGCCTTTTTCGATTTTATTTCATTAAATTTGTTGTTCTTCTTTTAATTTTTGTGGCAACTCTTTTAAATTGGTTCGTTAAAATAAAACTAAATTTGATTACGACTCTTTGGCTGCGTATATGCACAATACATAATATCCTTTGATTTGTATTGCTCTTCTTCGGCGCCCTTTCTTTGGGTTCTTCTCATTTTTCTGGTTCTTTGCTCTTCGCACTGCTCTGCTCAGCCTCTGCCTCTTTCTCCCGATCGCATTGAACTGTCAGTTGTCAGTCGCAAAAAGGTCGTAGCACACAAAAAAAAGATAGAATAGAAAAGCAAAGGGGGCGGCATGTGGCACGCTGCGCCATTAAGGGGGCGTGGCTGTCGCATGCTTGACCACGCTTGGCTGCGACTGTCTGTCTTCTGTCTTTTGGGTCTATCTTCCCTGGCCTTGCAGTCCGCAATTTCTCTGCAATTAAAAATATTTAACCCCAAAAATCGCAACAAATTGCTCAAAATAATTATCAAATATTTGATTATTTATTATTTATGTTTTCCTTTGGCATTTGGAAGCGATTTAAAACGCGCCAAACTCGCATGCGTTGGGGCTTACAAACGATCGTGAATTTCACGTGTATTGTGGATTGTGAATGTGGATTGTGAATGTGGATTGTGAATGTGGATTGTGAATGTGGATCGCAAGCGATCAAACTTCGGCTGGCATTCGGGTGCCACTTAGTGTCGCCAAATATCTAGCTACAAAGAGTAGCTTAATTACTAAAAAAAAAATACTTAAAAAATAAATATAAATTAAATTAAATATTGGGTAAATTATATCGTAAAGATGTAGCTTAATATTAAGTTATTCTTAATTATTTTCCATTTTTTTTTTCTTTTTATATTTTTTATTTCCTTGTTTCTTCTTTATTTATCTTATTTTTTTGTAGTAAATAGTTTTGAAAAGTAAATAAAAATAATAATGGAAAGACAACAACAAATATATTACTTTCCAGCCTCGTCTCTATTTTTTCTTTTACAAACTAATTAAATATACATGCTAAAATGGCATCACGGTCGCCATCTTCGTGCTCCTTCGTGCATCTTCGCACCTTTTCGTGTCTTTGGCTTCCGATCGTCGTCCTCTGTTTTTTGCATTCTTTTTGGCCAATTGTGCAACGGAGGCTCGAGCGATCAGATCGTTGGGATCAAGCGGATTTCCCTCTCTGTTTTTATTCTTAAAACAAAATAAAAAAAAGTTAAAATTACCGAAAATCAATTAAAAAACTCGCTGCTAAATCGCTTAATCGAAGACTGTGCTATTTTTTTTTTTTTTAGTTTATCATTTAATTGTTGTAATTTGTGTGATATATATATTTATTTTGTTGCTATTGTTGTTGCTGTGCCGCGTGCTTGCACTTTTCTCAACTTTTTATTTTTATTGGTTATTGCCTCTTGGCTGTTGGATATTGGCTATTTGAAGATCGATCAGTCGTCCGATTGATCTCGAGAAACGTCAAAGGAACCGAAAATAAAACTAGGCCACAGCAGCATCAGCACCAGCACCAACACCCGCTAGCTGGCCGGGCACAGTGGTTCGGTGTTGCTCTGGTTCGGTGGTGCAGGCTCCGGCTCGACTCCGCCGGCAGTCTCAAGGTGGATAGGTCACAGGTTGCGGTGCCCGTGGCGGTGCCGCGTGGTGTCCGAAAGGTGGTGCGCGTTGTCCGCAAGAAGAAACGGCCGTCGATCGGATCCGTCAACAACAACGAGGCCAGCGAATCGGATGGAGGAGCCGCCTCCGGTTCGGGCACAGCAACGGGAACGGGTACCACATCCATTCGCCAGAACTCTTTAGACAGCAGCTCCTCCTCACTGGCCAAACCACCGGCAGCGGCAAAAGCGACAGGAGTTCGGAGCAAAAGGGCCTCTCTGAGCGGAGCTCCGCCCACTCAGCCTCTCGCTGGCACCAAGGGCAAAAGCAAGAGCAAGAGTAAGAGCAACGGGAGATCTTCCAGCGAGGAGAACGACAAAGACGACTCCGATGATTCAGAGTCTGGCGAAGAGGACAGCAGCTCGTCCAGCGCCAGCAGTGAGTCGGAGACCGACAGCAGTGCCTCCTCATCGGAAAGTGGCAGCAGCAGCAGTAGCAGCGGCTCGGACTCTCGCCACACCACCAAGTCTAAGGCTGCCAATGGCAAACACAAGCCTTTATCCGCTGCCGCCAAGGCGGCTCAGTCCGCCTGCTCGTCCTCGCTGGTGGTGGCCGCCGCCCTTAAGAAGACCAAGCCCCTGAATCGGTCCAGCGGCAGTGGAGCCAGCATCGCCAGCATCGGTGGAGGCGGTGGAGGCGCCGGTGGCAAGCAGTACAAGGATCCAAGTACAGAGATGAGAGCAACCCCCCACCGAAATATCATTTCCCCGTTCCCCAAAACCTCAGGTCCCAAGAGCACGGCAGTCCGTCCATTGATCGCAGCAGCAGCTGCCCGCTTCATCTTATAGTCATCATCATAGTCGTCATCATAGTCATCAGGGCCATCATTATCATTGGCATCTTTGGCGCCAATGCCAAAATTAATTGGGAAAAGAGAACTATAACAAAATAAATAAAGGCAAAGGAATCGGTTCACAGGGAATGATTCGGCATACAACCAGAAATCAGGCATAATAATTTTGTATTTGTGACACAAAATAATTAAAAATTTAGACAAAGCTGAAAGCGTTACAAGATTTTGGAGGAGAAACTGAAATATTTTGAATTAAGGTTAATATTTTCCCTTTATTTGTACTAAAGGGTTTGCCTAGAGGGTTAAGGTTTAGCTTTTTATATTATCTCGATTTTTGTTTGTTTTTTTTTTTTTTACTAGGAAATTTCCAAGATACCTTTTCTACATAACTCATGGGGTTTCTCAATCATATATCTTCCCTAACTAGCTCAACTTCTCCGCTCTTTAAGCTCTTGTCCAGTTTTCCCACTAACACATTCTACGGAGACCAAGACTCCTCCTCTCTGACTACCTCTTGATTATAAATATATTTATATTTAAATATATACACATGTGCATGGTTATATTGGCTGTAATAGGCATGAAGCAGCTGATCGGCAAGCTGAACGACTTGTGGCCCGAGCACAGTGTGGCACTGTCCATTCCAAAGGAGGTCGATAGGAGCAAGGAGAAGCTGGAGGGAGCCTGGGAGACCACAGGTGTATAGCTACTAGAAACTTAAGGTTGGGTGGGTAAACGCAGAGAGATTGCTGGTGGAAGTATCTAGAGGTAAACAGCTTAAGCACCAGCGATTCTCTCTGAGTAAATTGAATCTATTAGGTATATGTGTGTGTGTATATACATTATGTATTATACTATATTACATTTATATGTTATATATAGTTATCTAACAACATTTCCTTGGATTCTCAACAGGTCGCGATGGTTCCAAAATCACAACAGTCGTCGCAACCCCCGGCCAAGGCACCGATCGTGTACAAGAGGTCTCCTATACAGACACAAAGGTCATCGGCAATGGCAGCTTCGGCGTGGTGTTCCAGGCGAAGCTCTGCGACACCGGCGAACTGGTGGCAATCAAAAAAGTTTTACAAGACAGACGATTTAAGGTGCGTAATTATCCAGTATTTATATATATTTGTGTGAATTAATTACTTAATTCCCATTGCAGAATCGTGAATTGCAAATTATGCGCAAATTGGAGCATTGTAATATTGTAAAGCTTTTGTACTTTTTCTATTCGAGCGGTGAAAAGGTGAGTTACTTGACCTGGCACAAGTCCGGTCTCCGTTGGGTAGAAAACGAACTGCTGAAGTTGCCAGCGCATACATATATCCGGTAATCTCGATCACTTGGTGCGGATGGGAATAAAGGAGCCACCACTATTATAACTACTACTACTACCTCCCGCCGCACCAAGTTCAATGTTTGGATTACAATATATATTTATTTGAGCGTCTTATCGCTGAGCGTTTCTTGGCAGGTTTCCGAGCTAAGCTTACCAATTGAATTGAATCTTTTTCACTTGCATATCGAAACTGAAACTAAAACTGAAACTGATACTGAAACTGAAACATGGGTCTCAAAGCTGGCCGAGTTCCCCATCGATTTGGGAATATTCGCGAGTGTGCTTAAGCCTCAGGTATCGAAACAGTCGAATTTCGAGTCTCTCAGATCATTCAGCCAGCGAACAACTCTCAATCTTAGTCTCTCAATCTCTCTCAGTCTGTATCTCAATCTCTCATTCGAAATGCTATGTAATAACTGTCAAGTTCAAGAGGAAGAAAGTACTGTGAAGCGTACACCGCATGGTTACAGATAGACACACCTCCTGTGACTCGAACCCCGCTGCTATATGCTAGTTGCTATGCCATGTTGAGATCTATATATGTACGAATCCCAGAAACCGCAAACCCGAAACGCATGTTGAGTGCTCGCAGCTTCATCGGTCAAACTCTCTCTCCCCACATAAATCCATACACGGATCACATACAATAATAATGCCTGTTGAATATATTAAATGTAAATGCTAATCGACTTTGTATCCTTCTCCTGGCAGCGTGATGAAGTATTTTTGAATTTAGTCCTCGAATATATACCAGAAACCGTATACAAAGTGGCTCGCCAATATGCCAAAACCAAGCAAACGATACCAATCAACTTTATTCGGGTAAGTCAAGTCGTCTTTCTCTCTTTGGATTGTGATCTAATACTATCTTTTCAATTGACAGCTCTACATGTACCAACTGTTCAGGAGTCTGGCCTACATCCACTCGCTGGGCATCTGCCATCGTGATATCAAGCCGCAGAACCTTCTGCTCGATCCGGAGACGGCTGTGCTAAAGCTCTGCGACTTTGGCAGCGCCAAGCAGCTGCTGCACGGCGAGCCGAATGTATCGTACATCTGTTCCCGGTATTATCGCGCCCCCGAGCTCATCTTTGGCGCCATCAATTATACAACAAAGATCGGTAAGTGTTCAGTCACCCTCTCTCCCTCTTTCTTGATTAATCAATTAATTATCCCTCTCTTTTTACAGATGTGTGGAGCGCCGGTTGCGTCTTGGCCGAGCTGCTGCTGGGCCAGCCCATCTTCCCTGGCGATTCCGGTGTCGATCAGCTAGTTGAGGTCATCAAGGTCCTGGGCACACCGACAAGAGAACAGATACGCGAAATGAATCCAAACTATACGGAATTCAAGTTTCCACAAATTAAGAGTCATCCATGGCAGAAAGTAAGTGGCGGAGCGTCCCTTAAAAATGATATATATTATATACTACGATCCTTGGCGATTATCGCTTATCGTTCATGTTTACTCCCCGGTCTCGCGCCTCCTTCACTCGTATCTCTCCAGGGAAAGCCAGCCGTCCGCCTCGACCCATTATTTACACCTACCTACCCCCTACTGTCTCCTCTCTTTTCAAAACAAAATGTGTTTTTAACCGAAAATCTGTGTTGTGTATATAAAAACTCGTTGCAGTCACTACTCGAACGCACCCAATTTCCAAATGCCCTAAACCAGAAACAACGATTGAGAGTAAGCCAAGAAACGAATCCGAAATGAATCCAAGGAAAATTTGTTGTCAAAAATCATTATTCAAAAATTATTTGCTGCTGATATAAAGCCATAATTCCCTAATGCCATAATGCCTTAGCAAATAACCCATGAATAACAGGGGAGTTACTAGGGACTAGAGCTGCAAATAAATTGATTCCCTCTTAAAAATATTACAAGTAAATCGATTATAATCGATTAAAATCGAAAATGGAAATAATTAAAATTATTTACGAATTTACATAGAAGATTTTGAAATTTAGATATTTGATCTATCAATAATGTATATAATATTTAAAATTTCGACATTATCAATAATATTGAAAAATATCGAAACATTTTTATTTGATCGATTTATTTTAAAACTACATTTTCGATAATCTTTTTATATCTCTTTCAAACTGTAATGGTTTAAACCAAGATAAAGCCTTTTGGAAACAGAACTTTAATTCGATATATTAAATGGAATAAATTAACGATATTGCTTCGATATATCCCATGTAATCGGGAGACAAAGTTATTTGGGCACAAATATTCAAGCTCAATATGATATTAAATTTTTGAAATTTCAATTTTTAAATATCGAAAAATTTAGAAAATGTTCAAAAAAGAGTTATCCGGTTGTTTTTGTCCTTTTCCACGTATATTGAACAGCCTTCAGATGAAATATAGATACAGCTTCGATATTTTCTGCCTTTCCTAGGCCTGGCATCATACCCTTTGGGGCTTACACCCTGCCAAAATCTTTGTTTAGGTTTCCCACTGTTATTTTTCTTAATTGCACTCGCATAGCTTATCATGGTCAGAGTCTCGCCACTCATTTGCAGATACAGAATACAGCTTCTTCGCGGCTTCTGGCTTGATCTTGTCCAGCTTTTGCCAGCAGCAGCAGCAGCAGCAACGGCAAGCTGTACAGGTGGTGCTCTACATTGGTTCTTTTACATTGATTTGGAGTTGAATTTAATTGATTGTTTTGGTTTCTTGCTCTACTTCTGCCCTCTTGCCTACTTGCCTCTGTTGAGAATGAGTTGCACCAGCGCCGTCCAGGGATCCTTGCGAGGATCCTTGAGGCGTTTGTCTGTCTCTCTTTCGCTTTCCTCTGTGCCCTATTTTTTGTCCTGTCCAAATTGCCAATGATGATGATTGCGTTACTGTACTGCCCCCGCCCTGTTGTCCCGCTGACCTGTTGTTGTCCATGTTCTGTCCCGCCCTGTTTTTGTCCTGCAACAAGATGCTCCTCCCACGGACGATTTGCCCAGGAATGCGCACACACACACACACACACTGATTGATCTCTTGCTCCGTTCTTCCTCCCACAGGTTTTCCGTATACGCACTCCTACAGAAGCTATCAACTTGGTGTCCCTGCTGCTCGAGTACACGCCCAGCGCCCGGATTACCCCGCTCAAGGCCTGTGCACATCCGTTCTTCGACGAGCTGCGCATGGAGGGTAACCACACCTTGCCCAATGGTCGCGAGATGCCGCCACTGTTCAACTTCACAGAGCATGGTGAGTGGATTTGGTGCTGACTCTGATTGCCTGATGTTTGTATTTAATGAATCGCCTCCTCCTCCTGCCACTCCTTTCCACAGAGCTCTCGATACAGCCTAGCTTAGTGCCACAGCTGTTGCCCAAGCATCTCCAGAACGCAGCCGCAACTGGCGGCACCCGAACAACGGCCGGCGCAGCCCCCACTGCTGCGGCCAGCGGTTCCACCAGCGTCTCGTCAACAGGAAGTGGCGCTTCGGCGGAAGGATCCGGCCAGCCCCAGTCGCAGGCACCAGTCGCTGCGGCAGCTGGCACGGCAGGATCGGGATCGGGCGCATCAGCAGGAGCAGCAGTCGGCGGTGGAGCGAGTGCCGCCGGAGCCGGTTCCGGTAATAACAGCAGCAGCGGCGGTGGCGGCGGCGGAGCATCGGGTGCGCCGTCTGCCGTTGCAGCTGCACCAACTGCGCAGCAGTCAAATGCCGCCACTGCCGGCGGAGCTGGTGGTGGTGGTGGCGGCGGTGCGGCGGGCTCTGCTGCTATAGCAGCTGGCTCAATGGCCACGACCAATGCCGGTGGCGCCAATGTAACAGGTGAGTAGGCGGTTGGCCAGCCAGCGGTTTCCTCTCCTTCGCCTCTCCATATGCACCTCCGCATCCCCATCCTCATCCGTATATACGACCTTTTAACTCACCCAATCACCTACTAACCATCCCCCTCATCCTAACCATTATCAGTTGGCGCCAATCTTATGATGAAGCGACCTACCAAATTACCATTGCGTATAAAGCAGCCCTTCCTGCGCAATCAGGTCTCCCCGTGCCGAACTCATCATCCATTATCCGATACCCACATCCACATTTACCCAGCACCCAGCAGCACCCATCCCTTGAACCGAGCCGACCCAGGGAAAGGGAGAGAGAGCCACAGAGCAGTGTGAGAGGGAGTTTATTTGAAAGTCCACGAATAGCAGAATCTTAAGAAGAACCATCATAAGAATCTCAAGAGCAGCCACCTCAAGAAACTACAAGAGAACTCAAGGCCCTAAAGAAATAGAAAATAATTAAAGCCAACACGACGTTAAAACTAGGCCTACAAATATTTCCGTTTATCTTTTTATTTTGGCAGGGAAAAGCGTCCTGCCAATGCTTTTTTTTTTTTTTTTTTGCAGTACAGTCGGAGCAATAAAACTAGCAGTAGCTGAAAATTTCAAGGGTAAATGTACTTAACAAGAATTAAAAATATTAGAAAAGGTTAGTTACATTCTCAAAGCAAAGCCAGAAAGGGTAATATTGGAAATATGGACATTTGGTTGTTGTAAATTTTCTCTGCCGGAAAATAGCTTATGAAAAATGAAATTTACATTGGGTGGTCACTTTTAAGATGAACATTTCGCGGGCTGGTCACTCGTTAGGATGAACATTCCACGGGCTGGTCAGTCTAAAAAGGGTTGGTCTCTCCATATGCACAGCGATATTAGTGAAACCTAAACGAAATTGTGCCTTTTAATTGCATTTTTTGTTTATTTTTTGGGGATTGGTGTTGCCCCTGCTTCCACAGCTTTACCTGTGTTATGTCATCGTTATCGATAACAAGCCACCTGCTTTCATTATTCTTCATTTATAGCACACATTTTTATTCTATTTCTTTTTTTTAATTTTTAGTGACGCTAATTTTAATTTTCTTTTCGTTTGTTTTTTAAACTTTTTATTTACAGATTCATAGGGGCAATAGTAACATACCTACACACACGTACATACACACACACTTCTATGTATAAATATATATATATATATATATATATATATATATCCACGTATATATATATGTATGGTAATAAACAGCAGCAAGCATATATTTAGAAGCCAAAACGAAAAATGCTAAGCCAGCAGCAGCAACAAGAGAGCAACAATAAAACATAAAAACAAAAAATGGATATATACCACAGCCTACATACAACATATTCACACAATAATTAATAATAAACCTAATTAATGCAACACTGATGAGAAAGCGAACAGCAGCAAAACCACAAACAATTCAAAACAGAAACCCGAATGCAGAAAGCAGAAGCAGAAAAGAGCAAAGCAGCAGCACAAGCTGAAGCGGGAAGCAGAAACCGATGATGCAGAAGTAAAAGTAAAAGTCGTAGGGATACAGAAGCCAAGGCAAACGCAAAAAATATAACAAAAACACATTTTACTTAGGTAAAATTAAATTTATTTTAAATCTAAAATAAAACTAATAAGCATAATAATAATAATAAACAATAATGGTAAATAATAAATAAAAGAAACAACCAACACACATAAATCTATGCATAATAGTAAAGCGCTGATCGATTGTCATTTTAATTATTATATATATATTATGTATTTTCCCTCCTACTTCCCTCTCGCTCTCGCTCTCACTCAGTCTCGCTATATATTAATTATATTCCCATATCCTTTTCCTATTTCTATTATGATTATAATTTTTTTTTTTTGACGCCTAGAAAAAGCCTAAATAAATAATTATTGTATGTGTATATTGAACAGAGTCATGGCATATTTTTATTTGTACCACCTTGTTTTTAGTATGTTTAACTGATAAGGAGACCGCGTATTTAATTAATTACTAATACCAACTGAACGCTAACTGAATAACCGAGAGTTTTGTGTAGTAACAATTAAGCGAAGGCAGCAATTGAATTATGAGCAAATGAACCTTAAATCAAAGCAAGAGTACATACTGATGGCGAAGAGATCGAGGCGAAGGTGGAACACGAAGATAATGATAAAGATAAAGATAAACATAAACATAAAGATAAATATAAAGTTATTGAGGTGGAAAGGTTCAAGAGGATGCTAAGACCTTACCCTAAACAATGAAAGCAAAAGCAGAAGCTGAAGCTGAAGACGAGAGCATAAAGTTAATGTTATGTTAAAGCCTAAATTTAAAGCAAATGATTAAAAAAAAAAACAAAAGAGGAAAAGAAACAAAAAACACAAAAAACATGAAAAAAAAAACAAAAACAAAAGAAGAACAAGAAACAAAACAAAAAGCAAAACTGTTTAAACTATTCATATATATTATAATATATACATAATCTTTATATAAATATAAACAAACACAATTTTTTTTTTGCAAAACACACGCATTATGTATACATACATATATTAAATAAATAAATTATTTTTATTTTTATTAAATAATTATTATTATTATTTTGTAATAAATAAAAGCAAATAATTAATTGACAAACCACATACACTGAGAGAAATGCATCCAAAACCATAAAAAAAACAAACGAGAGAGAGAGCGCGCGTGGAAATCGTAATATAATCTACAGAATAATCGCTTATAATCGATTATTATTGATGTACACTAAATATGTTTTTTTTTGTTTTTTTTTTCTTGTATCTGAATATATATGTACAGATATCTAAGCGAAGGATGTATGTATTATTATTTAGCCAGTAGTCGAGATTTTGACGTTATAGAACAGATACACAGATTACGGATACTGGATACAGATGGCAGATGATATCAGTTAGCAGGGACGATAGACGATGATGATGATGATGATGATGATAGCTGGCATCTGAGAACCGACGGTTTAGTTGCAATATGTAGATAAGGTCCAAAATTAATTAGTATTGCATAGTCAGTGTCGCCTTTTCTTCCCCCCTCTTCCCCCGCTCTCCTATCTTCCCCAAAATATTTCCCCACTCAGAGCTGCTAAATATTACTACACTTACTTTTCGTCAGAATATATATATATTACGGTTAGCAGAAATGTAAAAAAAAAGCAAAACAAATGATTGAAGAAATAAAAATGTTTGCATTAGCATAAGCAAGATGGATAACGACGATGATCATGATAAATGATAACAATGGATTACAAATTAGATGGAGAAGTGAGCGAAAAACTTATATATTTATTTCTATAGTTTATTATAATCGAAACCCTAAACTAATTTGTATGCTAATTATAAACGATTAATGGATACACACACACACACGCAGAAGAAAATACATTTTTCCTAGTAATTTAGGCACACACACACAAAAACAACACATAAAAAAAAAAAAAAAAATTAATAAAAAAATAAATAAAAAAAAAAAAAAAAAAAACCAACAACCAAGCGTACTAAATAAAGAGGAAAAAGAACAAAAAATTCAACACATTTACCTTAATTTTTAATTTTGCTAATTACAAATAAAAAAAAAAAGAAAACAAAAAATCCATAAAAAAAGCGAAAAGAAAAGTTATACTAAATACACACCAACACACGTACACTGTACACGTACACGTACATACGCATACTCTGACAATTGTATATGTAATGCTGTAATAATCATGATAATATATAGAATCGTTGATGATAATGATGAGCAAAGAAGCCGTAATGATAATGATAATAAATGACTACAACAAGATACAACAAATAAAAAGAGAAACAAATACAATATTTAAACGAAAGTAAAACCTTTCCGTTGCCTTTCCTTTATCTCACGTAGAATCTATACCGTAGTCTACCATATATATAATTTTGTTCAGTGTGAGCTCTCCTTCTTTACGTTTTTGCGTTTTCCGTTTTCCATTTCCGTTTCCGTTGGGCTTGGCGGATGTCCTGATGTCCTGTCCACTCTGTATGCATGCTAGAAGAGACCCTCGTTATTGCGCTCGATCAATGTATGTCGTCTATCTCTTTCCGTTTCACAAGAACACTACAAATGGGATCTCTAAAAACAGTGATTTCTCCACAGAAATTTCAACTTTATAATATTCCGAGAAAACTCTTCGATTTTCCGCAAAAATAATGGTTCATTTTACAGTTTTCTAGTTTTTTAGAATTTTATTTAAAGTTTTCATAAATATTACGAAAGGACTGGACTATTTGGAATGTATACAAAGCATTGAATGTAGATAGGTTCCAAATTGATGGGATAAATTGGGTTCTTAGGTTCACGGAAGTAAGAAGTTGGCTTTGGGTTATAGGTTATATTCCTGTAAAGGTGAAACCTTTCAGGAGCCTTCCGCCCTGGGTAAGTCTGACCTAGAGGGCTGAAAAGGGGGGAAACACTTAAGTTTGACTTGGCTCTCCTCCGAAAAAAAAAACAAAGAAAAACGCTCTTGAGTACGAAATGCCATCTACATTTATTTCGTTTGCAGGCTCGCAATCGAACAGCGCCCTAAATAGCAGCGGAAACGGAAGTCGGGGCAGCGGCGGTAGTGGCGGAAGCGGAAATGGAGAGGCTGCCGGATCTGGACCGGGCTCGGCTGGAGGCAACGAGAACGATGCCGGCGATAGCGGAGCAGCAGGATCGGCAGAAGGAGCTGAGACCGAGGCAGCGGCGTCCGGTTAGCGCGATTGTAGCGCTCTGTTAATGTAATGTTATTCGCAAGATTTTCGCTATTTCCGGCAAACAACACCACACACACACACACACACACAAGAGAAGAAAAAGCCAGAAAAGGTGGCCTGGAAAAAGGAATTTCCCCCACAAACATACGTTCACGTACACCCACATACACACATTCCCCACACCACACACACCAATACACATGTATGTATGTATATCTAGCTATATGCATTGGGCGCAGGCAAATACTTAGCATAAAAAACAAGAAAAACGAAAGAAAAAACACATAAAATAACAAAAATCATCTTTAAACTATGCATAACTAATAATTAAAATTATCTTGTATTATTGAAGCAACCCCCAAATATATATAATAATTTATATATGAAGCAAGAAAAGAAAGCAAGGAGAATGTTGAAAAGAAAAACTCTTCTTCCCAGTTTCCAGTTCCCTCTTTCCATTTTCCCTTTCCCCTGCCTAGATGCCACCCCACAACACACCCAAAAAAAAAAAATATATATAGTAAATAACATTAAAGACATAGCTGGCGACACGTAACTAAATCGTAAGAACGTAACATAAACCAAGATATAATAAATCGAGAGAGGATTACTTAGTGAAATAAATCAAAATTTTTTGTCCCATTTAATGTTTATATATATATGCATATATGCAGTTATACAAGTAATGATAAAGATCACAGCAGTTAGCAATCCATAGTAAAAGTAAATGGCAAAAATATATATAACGAGATCGCTTGGGAAAACTAGAGGAAAACATTTATGAAAATCCAGGTCAAAAGCAAAAGCAAAGGGAAAATGTTTACTAAACTCGCGCAAGTGCATCTATACCGTTACGATATAGATATTATATAAACCCATATATATATATATATACATATATATATATATATAGACGAGATATTAAACAAACATTCGTAATCCTAGTAGCATCCCAACCGACCCAAAAAAAAAAAAAAGAAATAAAAAAGAAGCCTAGGCAAACCACAATCTCAACGTAACGAGTAACAAGTAACGAGTAACGAGTATAGCAACATTTTTGGTGGCCTGTTCTTAAGCCAAGTCTAGCATTAACTACGATTATCTAGGAAGCGATCGATTGCAATATACACTATATATACAATAAAGGATAACAAGGATCATGGATATAACAAATAAAAGACGTAAATGCAAAAAGTGAATGAAAGCAGGTAAACATAATTGAATGAATGAGGAAAACGCTTTTAGCGCGCGACGCCACCCATAATCTTAAATTAACAATGAAAAACCAAGGCCGGATTCTTGATATATATATATATATTATGTAAAACTAATCGACAAAACAAACCATTTAGCTGCAATTGAAAATCTAATCTAATTTAAAACAAATTGAAGGAAAATACAGCCCAGGATGACGACGACGATGATTGTTTAGAATTAAGGCATTAGATCAACAGGACACTCCTCCAATCGCAACTACTATATATGTATGTATGTACTTACCGCTCCTCGGTTCGATTGGTTCTCTAACCCATTTTGGATCCCAGTTAAACTGCTTGAATCTCGATTATTTCCCCCAGCACATTTCAGCTATACATAGAACCCTATAGAGGCGCTTGAGCAACTAAGAAAAGCAAGAGCATTAGGTGGATAGCAAGTCTAATTGTATGTATTTCCATAGAACTCGAACTCAAACTCAAACTCAATATTCTTATATATATTATGAAATGAGAAACAAACGTATATTTTTTTTGTACTAAAAACTAAATGATACATTTATATGTACACTTAATAAACGTTGAGTTTTGTGGCGTCAAAACTAATTAAATCTAAACTACATACATATGTATTTACTATGTACACACACGGCAAGGACACGCAAGGACACACACTCGTACATCGTACACACGCACATACTTAATTGCGACTATGATTTCAATTCAAAATAAAAAGAAAAACAATTTAAATAAAGAAACAAAAAATTAAAGAAAATATTAAAAAAAAAAAGAAAATAAATACAAGAAATTCGGATTTTGAGAAAACACCTTTAATACCCCCCGCGAGACATGCCCCAAAAGCATTTTAGTAATTAATCTAAGTACACCAGAAATTATATAAATCACACACACACACACAAACACACACACACACACAGTTGTAAGTATACTTACTGTTCGATTTCGGTAGAAACCACAGGAAACGGAAATAAAATCCAACACACATTCACATATATATGCAAAGAAGAAACATATATACATAAATATATGAAAAAGAAAGAACAAATTTCAGCGTTTCGCTTAAATTACGAGGCAAACTTAACCCTTTATCCATAAAAAATAAAAACAGAGCAGGAGAAAAGCAGCCCAAAACCAAAAACCAAACCCAACTTAAACTTAATTAACAACTAAACACAAACCTAAACTAATTGCAAATTATAAAATAAAAAGAAAATACTAAATAAACGAGGGAAACCGAACAATTTTGACAAAGGAAATGATAACGATAACGAGAATGAAACAAGAACAAGAACAACACGAAACAAAATGCGTAAAGAAAAACAACATTAATTTAAAAACAATAAAAATTACAAACCAAAAAATATACACATCAAATGTGCATTGCTTTATTTGCATGAGGGATTCAAGGGGGTCCAAGGATACCTTGATGTTTTGCCTTAATTAAGGTTTCAGGTAAGTCTTAGTCCTTTAAGGACGAAGGAAAGACTCGAGAGTAGAAAGAGCAAGCTTCAATTTTCCATCTCAACCCTTTTAATTTATTTAAAAAAAAACATTACATATATTTATAATTAAGCATTACATCTGCTAAAGATGTAACTAATATATAATTAAATTAATTAATTATAAATTAATAATAAAAACTCCTATGTGCGACGCCTTTTACCCAGGCTAAGATCGGTGGCACACGCACCCGCCTCCGACTTGAGGCGTCGCTTGCTGCTCCTGCTGGCTGTCAGCTTAGGCACCATGGCTCTCGCCGAGCTGCTGATTAACCTTGACTCCGGAACAGCGACTAGAGCGGCATTGCCTGGCAGAGAATGGGCTGGGGTATGGGTATGGCTTGAGGGCAGCGGCGACTCAAGCAAGTGCTCGGTCTTGACCAGCGCACCCGGTGCGATCATGAGCAGATCGTTGGCTCCTCCTCCATTTCGCTGTGCCACTGCCGCTGCTCCTCCTCCTCCCCCGATGACCGCATGTTGTCCATCCGTTCGCTCACACTTGATGTGCCGCACGGTCGAGATGTCCGGCTGCTCCAGATCAGAGTCCGCATGGCCGTTCACCGTGCGGTTGTCGTTGTTATTGGTCTCCGGACCAACGACGGGATATGCCGGATGGGCCGGCACCTGACGCTGCTGCCATTCGAGGATGCCGGTCAACAGCTTGATGTACTTGATGGCCGAACGCAGGATCTCGTTCTTTGATAGCTTCTTGTCCGGCGGATGTGTGGGCACTAGCTTCCGCAGCTCCGCAAAGGCGCCGGACACGTTCTGCTGTCGCCATCGCTCCCGTGTGTTGGTGAAAACTTTGCGAACACCGCCAACGACATGGCCACCTGTACCTCCGCCGCTTCCTACTCCTCCTCCTCCGGTGCCTCCACATCCACCTGCAACGGCTCCGCCGGATGCGGTGCATCCTGAACTGCCAGAGCTGGGAGGCGCTGTGAGCAGTCCATTGCGGGAGTGACTGCGCGGCGAGCTGGATAGCGATCGACTGGCTGTGATTGGGATATGGAATCATTTAATATATGTAAGTAAATGCCTTTCGCCCAACTATCCAGGTTTTTTGAAATACAAACAATAAAAACAAGTCCCCAATTAAACTCAGACAAATGCCCCAAGCTAAAGTCTTAAATTCTCAATACTTACCATCCGCCTGGTTGCCATTGAGTACTATATAATCGCGTAGATCCTCCTCGTCCTCCTCGGTGTCGTTAAGCGAAAAGTCGGAGAGCTCTGCATCACCGTCGCCATCACCGTCCGATACGGACTCCGTCTTGGGCTGCAGGTGGGGCGTGGCATGACGCAACAGGGCCGGCGGAGCTGTTCGTCCCGAGTCTCGGATGGCAGCTCCACTTCCGTTTCCGGAACGTGGTGAACTGTTGGAGTCATCGCGGCGCCCGCTGCTGTGTCCAGATGATCCGCTCGAGGCCGTGCTCCGTTCGTCCGCATTGTCCGCTCCGTTGGAGCTGCTGGGTAGCCAGGCCATCTTCCGCTGATGGTGATAATGCTGCTGCTGGTCAGGATGCGGGTACGCTTATTAAGTGTGTGTGTTGCCCTCAGAGGGCCGGCGCAAAGTGAGCAGCATCTAGCCGAGCTCTGGCTTCGCTGATTCTGTTCTGGATGACAATCAACCCTCCGCGACATGGAAGAGGGCGGGACCAAAGACCATGGCGAACCACCCCCGGACAAGGCATACACACAAAGGGGCGGAGGCTTAGGCTTGGTCTCCAGCGATGGCGATGGGAGGTTAAAGGGTGCTGAGGGGACGGGAAGGCAGGGAGCTGGCTGATAATATTTAAAAATAATATATAAAATGGGTAAGTGAATAAATGTAATAATTGTTAATAAATCAATAACTTAAATAACTGAATAACATGGTACTGAATAGTTACCTAGAGAAAAAACCTAGTGCTGGAGACAGTTACTGATGAGGCCTCCTCAACAGCATTCCAATTATTTCACAAGGAACTCGTTCTTCTGAAATATTTATTTGTATTAAAAATACCTGAAATTTAAATGTTTAAATAGAGTATTCTTTATATTAATTTTGTTGAATCTTTAAATGCATTTTATTGTATTTTATTACAAAATTCCATCCCTTTTTTATTTAATCCAACTTAATCCATTTTAAGTTGCAACGAATCCCTTAGCATCTTTGTGATTTTCTACCATTCAAAGATTTTAATCTCAAGGCGAAGACTGCACACTTAATTCGAGATTAAGGTCCGGCAAAAGTTTTCCGTTGAGCGTGGAAATTTCAACGCCTTTTTCTTGCTTTTTAAGTTTCACGGAAATTTGCCTTTTGCACCTTTTTTTTTCATGTCGCAGCATCTTGTTATCTCATCATCAATTAAATAATTATCCTTTGGGAGGAGAGCCTTAAAACATAAAGAAGTGCGGAGTTCGCAGGGGATAAGGACACACAAGGCGCAGGCGCCAAGGGGCGGAGCCATGTCAACGGGATTTTGAGGGATGTTTTCTATTTCCCAGGACAGTTTTCGTTGCGAAATATGTATTTCCAAGTATGGAAATAATTCTTATTGCCAGACTAAATCAAAAGCTCAAATGTCACGGAGTCAGGGATTCACCAGACAGCTTCTCAGATATCCTACTAGGTGTATACTGTACAGGTATAGGTAGTAGAGGTACAGGTAAGTGGTCACTATTGTATCAACAAATTCGGAGTGTTTCGGTTTCTATTAAAATTTTTGGTTTTAGTTTACAGTAATCTGTAAAAATGTGTACTAATCTTTAGTGAATAATAACTGAAAAGAAGTTAAACTTATAAATATAGTAAAGTTTACTACACACATTGGCAGTTGTGCCAAACTTCCAAGTGGGATTCGTTCGAGTCCCAACTGGAGAGCTTAAAATGAATAGTTATTCAATATTTTATTTATTTTAATCCTTCATGAATATTCTATATAACTTTGAAGTGTGTTATAATTTTAGTCAGAAGTTTGCAATACAGTGATAGAGTAATTTCCGACCCTATAAGGAATTAATTAATTAATTAATAATTCTTGACAACAGCCGAGTCAATCTAGCCATGCCCGGTTGACAGTCCGTTTCCAAGCCAATCTCTCAGTTTTTAGCTATCCAAATGAAACTTTTCATATGGTATTTTTACTATTCTCATTAGTATATAGTCCTAAGGGGCGAGATTAGACAACAATTTCTTATGGCATATATTTAATATATTACTATAATTCTAATTAAAATAAGTATATAATTTATATATATTACTTTATTATAACCTTGATCTATAGTTATATAATATACTTAAATCAAAATTAAATTGTTTTATCATTTTTTTTTTCTATATCCCTATTTTCATTTTTATTATAACTTTCATATTATAACTTTCATAAAAGTGTCTTCTTTATTGTAGCAACTGTTATAATAAAATGGTTATACATATGTACTTAATTCCCAGTTAGATGATTGACTAATCATTAATTAATTAATTGACCATCATTAATCGGTTCTTAAGAATTCAATTGCTTGCTGCAAGAGTATATACAAGTTGGTGTGCCGGTATTAGCTTCCTTGTTAAAGTTTTGTATTGTTTTTTGCACAAATATTAATGGTTAGTAAACCTCAATTGAGGAATTAAAAACATATAAATAGAGGTTAGTTTATAACATTTAGCATAAAGCATAAAACGTGATAAGTTTGTAAACTATTAGGCAAAAATGTTGCAACCTGGTCATATATCCTTTTTAGAATATTCTTTAAGCATAATTTGTTCATCTTTACCTTCCTAATGAGCCTTTAATAATAAAAGCTTAAAAATGTTAATAATTTGTGCTTTAAGTTCTGAATTGTCAGGTACTATCATTTTCACTTCCAGAACTTAGATATGTACATATATACGTATGTAGATGGGTGACCTTCTCCTTCTCCGCACCCCAACAACCCACCTGATTTGATACCATTTCGATATCAATCATTATCCGTATTCATGAGCAGGTCCTGGCCAGAGGGTTGGCCTTAGGCCTGGGAACTCTGGCCTAATCCCAATCTCAGTTAAAGTCACACTTCCCGCTAATAGCAAAAAGTAGAGGAAAACCACCCCCCGGAATCCGATTAGTGGCAATCAAATAATATAATTTCGGATCAAAATAGTCCAAAAGTCAACGGAGTCGGCGGAGGAAAAGTCAACAGTGGCCGCGGCAGCATCAAAATCAAATTAGCACCAGCTTGGTGGCTAATTCGAAGGCGCTTTATCACTTTCCCGGCAGGCGGCCCGTCCTCTCCGGACGACTGGCTGTTGGCGGGTAGGACACGTGTGTGGCCGGCGCAGATAAGGACCAAACTTCGGCAAACACTCACACGTGACCCTGGCCGAAATGGATTTTCACACCCACTCGACGGCGGCAAAGCCGCCAATTAATAAAATTCAATTACTCCCAGCCACCGCAGAGGGCGATGCGAATAGCTGATAAGGCATGGGCTGAGCCCGCGGACAGGCAGGCATCCTGGAGAAGGGGTTGAAGGCCAGCTAAAAAAGTCGAAATATATTGGGAATTACAAAAAAACCACTCTGAATGTATAAAGATTTTAGTTTTGAGCAAAAAACATTAGTACAATGAATTTAAATAATTAATAATGTACAAATAAAACCAGAAAATATCATAACTTTAGGATGTCGAAGTTTGTATACCCTTGCAGGATGTAGCCTCGATAACTTAGCCAAAAAAGCATTGATTTCAATTCTGTGTTGCTTTTTATTAGGTTAATGCAGAAGTTGCATTCTGAATTAAACATTTTGAAATATAGGGTTAAATTTTAAACATTTATTTTCAATATTTGATTATTCATAATTTATTTCAAAGGCAAAACGGAATATGTTTGACTTTTTATCGAATCTATATTTATCGGAATTTTTATATGATCTTTCTGTTAGCTTTTAATAGGTTAAATTTTTTTTTAAATTAATAATGTTTGTAAAAATTTTTTAAATATAAAAAAATGTAGTACTATTTTTTTCAGTTTTTCTCATATTTAATTTATATTTATTAAGATTTTATTGGTGAATTGAAATATATTCCGCTTTCAAGAAGCCCTGAAATATTTACAATATTCCAATCTATATTTATACCCTTGCAGGATATCACAGTTTTAGTCCTTTCCTGTTTTATATAATAATTTTAGAGAGATAGAGAGGTTTACATATGGATATGGAGATAGAGAATTAAAAATGTATTGATTTATTGATACATATATCGATAGAAGAAGATAGAAATAAAAGGGCAGATAGAGAAAGAGATAAAGATAAAAATAAAGAAATAGACAGGGAAATGAAGTAAGAAGATAAAAAGCTATTGAGAAACCAAGAGAAGGCTATACTTTAGAAGACAATTACTTCCAGATATCTGATATTATAAAGTCTTCCGCTATGGCTTGTTCCGACCGTACATGTGTTTCGCATATAGTTTCGTTTAAATAGTTTGATAATAACGAATTATCAAAATAATTGCCTCCCGCAGAGGAGTGGCGCCATCTGGCAGTCATAGAGTGCGAGCTCGCCACTCGCCGTTTGAAAAGACCCGTTACCCCAATCGATAACCAGCTGGGCGGCGGCTGCAGCCGGAATATCAGCTGTCTGAAAGTGAAGTGTCATTGGCATTTCGTACGTGCCACCAGTCACATCCATCGAACCAGTCGAATCTGCAATTGAATTCGCGCATCTGAGCAAGAGCCACCATTCAAAAACTTCGTGGGGGGTGAGCGAGCGGCGGCCAAGGCGGGAAAGCTTGGCGCCACTCACGAACGAGAGCCCGGAGACTGAGCCCCAGAGAGTCTAGAGAAGGAGACCCCGGAGCAAGAGCTACAGCGAGAGGCTGACGAGTGACTAATACCGTTATGCCGCCGCTGCCTATACGCAAAAGTCATCGTGCGAAATGCGAACAGGGAAAGGCGAATTCTGAATATACGAGAGAACGGCCACAAAAGGCCGTATAGGCAGTGAAAAGCTGCCACTCACGTGGCTCCATGCGTGACTTAACCGGCACAGCCACCCCCCCGGGAAAGTGTAACGTGTTATTCATGGAACTCGTCGTTGAGTCAATACAAAATAATTTTCTTTCAATGTATTAATGTACTTTGTAGTCTATTATTTATCTTTTAGAATTATGGCAAACTTTTAGAATCTTAATTAAAATTATAAATAAGATATTGTCCAAGATTTTCTCATTTTTACTCGATTTCTTCTTTGACACTATATTATACATATGTATTTTCTTTTTCCATTTAATCATTTTAAAACCATTTCGTTTTTCTTAGTGTTGTCGGCCCATTCGCACACACACACACGCACACACAGACGGCCAGCACACGGACGGCGTGCGAAGGCGAAGAGTCAACGTGCTGCCACAGCCACCCGCTGCCGCCCTACTTCATTTCACCCAGACACCACCCACAGGGCGGCCACACGGCGCCCTTCCCGATGGCCACACAGGTGGCAGCCTCACCTGGTTGAGCTTAACCCCAAGCCGGTGGCCAGGGGTCTTACTCGCTGAATTATTTTCTTCGCTAGGCTATTATGTGAAATAAGTTTGTCTTTGTTCAGCCGAGTCAATCTAAAATTATATTCTTATTTTCTTCGCTATATCTTGGCTATTATGTGGCGTAAGTTTGTCTTTGTAGACTGTCTGTCGGTTTGTTTTGTCATAGGAATATTGGTAAGCTTTATCCTCATTTAGTAGATTTTGTAGATGAGATGGCTTTGAAGGTGGAAGAAAGAAAATATAAATAATGGAGTCCCCAAAGGAACACTTCAAAAAATAGTAAATATAATAGTTACAATTCAGAAATATATACAAGCTTTTACAAGTCAAATTTAAAGCTTTCACAGAGTCCAAGTTTTAAAGAATAATAATGCCTGTATGGCACAAGTTTCTAAAATTCAGAAAATGCCTAACTTAACTAAGAGCTTAATAATAAAAAACAAATAAATTCCAACTCTAGATCTGTTTTTAATTGAAACTCTTAATATTTCTCTCTACTAATTATTATCCTCTTTTAGCCCGCTTAAACCAAGCCAAGGGTTAAAGTCAGAGCCCAACGATAAACTATGTCAGCCGACTTGTGGGCGATAAGCTACGAATCTCGGGTCCCCCGAGTTCCCCGCAGTTCACGAAGCTGGGCAGCTCGTCGAGTGAATGAGAATGAAAATACGACAAGTCCACGATGCGAGCTGCGGGCTACAGTTTGTTTTGTGTGGAAAACCTGTGGAGCTCAGTATTCGTGCAAATTTCCATCAAGACGGTCGTGAAGCTCGCTCGTCAAACTATACCGAGAACATTGTATCGAAATAGCGACCTCAAAAGACACACACAATTATTTTGAATTTATTTCTTTGGTGCCACAGAGAGTGACTATTAACCACTACCTCTACCTACCACTACAGTGAACTATATAGGATATAGTCCAGGTATCACAGATACCCGGACATACCTAAACCCTTAAGCAGCCAAGAGTGCCAGCGAGAGAGGGCAAAGTAAGTGAGTGCAATTGTCACGTTGTTGCAATAAAGTGAGAGAAGAAAAAGAGCGAGAACGTCGCGTCGCGTCGCCTATTATCATATTGCAAAGAGCAAAACAACTCTCGGGCCTTGCAACTTACATAAACCCCATGTCGGGCGCTCGTAACGAGTGTATATAGTGTTTATTAATAAGTGCCGTGCCGGAGCCGGGGCCGGTGGCCAGAGCGAGACGCCAACAATGGGCGGGCATCGGAATTGGCAAATAAATACAAATATCATCAGTATCGCGCCGTGCACGTTGCAAATGCAAAAAGAACAACAACATCGGCAAAGTAATCGCAGCGTAAACAAAAGCTCTGCTCGGCGCATACCTGACCCTTTCTAAATTCTCGCCGATTGTCTGAGCTATGCGACCGAATTACACCCAATTACAGCTTGTTGGCCTAATATTACGCATACGTAGCGTGATCCCTGCTGAAATCGCCTTGTGTGTGTCCGTATACAGATTGTGCTTTAAGGAATATGAAATGCATTGGTCGCTGGTTTAGTAATGATCTTAAGCGATGTGGGATTTAATCTCTGACCTGGGGCAACATTTTACTTAGCTTCCTCATACAGTTGGATACTACTTTGTCCTATATACTAAAATAACCAACCTAAATTTACCTAAAATAACCTCAAACCACAATATCATAAGCTCTGTTGAGTCTTTGCTTAGAATCTTTTATTTTCCATAAGCCTTTGCAACCAGTTATCAGTAATATTACTCATACGACGCGTTGGACCCCGGGTCTTTCACAGAATTTACATATGTAGAGAGGAACTTGCACCCATTTAGTTTACGCTTCACCTATTCCAATATTTATATATATATTTTTTTCAGTTATTTATTTATTCTTTCTCCTAACTTGACAATTTTCAACTTGTATTTATTTTGAAGACTTAAACTTAGCCTTTGCTTTAAAATTCTTCACTCAATTAAAATAATCAAAAATATAGTCCAGAAAGGCCCTACAGAATCACACAATTCTAACTCTTTAATTTTATTTTTGAAAAGATTTTTTCAATAAAAATCAAACAGCCTTCTACAGGTGTTCACTTAATTTAATTTAGTAAATTATAACAATTAATTACAGTCCTATAAATATCCCCTTTAAGTCTTTTTCGATCCATTTTAATGCTGTTTAAATAATAAATTTACCCAAAAATAAATCCACCTACGACTTATTTAAGTAGGTCTCCTTCGATATCCACTAAATGCCATGACTCGCCCTGCATTTGATGCCACAAATAGACCACAAATGGCAGCAGTTATGACTTTGTCTACGATATAACTGAGTTTAAGCCACCATCTGCGCGAGATTCTGTGTGTCCTGGTGTCCTGAATCCTGCGCTGCATTATCTAACAGCGCCGCCGTCGTGACGCACGACCATATGTAATCCTGCAGCCCAATCCTCCAGTCGGGGCTTCCTTCCGCCAACTGACGTATGGCGTTGGATAATTGGATTCTTGTTTTCCCAAGGGGATTATACAAACGATACTAGTACTGATTGGTTGTTACCTATTTTTAGAGGCCTAATTGCAAGTTGTTCACTTTTTAAAGGGAAATTATGCAATCTGAAGCTGAAAATATTGAAAATTATCAATGCAAATTTTTGTTTACATTTATTCTACATTTTATATGCTTTAATTGTTAAAGTGGATACATCTACCGGGAATATATATTTATAAATTATTAATTTTATTGCATTAAATTATGTTGAAATCCTCATTGATTTCTTGATAGAAGAACTCTCTTTATAACTTTTATTATCTTTTATTTCCAAATAAATCAATGGCTTACTTTACTGTTGTGTAATATATTTTTTTATATTTGTTGGTTTTTGTATTCCTTTTTTATGTTATTTTTGTGGGGGTTATATAATCTCCTTTGCGAAATTTTATGACATACGTAATTATTTTGGGTACGAAAAATGAGATGCTTGCCTGGCAATTAAAAAAAAAACGCCATGGTCAGCGAATTTATGCAGAAGTCACTACACTTCCAGTACACTATGCAACAAATTTTGAAAAAGAAATTATGAAGTCGTATTTATTAATAGGATTTTTAGGTTTTTTTTTAATAATCCTATTTAAGGAAAGGTCAAAAGATGTTCCAAATAAGCAAATAATAAATAAATAATACAAAAATAATGAAGGCGTATCCAAGTATCTTTGTGTCTGTGAAATGTATCTGCATCTCTGGCCGCTTGCTGCCTGCATAACGGCATCCGTCGGAGAGAGAGAGCAACAACTGACAGCGCCTGCAGCTGCACGTGAATGCAACGAAGCGCACACCCATTCACCCCCCTTTCAGGGAACTGTAGTTCTGAGCACACAGTAGAAACCGCCTAAGACAACTGCTGTGGCATCCGTTCTAATCAAAATAATAATCTTTTGATGGAGAATTACCATAGAAATATTATTAATATTTATTAGTTTGTACCATAATATATTAGGTAGTTACATTAGTTCTTCCTTTACCTTGGTCACCTTAGAGAAGCTTTACTGTATTCTCCCCCACTTACACAGGCCACTAATCTGAAGTTAATTAAGGTGCAAAATGGTTACGATTACTTGTTCGTTTTGTGGCAACCTCAAACGTGAATTTGATGAATTTGATTCACCAAGCAACTATTTTGTTTTTAAATTAAACCAGAAATTCGAAATGAAAGTGAAGTGGAAGTAAATTGATTCAGAGGGTGGCAAGCTCTGCAAGCGCATTTGAAATGCGGCAACAGATTTCGTGACTTTATTTCATCACTCGCAGTGACCGAAGTGAAACCATAGTTGTGAAATACTCCACAAAATCAATTCAGGGAGGGATTTAAATAAATAAATAAGATAGAACGAAATGAAAACAAAGAAATAACTATATGAAACTATGAGAAGGAGAGAAGGCCATAAGGCTGCGAATATATTTAAGATTAATTTCTAAATTTTAAAATTATTTTAATGTCTTTCAATATCTTCCCTTTGGCAGATATCTCTCTGGGTACATTTAAGATTGAAAAACTGGAGAACTCAAACACAATGGAGGGCGGCGAGTCCACAGAGTCGACACACAACACCAAGGTGTCCGATTCGGCCTACTCGAACAGTTGCAGCAACAGCCAGTCGCAGCGCAGGTATCCAATCTCCATAAGCACAGCTTCTGACCAACTCCAACTCTTGGAAGAATTGCCAAGATTGCAATTTTCGAAAAAGAAGATAGAGCGAGGCACTCTTCCTGCCTGAAGCAATCCCTCAAGAATTTATCTTCGTTATTAATCCCTGATCTCTCCCTCCTTTTCCCTTACAGTGGCAGCTCCAAGTCCCGGCTGAGCGGCAGCCACTCCTCTGGGAGCAGCGGCTATGGCGGCAAGCCCTCAACCCAGGCCAGCAGCAGCGACATGATCATCAAGCGTAACAAGGACAAGTCGCGCAAGAAGAAGAAGAACAAGGGCACTGGCCAGGGCCAGGCACAGACCCAGACACATCCACATCCCAGCACCACGCTGGACAGGGAAAGGGAAGATAGGACAGAGGAGCCGCGACAGAACCAAAGCAGCGTCGTCGAGGCTGGCGCAGGAGACCAGCAGAATCTGCAGGAGCTGCAGGATGGCGAGGATTGCAACCGGCCCGATGCCGAGCAGGAGGAACAGCAGCAGCAGGAGTCCGGCACCGAGGAGTCGGAGGCAGACCAGAGCGCTGGCGTGGTCAAGACAGAAGCCACACAAACCTTTCCCATACCCTCGCCGCTGTCGGTGACCACTCTGCCGCCATCGGTGCCCTGCCACGTGAGCGTGTCTTGCGTGGACAGCGGCATTGGTGGCAAGTCGGAGAAGACCTGGGAATCAGCGCCGGGTAAGCTGGAGTCCGTGGCCGGACTTGGCGGCGGCGGCGGCGTCGGCGTCGGGGCCGGAGCGCCAGGGGTTCGCTTGGAGCGCGTCAAGGAGGACAGCTTCTGCTGTGTAATCTCCATGCACGATGGCATCGTTCTGTACACCACGCCCAGCATCACGGACGTCCTGGGCTTTCCCCGCGACATGTGGCTGGGCCGATCCTTCATCGACTTTGTGCACATCAAAGACCGCGCCACTTTCGCCAGCCAGATAACCACCGGCATCCCCATTGCCGAGTCGCGTGGCAGCATACCCAAGGATGCCAGGAGCACCTTCTGCGTGATGTTGCGTCGCTATCGCGGCCTCAAGTCGGGGGGCTTCGGTGTCATCGGGCGCTCCGTCAGCTACGAGCCCTTCCGGCTGGGACTCACCTTCAGTGAGGCGCCGGAGGAGGCGCGGCCGGACAACTACCTGGTGTCCAATGGCACCAACATGCTGCTCGTCATCTGCGCCACGCCCATCAAGAGCAGCTATCGGGGTGAGTCGCAAGGGTCCTCCATTAATTGGGTATTCAGTGAAATATCTCATATCTCCACTCTCCCATCATCCACAGTTCCCGACGAGGTGCTCTCCCAGAAGAGCCCCAAGTTCGCCATTAAGCACACGGCCACGGGCATCATCTCGCACGTGGACAGCGCGGCGGTCAGTGCCTTGGGCTACCTGCCGCAGGACCTCATCGGACGCAGCATCATGGACTTCTACCACCACGAGGACCTCGCCGCCATGAAGGAGACGTACGAGACGGTGATGAAGAAGGGTCAGACCGCCGGCGCCTCCTTCTGCAGCAAGCCGTACCGGTTCCTCATCCAGAACGGCTGCTACGTCCTCCTGGAGACGGAGTGGACTAGCTTCGTGAATCCGTGGTCCCGCAAGCTGGAATTCGTCGTGGGTCACCATCGCGTCTTTCAGGGTGAGTCCATCTTGAGCTGCGCTTGGAATTTATGTACTATCTACATATATACCCTTTGTCCAGGCCCCAAGCAGTGCGACGTGTTCGAGGCGGCGCCCACCTGCAAACTGAAGATTTCCGAGGAGGCGATGGGCCGGAACACTCGGATCAAGGAGGACATCGTCAAGCTGCTGGCGGAGACGGTGTCACGTCCGTCGGACACGGTCAAGCAGGAGGTGTCGCGTCGGTGCCAGGCCCTGGCCAGCTTCATGGAGACACTGATGGACGAGGTGTCGCGGGCGGATCTCAAGCTGGAGCTGCCGCACGAGAACGAGCTGACCGTGTCTGAGCGCGACAGCGTGATGCTGGGTGAGATCTCGCCGCATCACGACTACTATGACAGTAAGAGTTCCACCGAGACGCCGCCCAGCTACAACCAGCTCAACTATAACGAGAACCTGCTGCGTTTCTTTAACAGCAAGCCGATCACGGCGCCCGTGGACCCCGATCCTCCCAAGACGGAGCCGGCGGAGTCACGGGAGCCCCGCGAGTCACGGGCTGGCACCTGCGTGAGCCGGGGCGAGGATGCGCGCGGCGCCCTCAGTCCCGTTCAGGGTTTCGGCTCCGGTTTCGAGGGCAGCGGCGGCAGCGGCTCCTCCGGGCACTTCACCACCGGCAGCAATGTCCACATGAGCAGTGTAACGAATACCAGCAACGGCGGCACAGGAGGCACTGGCACCGGTACGGGCACTGGAACGGGCACGGGCACCGGAACTGGCACAGGCACGGGAACGGGTACGGGCACGGGCACGGGCACAGGAACAGGCACGGGTACTGGTACCGCCAGTGGAACAGCCACGGGAACGGCAAGTGGTACTCCTACCGGAACAGCCACCGGAACGGGTAACGGCAAAGGAACGGATACCCATACGGCTGGAAGTGGAAGCGGAAGTGGAACCGGCACGGGCACTGGGACGGGAACGGGAACGAGCACCACCGCCACCGGGAACAACTCCTCGTCCAGCACACCGCCGGTGACCCTCACCGAATCGCTGCTGAACAAGCACAACGACGAGATGGAGAAGTTCATGCTGAAGAAACACCGCGAGTCCCGCGGACGCACTGGCGACAAGGGCAAGAAGTCGTCCGCCAATGACACGCTCAAGATGTTGGAGTACAGTGGCCCGGGCCATGGCATCAAGCGTGGCGGCTCCCATTCTTGGGAGGGCGAGGCGAACAAACCCAAGCAGCAATTGACACTTACGGCAGGCGGAGGCGGAGGCGGTGGTGGCGGTCTCGGTGGCGGTGGCACAGGCGAAACCACTAAGGGAGCGGCTGGTGGCGGCGGAACCGGTGGCGTGGGATCCGGCGGAGCGGGCGTGGCGGGAGGAGGAGGAACGGGAGGCGGAGGCACGCCGACAAGCACACCAGGAGCAGGAACTCCCGGAGGATCGGGAGCAACAGGTGCAGGAGGAGCAGCAGGAACAGGAGGAATTGGAACCTCTTCTGTGGGCAGCTCCACACCGGTGCCCTCCTCATATCCCCAGTGCACCCAGAACATAAACTTGTGGCCGCCCTTCTCCGTCGGCATCACCACCCCCGTCCATTCCACCCACACGGCTATGGCCCAGAGCAGCTTCTCCTCCGCTGGCCTCTTCCCCACCTTCTACTACATCCCCGCCTCGCTGGCGCCCACCAGTCCCAGCCCCAGTCCCTCGCCGCGCTCCCACAAGCACCAGCACCAGATGGCCCATTCGCATTCCCACAAGAATCCAGAGCAGCCGACGACGTCACAGCAGGCGGCAGCAGCAGCGGCAGCGGCGGCGGCCCAGGCCATGCCACTGCAATACATGGCCGGGGTTATGTACCCCCATCCGTCGCTCTTCTACACACATCCGGCGGCAGCGGCGGCCACGGCAATGATGTACCAACCGATGCCATTTCCCGGAATGGCCAATGCCATGCAGGTGCCGGAGCAGCCATGTGGAGCCCAGTCGTCCTACAACAAGACAGTGTACACGGTGAGTTGAAGCCACCCAAGATGCCTGAATTACCGTCTACTAATCATATTCCTCTCCTGCAGCCGCCGCAGGTAATGGTGGCCCCGTCTGCGACGACGACCAAGGTGCCGGGTGCGTTCCACTCGGTGACTCCCTCCCAGCTGCAGCGGCCCTCCTCGCAGGCGACCTCTGTGAAGGCGGAGCCGGGCTCCAATGTGGCCCCCTCCGACTCGTCTAAGAAGGAGGTACCCGACTCCTCGCCCATCGCTTCTGTGATGGGCGACTACACCTCAGACCCGCCCTGCAGCAGCAACCCAACCAACACGAAGGTAAGGCTAACTCAGCAGCTCAAAGAGTTGCCCACTTGCTCACCTTCTTCCAGAACTAGTTGGTGAGGAAGTGAGCAAGAAAAAGCTAAGCTTTCTTTGAAGGAAGAAAATAAGCTAAAGTAATATCAAAATATTTACAGAAATACACTGACAGCAATGGAAACAGCGACGACATGGACGGCTCCAGCTTCTCCTCGTTTTACTCGTCGTTCATCAAGACTACGGACGGATCAGAGAGCCCGCCGGATAACGACAAGGATGCCAAGCACCGTAAGCTGAAGGTATTTACTCAGGTTAATCGACTGACTTCTTAAATATGAGAGAGATGCCTTGAATTTCCATTGACTGACATCGGTGGGCCTTCGAGTTGGAGACTTTCAAGCTGAGTAATGCTAGAACGATTATGTCACATCTTACAGAGTATCAATACGGCGGACAGCAAGATCATGGAGCATCCGGAGGAGGACCAGACGCAGCACGGGGATGGGTAGCTAAACCCGCAGGTGCTGCTGACCGACGTACACAACCGGGTCACCAACGTGACCGACGTCGATCCCTAGGACGAAGCCAACAACAGCAGCAGCAGCTACCGAAGACCCGTAGGGATCTGGGCCATGTGTAGGTAGTCCCTGTCCTTACGAGACTCCTCCGACTCATTGCCACTCTCCTCCTTTTCAGTGCTCCGGATGATCCGGAAGCCCCTAATCTAAGTCTGAATCTGAGGAGGAGCAGCTCCAAGCATAGTTCTAAGCCAGATGATCTCGAAGGATACCCACACAATAGCCACCCACCCAGCGGAGAAAGAGGATCTGCCAGCAACCAGAAAGACTTCAGTTTTTAAAAGTCAAAAGCAATGCAATATAATTGCACCGAGGAATTTCAGCACCTTCAATGAAAACTATCTAACCTGCAGAGAATCTTTTTCAGTTTTAATGCTGTGACTAATACGGCTCTTAATTTATTTATTTCTGTATTGAGCCACAAAGTAATAAAATCGGATAAAATAGCTTCAAAAGAAGACTTTTAACCCACACCCACACCAAGCCCTGCCTGTGTATTTAAGTATTCGTTAGAAGCGGTTGGAAATCTTAATTCAATTAACTATCCTTGACATGAGTGTAAAGATTTGGGTATATTTTGTTTATATATTGATTCAATAGGTTTTTAGTGCAAAAATAAATCAAAATATGAGGAGATAAGAGAAAATGAGGAACTCTCTCGTCGAAGCTCTTGTTACTCGTCCTTGTGCTTTACTCGCCATCTGTACTCGTCAGCTTTAGTCGTCGAATTGATCTTCGTATGATCGCTCGTCTCAAAGAGTATATGTGTAAGTAAATGCAATATATTGTTTTATTCAAAGATATTGATTACAAGAATATAACAATCTTGAGTACATGATAAACTGCACTGTTTACTGGTTCTCGAAGAACGAGTCGTAGGGTATGGTGTTCCACAAATGCTGCAGCATGGACTTGAAGGCTGTGGCACTGGCCTCATTGATCCTCGGCTGGACATCGATGGCCAGGGTGTTCCACTCTTGGTTAAGCACCTTCAAAGTGCTCTCCCGCAGCTCCACGTTATCGTCAAATAGATTCGACATGTTAAAGTGGCCACTGTACAAATAATAAAGATAAATAATGCTACGGTTTTAGGGATTCCGCTCCAACGACATGCATACGCTACTCACCCCTTGATCTTGGTGAGCACCTTGTAGTCGGTGATGCTGAGATACGTATGACCATCGTTTCGCTTCACTGGCATGGCCGTGATGCGCGACTTGATCTGCACCTCCTTCATCTTGATGCTCACGTCGCCCTTGCTAACGATGGGCAGGATCAGCAGCTTGCCGTTCACGTCGTACTTGGAGCGCAGCTCCAGCTCCGGGACGTCGATGACCATGACCAGCTTGAGGGGCTTGCTGAAACTGGGGTCTTTGACGAAGCCCTTCAGGCTCTTCACAACGCCCGTGTCGGCCAGGTTGTGGAGCTTCGCTTGGGCCATCACCAGCTTGAACTGCACCGACTCCGAGTGGCCACCACTTTCCACGCGCACAGTACCCAAATCGAGTGGTTCGAGGCTGGCCACCTGCAGTTCCGGGATTCCCAGCTTGAAGGCTCTAAGGAAGGCCTGGGCCTGAGCCACGAAGCAGGTCTCGTCCTCCACCTTGCAGAGCTTCAGTGGAGCAGCTGTGGTTGATTACAGGAAATAATTTCATAAAGATCACATTTCACAGTCCTGGGGTAATCTTGTCTACTCACGGAATCCACCCTTAGCCTGGTTACTAACAGGCATTAGGCACAGGAGACTGGCCCATGCCAGGAACGTAACCTTCGAAACGCCGATGAACTGCATTTTTTTCCCCGTGAAAATTGTATCTGTTTCCGTAGTATATCCGTTTTCTTCGTTTCCCGCAACGACAACTGATGAACTGACCAAGTCCCACCGAAAGCCGGGCCTATTTATGCATCCTCTGGGGGTGCGAGTTCAAGAGCGATGTTGGGTCCAGATCGGATTATTGCGCCTAAACCCGATCGTACTGTCTGAAACTTTATTAAAATTATTGCCTACGGAAACTTGATCGAAACGGAAATACCTAGGGGGGTTTTAGTGCTTAAATTACTAAATTTATACATATAGTAATCTAAGAAATCGGTCGACCAATATGCAGTAACTTCGAATAATTGAAAAACTTTCCAGTTTGTGTAAAAGTTCTTTGGAGATCCCTGCCCTGGGCTAGGGTTTCTGGTTTACAAGATTATGAATTCTTATAAATTTCCCAAATTAATTATTTATATTTAATAATAAATATTTCCTAAATTAACTATTTATTTTTAATATTTAAAATTTTCCAAATGAATTATTTATATTATAATAATTCCCAAATTAATTATACAGATATATACAAAGTTTCCCGGATGAGCACAGAGTAAGTGGGTTGCCGGAACACCGCATTCGGCACATAAATCGCATCCAAATCGAATATGAGTGAAAACTAAATCATTTTCGACTTGGTTGCAATGGAGAACGGGTTTCTCTTCTCACTCCGTTCGCTTCTACCAGCCTCCCTCCCCCCTACAGATCTATAGACTATATATAGAGGTTCTATCATCTTGGCTGAACTTTAGAAATTCATCCAATAAGGCAAAAGTATACATAATGTGGTAGACCCTGATGTTTGCGTAACTGGAATCTGCCAAAGAAAGCAACGAAAGCAATTACGCATTCGATTCGACCCGATATCCCCTGGAGAATCGGCGTTAGTGGTTCCGCCTGCCAGTGGTTGACCATCAGATCGGACACTAAGTGACAGTGCGTGTCAGCCGCCGGCTCTAGGTCAGCTTTTGAGCGATGACGAGAGTGTAATTAAACTCTTGATCTCTTCTGCCACGTCAATGGGGTTGCTTTGACAGGGGCCTGTGGCTGATCAAGATATAAATATATATTCCCCAGATAAACATTTAACATTTACCAAATGTTAATTATATTTTTAAGACCATTGATAACTGTGCCTCTTCATTTTCCGATTAAGTTCATTCCAACTTGCCAAGCTTGACTGTATTATCCAATAAAGTTATAAGTTATAAGCCATAAAGTTAGCTTAGCCAGGCATCGCCTCGCCTTATAAGTGGGGCAATTAGAGAACAAGCACGGCTTGGGAGTCAGTTAATAAGGCAAACAACTTTATTTACAATTAACGAACATAAACCAGGGGTGGTGTGGAAAGGTGAGCGACTCGGGCGGGCACTGGCGACTTTGCGGCACGTGGCCGCTGACTATTGACTCCGACTGTCGCCTCAGGCTTTGGCTGGGTCCGGCTCGGTGCCCAGGTTCTTCAGTGATTGCTCAAACTCCACGGCGTCCACTTGCCGCTTGCCAATATCGTGTGGCGGCGGTCCGATCAGCTCCACCACCTGGTCGTAGTCGAGCGTCTCCTTTTCCAGCAGAGCCTCGGCCAGCTGAAAGAGAAAAGGGCAAGGTTAAGGTAAGGTAAGTTTCCGGTGATCGATGACGGACATAAAGTCAATAAACTATCCGGAAACCGGAATAACCGATTCCATAACAGAAATGAATGATGATGAATGAATATGAATAAAACATCCAAAATACAGCGAACGTAACCAGTTTCCGATGCGATTTTGAAATTAATTTCACCCGAAATAGAAACTACAAGCCGCAGAAACCAGAAGCAGGACTCCGACTCCGCACTAAAAAACTTACCTTTTCCAGCTTATCACGGTTGGCGGTGAGTATGCCTTCGGTGGTTTGGTAAGCATTGGCCACCACATGGCGCGCCTCGTTGTCGATGAGCGTCTCCATGGCCCGTGAGAAAGGCTTCTTGCCGCCGCTGCCCATCGCACCGCCGCTCTCCGTCTCGTCGGCGTCGCGGACGTAGATAGGACCCAGGTCCTTGCTCATGCCGAACTTCTTTATTTGTGAGTACGCGATCTTCGTCACCTTCTCCAGGTCGTTCTGGGCGCCCGTCGTAATCCGATTAAAGACCAAATTCTCGGCCGCCCGGCCACCCAGCGCCATGCACATCTTGTCGAAGAGCTCCTCCTTGCTGTACAGATGCTGCTCGCTGGGTGTGTACTGAGCGAAGCCCAGGGCCAAACTGGTGCGCGGCACAATGGTCACCTTGAGCAGGATGTCCGAGTTGGGGAGCATCCAGCCGACCAGAGCATGTCCGGACTCGTGGTAAGCAATCACCTTGCGCTCCGCCAGCGACAGCGCATGCGAACGCTTCTCAGTGCCGCCTGGAATATCAAATAATATTAGAGGTTCTCTCTGGATCCTTAAAATTCCTTCGTTTTGACCACTCACCAACCAAGCGCTCCACGGCATACTCAAGGTTCTTGCTGCTCACCTCCTTCTGCGTATTTCGCGCCGCATGCAGGGCTGCCTCGTTGCAGACGTTGGCGATGTCCGCGCCCGAAAATCCCGGCGTCAGGCGCGCCAAGCGCTCCGAGTATGTGTCGGGCGGCGACTCCAGCTTCACCGACGACAAATGCTTCTCGAAGATCTCCTTTCGCTCCAGCAGTGTGGGCAGATCGATGAGTATGTGACGATCGAAGCGACCAGGACGCAGCAGGGCCTGAAAGCGAATGGAATGAATATGGCCAGTCGCGTTCCTCTTGGAATCACACTCACCTTGTCGAGAATGTCGGCCCGGTTCGTGCTGGCCAACATGAGGACTCCCTCCTTGGTGGCCATGCCATCCATCTCGACCAGCAACTGGTTGAGCGTCTGCTCCGACTCACCGGAGCTGCCCTGGCCCATGCTCTCCGTACCAGAGCGCTGGCGACCAATGGCATCGATCTCGTCAATGTAGATGATGCATGGTGCCCGCTTCTTGCCCTCCTGGAACAGATCACGCACCCGGGCTGCCCCCAGTCCGCCAATCATCTCGATAAACTCGGAGCCATTCATGCTGAGGAACGGCACCTGGGCCTCGGTAGCCACTGCCTTGGCCAGGAGCGTTTTGCCGCAGCCGGGGGGACCCAAGAGTAGGGCTCCGCGCGGCACCTTGGCTCCTAGTCGCTGGTACTTCTCCGGGGATTTGAGGTAGTCCACGAACTCCTTCACCTCCTGCTTGGCCTCGCTAAGGCCGGCCACATCCCGGAAGAGCACGCCGCGGCCGCCATCGAAAGGGTCCACCAGCGTGAACTTGGCGCGTCCCATTTGGTTCTGGAATTCCGCTTAGTTTGAGATAGTTTGGGATATCTAGTCGTGTCCACTTACGAATGAATCCATGCTAAGTGGACTCTTGACGCTCTTCATGCGCGTGGCAATGGACATGAGCAGGGCACAGACGAGCAGCAGCATGAGGATGCGGCCGGTGGTGTCCGTTTGACGGTCGTAGGTCACCGGGACGCCCTCCTTAATGCCCAGCCGCTTCTCCACCTCGCGCAGCTTCTCCTCGAACTTGTTCGCATCGGCCACTGCCATGTGGAAGATGGTGGAGGAGACCTTCCGACCCTTGATCACGGCATCATCGTGCAATATGATAGTGACCATTTCCATGTCTGGCCGAATGATGAGCTCCTTCACCTCGCCCACGGCCAGCATGTGGTGAACGAACTCGTTCCAGGAGACGTAGCGCGTGGATCCCTGGAATGGAAATGGATGTGGTGAATGGATGGATAGCTACTCCTCAAGGGGCCGCAGTCACCTCTGGCCTTTCGGAGCGCGGTGTGATCAGCAGGGAGAAGAAGGCCACGAACATGTAGATAGTGAACAGCCACAGCACGGCCTTGGTCAGGACGGATCGCATCTTCTCGTCGTTCTCATTGCTGTTCTTGTTGGGATCTTCGGCAGAATCGCCGCTGGAACTGCTTGAGGGATTGGCAGAGCTGGACGCCTCCCCTCCTGGGGACTTGCTGCTACTGTCATCGCTTACAGATGTTGCAGCTGGCTTCTGCTTGCTAGATTCATCCGTAGGCTTGTCTTTGGATCCCTCCTTTTCTTGCGTCGGCTCCTTCGGTGCTTTGCCGGAGGTGCTCAAGCAGCGCAGGTGCATCAGACGCACTTCCCGGGGCGTAAGTTGCAGCGAGCGAGCTATTACGCCCACAATCGCCTTGTATTCGGCCTGCAGCTGCTTCACCTGCCAGTGCAAGAAAAAACCAAGGACGTTAATAGGCTTTCTGGAGCACCTCATGGTCACTCACCTGTCGCCGGCTGAGCTGCAGAAGCGATAGCTCCGGGCTGACGCCCTGCTTACCACTGGCGCCGCGGATCGGACCCCACTGGTGGCCGCCACGCTGCAGCAGCACATTCCGGACGTGCCGCAGGCCCTTCAACATCATTCCCTTATTTCAGCGGCCAGCTAGAACCCAGAATTCGAATGCGAATACGTAACTGCCCTCGGAATACGTAGAATACGTAACTTTGTTTCTGTATATCTGACAGATCAGAAAAAGTCGCTATCTTCTTTGGATAGGTGGGGGGTCGATGCCCAGTTGCCGGCTCCGAGCTTCCCTTGGCCACCCCGCTTATTTTGTTTGCGTGCCGGCGCCCAAAAAAGTGATTTAACCAACTAAAGAACACACGAAATTTACTTTGCCGCAAACGGCTACCTATCGATATTCATCAGCTGATTGGGAAGGCACGATGAACGATGCTTGTATCGATAGGCACGGAGACAGATGCATGCGATAGTTGATTAAAAAACGTTACTTCTTATTTTAGTTTTAAAAAAAGTCGTTTATATTTATATATATATGTGTATATATATTGGCCGGTTTAATAAGTAAAACAATTCAAAGCGCCTATTCGATTTTCGTAAATAAAAATAATAATAATAGTGCTATACAAATATTACTTCGTACTACATACATACATACATAATAATAATGTCACTGAATTGAGTAGCTAAATTTGTTAAATGTTGTTCTGCGTTCTGTTCTGTTCGTTGTGTAATGGCATTGTTGCGCTCAGTAGTTGTTGTTCACGGGGCCGTCGAAGGGGCCCATGCTGTCGCCAAAGTCCTGCATCTCCTCCTCCATAGCGTCCTCGAACTCCTCGCCCAAATCCTTGGACTCCGGGCACTTTCGACAACGGCTCTCGTTAACGCCGTAGTTGATACACGTGGAGCCCACGCACTCGCAGCAGCCGTCGTGGAACCATCTGTAAGGAAAGCGAGAGTTTGAGAGAGAGTTTCAAATATTCGAATTGAAAATATTAAATTTTTCTTTTCAATTAAAAAAAAAAAATTAGGATCCAAGCGCTAATATATGTATGTCCCACTATCCGATGGAGATATTAGCTACTCCATGGGACTTTAGCCCTGGATTTGATCTCTCACCTCGTGCTGCTGGCACCAGTTGTTTGGCAGCTGTTGCGGCACTTGTTCCACGATACGCACTGATCCAAATATATGACCGTGCAGTTCACGGTCACTATGTTGTCGCGCTCCTGAATCGCCTCATCCAGGTTCTTATCATTGGTTCCTGAAAATTAGACATTGAGGCTATAAGGAACTTCGTCTTCAATTGCAGCATTTGACACTCACTCAAAAAGTAATGTCCGTCCTTCTCCAGCTTGGGACCCTTCAAGTACTTGTCGAAATCCACTTGAAACGTGAACACGTTCCAATTGTAGCCGAAGCTGTCGCCCTCATCCGGTGTGGCAACGGCGTTGAACAGCTCTGGAACTCCGTCGAAGTCCTCCACATGAGACTTTTTGGACAGCGAGTTGCGCGTGTCATTTGGTTTTGGGCAGAGTTCTGTGAAATTGTTTAGATTGATTTATTTATTTGATCAGTTATATTATACTAATTTATATCTATTTAAATTATTTCAATTAAAAAAAAAACTGTGCAAATCATAACTTCCTCTTCCTTTTCTTTGCTTGTTAAACCCAGATTTATTGAGCAGCCAGTAATTAAAAATGATTTATTTGTATTTTTAGAAAAAAAGACACGCTTTTCCTTCTCGGATCTCGTGTGCACATTTGTTTTGAACGTCATGCTCGATTTGTTTATAAACAACATCAATGTGGATCCAACGTAAATTTCATTTCACAAAAACTCGGTCGTGATGATTCCAATCTATTTATTTACATCTTCAAACACATTTTTCACATTTCGCATTGCTTATGACTCAAATTGGTATTGATATCCCTTAATATGTAATCAATTGTAGGCTTTTTATGTTATAGTTATTAATGGGAAATCATAATATGTGAAAGTTTTGTCAATCATTTTCGTTTTGGCCTTTATATAACACCAAGAAGACCTAAGATATGTGCATTATAGAGACTATAAATTGATAATATTATGACATTTTATTGGACAAATGGAAAATGCATAAATTTCAATACGGAAAAGTTGCTGTGCTAGTTTTATTTTTATTTAATTGTTGACAAATTTAATGATCAAATATAAAAATATAAAGATATGAACCGGAAATGGGTAAGAAATCAGTTACAAATATCTAACTAAACTTGAGATACCCTCCAAGGGTGTAATAATGAAGTACATTACAGAAAGGCTTTTCAAACTTGTTGTGCTTCCACCATAGTACCTTAAGCCTTACTCGCTCCCGGAAGGGTTAAGGCTCCGTCAATCGCCAGCTCAAGCCCGCTATCGATAACTACATACATAGTTGGCACATCGCAAGCTCTCCCCCATACAAACATAAGGCGCCGCACACACTTGACGACGTCGAATAACAACAACAACAACAAAAAAACAACAAAAACAAAGCGTTGGAAATCACATCATCACAGTGAATACAATCGCTTCGACCATTTATGCACCCTACACCACCCACCGCCCAGCAGCGGCGCTGCAACAGCGATCGGGTTCATATGACCTTACCCACACAACTGCAGCACTCCTCGTAGTTCTTGCCCAGGCATTTCAGGCACTCCTTGCAGCAGGAGCAGTTCTTCAGTTCGCACTTGCAGCTCTGGGTGAGCATGCACTTGGAGACGATCGAGGCGCACACGACCTCGTTGCAGGACTCCACTGTGCCATAGAAGCAGAGGATCCCCAGGAGCACGAATGTGCCCACTGTCAGCGAGCGCCAAATTTCCATGATGATGTGTGGTGGGTAGGTGTGTGTGTGTGTCGTGTGCGTGTGTATTTGGGGTAACGGTCGGGAACGGAATGGAATGCTATAGCTTTGAGTTACTCTATAGCCGCAGATGCGATGCCACTGTACTGTATATATATACTTATATGTATATATACGGGCTTCTGCCGTGTGCGTGTGCAATTTACAACAAATAACAATTACAGGCACACCGACAGACACAAACGGCTGCTTCCAGGCATTTGATGGTTTTTTGCACTATATATATGTAACTTATAATGGGCGAACTATATATTACAGAACGCAACCGATCAAAACAACAACAAGCGACACCACAACGAACACTAAATAGCAACAACTAGCGAGCGGATCGACGACGGATCACATGCGCCAGCAGAGGCTGCGACGTCAACGCCGACGTCGACGGCAGCTGAGCAAGCGACAGCGGCCTCTAGTTGTTTTTGTTTTTGTTATTGCTAGGGCATAAACTGTCTTTTTCCAGCCAAACTGCAACAACAACAACAAGAGCGGCTAGACGACACAAACGCACCAACACGAGTACGCGAATTAAGCGCGCACACACAAACTCCGGGCTCAAACAGGCTGGCTCAAACGCACATACACCACTAACACACACATGGACAGGCCAGACTTAGAAACGTAAACACGTTACGAAGCGTCAATTCGAATCGATGATGCTGACGCCGGCGCCGCTGCCTTTGTTGACAATTCCGGTACGTTCGGATAGGAATCGGAATTTCAATCTGAATCTGGAAGATCGATCGGCGAGGATCGGCGGATCGAAGGCGAGGCGCACGCGTACGCTAACTGAATGATCAACTAGCAACAACACAGTGATCGATTCGTACGACACCCATGCATACACACATACATATATACGGCCCTAGAGATGGGTGCATCTTCATCTGCACATAAACTAATTCACTGACTAATTGCGGTTATATTTTGGTATTAACATAAATCAAGGCAGGTGTGAATAATATAAAATTTGCAATATTCTTAAGAAATACAGCATGTATTTAAAAATCACCTAATAGTTCAAATATGTATTACAAAGTCAGTTTGCAATATGTCCGTATTTCAAGGTAATTGCATAGGAATACAAATGTACAATAAAGACGTACGCCAATTAACAAACGTTTAAAATATCCATAGTTTTATGGAAAAACATAAGCTTCAGATAACTATCGGCTAATAAAACAGCCCCCCGTTGTAATACTCACGCGAGCTATCGCCTATCGATAACGCTGCCATCAGCTGTGTACAAAAAAAGGAAAACAAAATACAAAGCGACATAAACAAAGTTATGAAAAATTGACAATTTAACAATGTTTATGTTTCGCAACTGCGCCGTACTGCTGGTGATCGGCTCCGTCTGCTGCTTCATATTTGGCCTGTTCCACCTGCACTCGGAGGTGGAGCCAAATGCCTGCAGGATGACCTACATGTTCAGCGAGCCAATGTTTGCTGTAAGTATTCGTGCTTCTGGATGTGCAAACTCTGAATTTACGTGATTGTCAGCCTGTTGGAGTGAAGGATGGCGACCAGTACCCGAACTACGGACTGTATTACTACTACGAAGCCCTGCGGCAGCCGGTGGATCCGCTGAAGCGCAAGATGACCGGAGCACCGGTGATATTCGTTCCAGGCAACGCCGGCTCCTACAAGCAGGTACGCTCCCTGGGCTCCGTGGCCCTGCGGAAGGCCATGTCCGATGATGCCGGCATCCGTCTGGACTACTACACCATCGATTTTGACGAGGAGTTGTCCGCTCTCTATGGCGGCTACCTGCACCGCCAGCTGGGCTACCTGAAGCTGTGCATCCGCACAATTCTATCCATTTACGAGAATCGCGCTGAGCAGCCATCGATCGTGCTCATTGGCCACTCCATGGGCGGCAAGCTGGCGCAGTCGGTGCTGATGGACCCGGTGATTGGCCAACATATAAATACGATTATCAGCATTTCTACGCCCTTGGATGAGCCTGTGCTCAATTTGGACGGCCAGCTGGAGACCTTCTACGCTCAGACAGACGCCGTTCTGGGGAAGCTGCGCACTGCCACGGTGCCCACGAGTACGACGAACGTATGCGACAGCCTGCACCAGCGGCCGCCGAGTGTAGTGCGAATGGCCAGCCAGGAAAGCTCGGCGCGCTTGGACAATGTGCTCCTCATCTCCACGGGCGGCGGAAACAGGGATCTCCTTGTGCGACCCGGGCTGACCACCTCCAGGTTCAACGATCTGCACGCAATGGTATTTTATCCAAGTATCTAGTGTAGATCCTAGTCTAATATGTTCGTTCTCCCCGTGTAGACCTCGGCTATTCCGCGGGTGAGTCTCAGCTGCGACCACTTGTCCGCCGTGTGGTGCCTTCAGTTCATGCAGGCAATCAACCGCTTCCTGTTCAGCATTGCCCACGTCCGCGAAGATCGCTCATCGGTGATATTCGGCACCAACAAGCAGCGTAACCTGCAGTCAGCCCTCGCCCACTTTGTGGTGAGTTTCCCCCAGGCCCAGACGATTCCATGCCGCTGATTACTAATTAACCCCCAGAAACCACGAAGGCGTCAGCAAAGCACTGTGCGCCTGGGAGCCGCTGGCAACTGGCACGAGGAGCGGCGCCTGGTGATCAACAAGTTCTTTACCAACGGCCTGAAAGGCATCTACTACGATCTGATCGGGCTGCAACGCCAGGAGCGGTACAAGAAGATGACCATTGAGGCATTGAATGTGGACGACGACGATGACTGGCTGTTCGGCTGCGCCGCCGAGGAGCACAACAAAACAGGGCAGCTCTACTGGTGAATATACGAAGAAGTATAATAAATCGTATAGCTAATCGATTGGTTGGTTAATCCAGCGAAAAGGCCACCTCGCTGATGCATCTCGTCCAGCGGCTGCCCAACGAAGATCGCGATCCGCGCAGCATTGCCATTTTGGATCTACACAACCTGCGGAAGACGTACCTTCAGTGGACGCATGTGGTGGTGCGGCTACCGCCCAGCCAACGGCGAACCGGTTATAATCTGGACATCTACGATCCCAAGGAGCGGGTAACAGACATTCGGATGCCCCGTTGGTATACCATGGCTCGGCTGCCGATGATCAATGAGACGCTCCAGGGCACTCTGCATCATCGCATTCGCATCGCCGAGATGGTGGATCCCTACCAAAGTATCCGGGTGATCGTGGAGTCGCTGCAGTGCATCAATCCGGAGTACCGAGTGACCGCCAGGCTGTGTGTTCCCTGGGCAGCGGGCTTTGAACGTTACCAGACATTGAAGTAGGACGGACTACCAATTCTAGGCTATTCCAGGGAAAGGATTTAACTTGTGGTTTTCAATTTATTGCAGATCGGTGGACCAGAAGCCGCAGTTGTTCGCCAATGTGCCCACCCTGGTGCCCAGGCACTACAATACCACGCTGAACCCGGTGACACTCGACCTGTATCTGGATCCCGTGTGTCGATATCGGATCAGGTGAGAAATCTCTTTCTCTCTCTCTCTCTCTCTCTCTCTCTCTCTCTCTTTTTCACTGACCCACCACCTCTCGCTCTGATCCACTTTGTTTTGCTTCCAGCTACGAGTACTCCTATGCCTCGGCCCTGTCCCGTCTGGTGCTGGAGTTCTATGGCTGGCTGCCCGCCCACCTGGCCTGCGTCCTGCTAATTGTGCTCAGGAAGCAGGTGCAGCTGTTCCACGAGGTGGGCAGCTTCCGCAGCCTGCGGCCCTATGTGGGTTACCTGCAGTACACCTCGCTCTATGTGGTCACCGCCTGTCGCCTACTGAAGAAGGTAATCATTACGAGCCGAATCCTGCCAGAGCCGGAGAACCTGGACTATAGCATCAATGTGTCCATCGTGATCCATTGCGCAGCCATGGCCCTGTCCTTAATGGCCACTCTGTGCACCTGGCTGGCCCTGACGCTATACGGCAATGCCTTCTATCGCGTGGCCCTCCGGCTCACCCGCCTTTCGCAGGCCAGCTCCAATATAATGATCTCCATCATGACCCATTTGCCGATCACGTATGGCATTCTGACTATTGCCACGTCCGTGGGCACGTGCAGCGGCCTGGGCCTGCTCCTGGCCTTTGTCTTCTACTTCCTGATGCTGTCGAATGCCTACAAGGATTATCTGGAGGATTTCCTGTGGCAGAAGGCGGCCAATTTGGTGCGTGGAAAGCCCAGGGCGGTGGCCCAGAATGATGCCCAAGAAGAGGAGCCGGAGAATCAGCTGCAGGAGGAGAAGGAAGATAACGAAGAGGAGGAGGAGGGACGGAAGGGCGAGCAATCAGAGCCCTGCCTGGGGCTTCAGAACTTCTCCTTCCACGTCACCTTGCTCCTGATGTTGCTCATGCAGCTCCTGCTCAACGCCCCCAGCAGCTTGGCCTGGCTGCGCAGTCGCCGGTAAGTTGTGGTCCAGGAATATACTATATAATTAAACCTTCTCGATTTCAGCCACGGAATAGAGCTCCCAGATCCGAATCTGTATCCCAGCATCGTGGTTCTGGGCTCTCTCAGCCTGCTTCTCCAACTACGAGCGCCCCAGAAATGGTGAGTGTGCCTCCTCCTCCTCTTCTACTGAAACCATTGAACACCTTATCCCCCTGCAGCTATGGCTACTGGATGCTCTCCATCGTGCTGTACTTCTTGGCCGGCATCGTTCTGCTGTACTGCCAGGCTGCCATCTACAGGCTGAACTTTGTGCTGGCCGCCGCCTTCGCTCTGCTGGCGCTGCACCAAAGTCTTTGGATACTTTGGCGTCGTGTGGCTGGAATCTAGTTTAATTTCTTCGTTCTCCATGTGTTAATTTGTTATTTATTGCCGTGCGTTAGTTAATTCAGTCCCCCAGTGTTACGCAAGAGACCACGAGATCGAGATCTGGGTCCTAGCGGGAAGTCCAAAACTGGGCACACACCGAATGGGCGTGCTCTCCCGTGCGTAATGCACGTATTAATTGTTTTTTACGCCTGCCAGCAAGCCGACAGCCGGCACTTTTGGTCATCGTTCGGGTGGCGGCAGTCACGACGTCAATCTCCATTTGCGTAAAATGTGTGAAAATGCCATAAACCACCAGCACTCGGATTTTCCTTTTAGCTTGAAAAGACCAAAGACTTACTAATAGTTGATATAGTTTTGTTTTGTTTTGTTTTGTGCTTACCTTGATACTACTTTTATATAGTTTCCATATGATCAAATAATTAGATAATCAACGTGGGATACATGTAGGTAGCTGCCACAATGTAAAACGTCCTGTCAAGTATTTTTAAAAAATTTTTTTTATTTAGATTCCTAAACAAACTTACAATTTTATACGATAATTTAATAAAAAAAAATAACAATAAACAGTATGCAACAGCAGACTTTCGATTTATTGATTTGGTGCTGTGTTAGCATTGCCCAACTGGATTCAAAATCCAGTTTCGTGCCATCCACACCATCCTCACATACTTAATGTCTCATTTGGCGGCAATCTGGAGCAGTCATGGCAATCACGCAAACTGGGTGAGGCTACCTACAACACCATCGGGAATTGGCTTGGATTGGATTTGATATTCAGTAGTTAAACACGCTCTCCCGATAAGGCTAGGTGTCCTGTCCTGTCCATCAGTGTATATATATGTACATGCAGAGATTCATAAGCAATGCTTTTATGGATGCCGACATCTGTCAGCGAAAATGTGACGAAAGTCGAGATTTGTTAAATAATGACATTTCGCTCTCCAGGCATATGCTAATGCAGCCCAAACAGGTGCTAGTGCACGTCGACACGAGACTTACCATTAAAAAATCAATTAATTACGAGAGGCACCTTTCGTGGTGTTGTGTAACATGCAGCGATAAAATGCACTGGTTTCGCACTGAATTCGTAAATGATATCTGTTTACTCGTTTTCAATTAGCCAAAGTGTTTATGGTGTTATTGAGGCCTTAATGGGGGCTTAAAAAATTGAATCTTTTATAGCTGAATTAACTCTACAAATTCATTCATTCGATACTGATAGCTTTAAAGGAGCAGAGCTTGGAAATATGAGTTCTCAAATTAAAGTATATTTAAAGTAAAATGAAGTTATAACCGTTATTTTAAATTTTTAAAATAATTAAAAATGAACATTATTTTTAAATTTTTTACAAATTACAACTGTTACGATTCCTGTTTTGTACCAATAACCTAAATTATTGTCGATCTTTCTAATCTTAAATAACTCCCAAGAATAATTCTGTGTTTGAATTGTTTGTTAAAATATTTTATTGGTAAATCTCAAAAAAAAAAACAATACAAATACGACTTTTGTTAACAGGCATTCCATGGCATTCTATATACATACTCATGTGCATATAACTATATAGCTTTGTACAGTTTTGAGCTTATACAGAGAGTTATGGACAGTACGATTATATACATAGTTATAAAAATTGCAGACTATTGCCAGTAGGCACTCGCCAGTTGCACGGGACCCTGCTGATATGGCGCCGATGCCATCACGTTGAAGCTGCGGGAACGGAGAAAATTCCGAGTCATTTAACTTGGATTGACTTCAAAATAAAGCTGGTTTTCCAGATTCGGGGTAAATTTATAAATACTTACCGCATGGGCTCCGTGTCGCGGTAGTAACGCGGCCTGGGCGCCACATAGTTGCCCGAAGCAAAGCTGCGGGGATTGGCCACCGGGAAACGGATGCTTTGCGCCCTTCCTCCGATTCTTGCCCGCGCCTGGGTACGGCCGGCTGTAGCTGCGGCTCCGGTTGCAGCCCCTCCACCTCCACCAGCAGCGGCGGCGGCTCCAGTAGCTGCGCCTCCTAGATTATTCAGTGCAACCCCACCGCCCAGGCCCAGGCCAGCCAAGCCCAAGTTGCCCAATCCACCGGGCGCTGCTCCGGGTCCTGGCTGCTGCCACATGGCGGCTAGTTGAATGGGCACCAGAGCGGGCAGCGAAACGGTCACCGGAACGCCGGGCGGTGGGCCCGCCGGGGCCTCGGGTGCCGGAGCTTCGGGCTCGGGCTCTGGCTCCGGTTCATCTTCCGGCGGTGGCGGTGCCGCAGTCGTCACGGGCTCTGGCTCGTCCTCCGGCTCCGGTGCTGGCGCCGGTGTAGTCGGCCTCGCCACATCCTTCCAGGCAGCCAGCAGGGCTAGCAGCTCATCCTTGGTTACGTGCGGACTGGAAGATGGCGGCAAATGACTGAATTCAAAGCTCGGGCTGCTACTCCACCCATGACCGCCGCCGCTGCTCCAACCGATAGGCGGACCAGGACCAAAGAGGGATCTCTGCGGTCGTGGAATCGCCACGGGACCAGGGAATCGAGGCGATGGAAGGTACTGGCCGCTAGCCAACTGGTCGCCCAGGGCCAGGACCAACAGGATCCCAATCCCGCCCAGGCAATAAGTGTTACTCGGATATCTTGCCATAGTTACAACGACTCGACGGGAGCTGCAGTGCGCGATGTGTGTCTGCGCGGTGAACCGAATGCGCTGCTTTATATACCCCAAAGCGACCATGTCGGGGATATGATCCCCGAACTCCATTCGTCGCGAATTGGGTTAACAATTGGCTAGCTGACTGGCTTGGAGCTGGAGTTGGCTGGAACTGGAACCGGACCGCTGGCCGGAAGTGTCGGCGCGTCGAGGAGCTGGGATGCGGGATGTGGGTTGTGGGATGTCGAGGAGCAGAGCTGGAGAGATGCAGAGGAGTCAGGCAAGCGGCATTGGCATTTGGCCAACTGGTTCAGTTCGTCGCAGTTCAAATGCAATCGCCGTTATCCACGCATTGCGGTGTGCCTAGGAAGCGTGCACCATTTATGGCCGGCCATTGCATCACCCATACTCACGCCTGGACGACGACTGGACAAATCCAAATCCAAAATAATGTGAAAAGTGGAAAGTAAATGCCGAAAAGCGCGTAGAAAAAGCGGGCAGATGGAAACTGGTTATCCAGCTCCAATTCCCTGACAGCTGCTGTGTAGCACAGTGTTTATGTTGTTCCAACGCAACCGAGTTGCATTTTTAATGACCAAATATATATGCCAATAGCTTATGAATTCAGTTGGGCAAAAATCACATTAAATGTATAAATAAAAGCCTAATAATAGAGGAACACACTGCGTATACGTGATGGGATTAATAACCAACAACTAGATGTCATGACATCTCTCTCAAATAGCCAATCCAATCTTTAATAAAGTACAGTAAAATCCATAAAATTTATCTATTAGTTGAGGGAACAAACCCACGAGAAAATCAATTTTAGCTAAAGCAACACTGCGTATGCGTAACGAAAACCACAAAACAAAAAGCTAGCCATCCTTCATTGCCAAACTGTATATATGTATGTATAACCTTAATCATCATCGTTTAGCAAACAGTCCCAGGACTTCTTATCCTCGTGGAACTGAATGAGCACCAGCTCATAGGTGGCCACTGTTCCTGCCACCTAGGAAATGCCAAGTCATGCTTCAAAACCTTGAAAATATATCATTTGCGGGCTACTCTAGGTAACTCACCACCAGATACATCTGCCTGGTGACACTGAAGAACTTGAGACCGGTGAGCGCAACCCGATCGCTGGCCAGCTCCGCGGCGAAACGTGAAACCTCCGGATGGTAGCCCTCCGAAGGCACCATGCGTAGCAGACGCAGAGGCGCCCGGGCCTGGTCGTTGATCCTTGATACGAACAGGATCACGGCCGAGGAGCGGCCCAGCAGAAACAAAAGCGAGAAGTAGAAATAGACGGCGTGGGCAGAGGAGGGCATTGTGCTGGGACGGGGACAAGGTGGATTTAGTTTCTTTTCCTCCTAAAAAGTACTCCTCCTCCAACTTACTTTATGCTCTTGAGCAGCTGCAGGCAGACAAAGTACAAATTGCTGCCGAAGGAGATTAGTATGATGCCAGAAACGGCGTCGTCCACTTCCCGGATGAGCTCCACAATGGAGCGGTAAAGGGTGCGCGACCACGTCCAGTAGGCTTCCGGCATTGGCTGTCGCACCTGCTGCTCCAAGCTGCGGTTCAGCCTGGCCAGCATCTCGCTGAGTCCCAGGCCCAGCACCATCAGGAAGATGTCCATGTAGCTCCAGCCGAAAGTCAGCAGCACGTTCTGCAGCTTGCCCAGCCAGCCCAGCCAATTGGAGTAGGGGAACACGGAGAAGAGCTGGAGACTGGTGCTGTCCAGGTACGACTCCACGGGGTCGCTTCTCTGGGGACAGAAGTCGTAGTACACCGCCGAGATGATGCTCAGCAGGTGCTCCACTGCAAAGGTGTGAATTAAGAGTTCAAAACGGGAATAATTCTTGGTATCTAATGGTTCACCCAACTCAGGGATAGGGCCAGCAAAAGGAAGGCCACGAACTGGATGCGACGAGCAGGACGATCCCGGTCTCGACAGCAACGGTAGCCCGGCAACCGATCCTCGACGGCAGCCCAATGACGCATCAGGCCGGGCCAGAGGCTGGCCAAGTTTAGGAACTGCCAGGAGGCGATCAGGATGCCAACGTGGAAAACAATTGGCTCTGTGGAGGAGTAGGAGAATGTGGAGGCTTAAGACTGAACCTGGACTCGGACACTCACCCACGCTGCGCACATCCAGGACACCGTGAAACACTTTGCGAACACTGAACATCAGGTCTACGGATGTGGAACAGAGGTAAAGGAGACTGTACCAGAACCGCCAGCTCCTTCGGCTGAAGCTTAATCCTCGATGGGTGACGGCACATATCCCGCTGACGGGCATTATGCAAAAGAACTGGGCCACCGCCAGGACAGGAGCCACTGCCTCATGAAAGGTGCCGTTGTGGAGGAAGTTCTGTCTTGTGCCGCGCACCTGGGTCTCTGGAAATCCTCAGATATAATTAATTAATTGCCATTTAGTAGTCTTGTGTAGTTCCCCACCTCGACTTTGGGCCACGTCCCTTTTTAGATGTTCGAGAAAGGTCCTTCCTTGATCATGGAATTGGCGTACGGCCCGGTTTAAACGATTCGATAGCCTAGTCCGTCCTGAAAACCTTTCCCATTTCGAACGCATCCTGCCTGTATGCTAATCCTCGAATGCAAAGGTGCAGAAAATCCACCTGTTATCCCACTAATGAGCAGTGATGCCAAGTATTCGGAAATTGTACCTACGGGCTTTCATGCCCACTTTTGGGTTCCGGGTATTTCAGAATGGAGTACACTCGACAAAAGATTTCTTACTTATAGGGCATACATTTTTTTAATCAAAAAATCAACCGACTCTATAGTATATAGGTTACTTATATATTAAAAAGTACCTAAAAACCCCAATTAGGTACACATGACTTATGATACCTTATTGTCACTGCTAATAAGAGTTTAATTGCCGGCAAAAGGTGAAAGCCAAATGGTGCTAAAACATGCAAATTGTGGACACAGGTGGACAAAATTCAACTATGCATACAAAACCCATAAACTTAATGTAAAAAAAGTCTAAATAATTACTGTTACAGTCTACAATTGGATCATTATCCATTTTGGTCAAATGAAACTAAACAACTAACAGGAGAAATCTGCGCAAAATATTTAAAGTGACAGAAATAAATAAAAAAGGGAGTGGCCGGATATTAAAAAATTTTTAATTGTTAGTATTTATGTATCTAATATGATTTAGGTTTGTTTTAATTTTAACTGAATTTTCCTGAATTTTGAGATTTCAGAAATTCCTTTTTGGGGCACATCAAAAATATAAAATATTTACAAGTATGGAAATTGTATTTTTCTAATTTTTAAATTGCAATCGTATTCCTTTTTCAAAAAATATAAAAGTAAGTTTTAACAATTCAAAATTCTGTTCACCCGCGCTTGCGCAGCGGCTCCGAAATATCGATAGAACAGAACGGCACGAGAATAAACTCTCCAAGGGTATCGATATTTTTCTCCAAACCCAGCTTGGCAATCGAAATCGCGATTGTGTGGCTCAAAAAAAAGGAAAAAGTCGATACCTCGATAGTACCATCGATAGTTTCCCAGCTCTAAGACGAAATCGAAATCGCGAGCAAAGAAGTTCTCCGCGGAGACTCTTTTTTCCCCCGTTCCCATTCCCGTTCCGTTGTGTTGTTCTTATTATTGCCGTTAATTGCCAAAGAAAATACGAAACGTACGAAATACGAGCTGCGTGATCGGAGATCTAACCTCCCCCCCTCTGTCATACAGCGTGTCACTGCCAACGTTAAAAAAAAACAAAAACAAAAGGCCACAGTCAGAGGAAGGCCAGAATCGGTTGACTTTATACTTTTATTTATTTTTGCATTTTTTTCCCTGTTGTCCTGCTTAATATCTGTGTTTGTTAATTCGAAACGAGTGCTGTGCGCCAAACAAAATGCAATTTAAACGCATTTAAGGAACGAAGAGTACAAATAAAATAACGAGCGGAAACACACAGACGCGTACAGAAACGAGTTCAGGTGAGTGTTACCAATACCAGATTCTGTCCAAAAAGCAATCAGCCACTTTTGTTAACAATTTAAGTCAAGACAATTGTGCGGGTTTTTGTTATTAGCCTTGTTGTTGTTGCCGCTGCTGCATTTGGTCCACACGCACACACATGCACGCACGCGCAGAACTGCATAGGTATGGGTATAAAAAAACGATTAAGGAACGGCTGTTTCTCCCTATTCATGAGTTTATCCCCATCTCGCTCTGCCGCATCCGAAATCCCGATTCCACCCTCTTAAAACAAAAAAAAATCTGCAATGATAAGGGAGGGGGAGAACATTAGTGGAATAAGGAGAGGGAGAGATGATGGGAGCAGGCTAATGCAATACACTGGCAGAAAAATGTTTGCCAATAATACATGCGATAATAAATAAGAAAAATCCCTATCGTAATATGAAGGTCAGGCAGGGTAATAGAAAATTACTAGTTAAAATATTTTAATATTAAATAATATTGTTATATTATTTATCTTTTTCTCTGCTTATTTACATTCTTGGTCTTCAATAATCCCCTCCTCTCCTCCCGCAAAGGCTTTTGTTTTTATTTACACCGATATTTTTGATTCTGCTGCTTCCGATTCGCCTTCTCTTTCCCTCCCAGCTCTTTTAAAACGTCAGCTGCATGAATCATCCCATTGCCCCGTTGTCCATCTCTTTCCCGCCCAACAACAGTTGGTAGCAGAACTGCGGCGACTCATTCAACTCAAGTCTCTGAAAAAATATTGAGAAAAAACCCAGCTCCAAAACGTTCCAATACACATGTGCATTATTTACATATGTACGTCATACATACATAGATTTATATATGTATTCTTACATACATATATACTTTCAAAAAACATATTGGGGATTTAAAGCTGCTACTTAGCTTTCGATTAGTCAGCAAAGTGCAACGAAAGTGCGAAATATTTATGGTACAATAGCACAGCAAATAAAAGTAAAGACCTATTGCTTCCTATTAAAGGTTTTAATTTTGTAACTTTTAACAATAGGATCTCAAAGTTGGATTTACTAGATGACGGGTGTAATGAACTGTTGCTGTCTATGTTAAATATTTAAAAGCTTAATATGAAGATATTAAATATATATGTATATTTATTTTAATCCATCATTTATAATACTCAAGCGTAAGTCTGTAATGTCGATAACGTCACACACAGATAAGATGACACATATTTTTCTCTCTGTGGGAAATAATTATTTGCATACAATTGCCTCCTCCTTCCGTACGTAAAACACATATTTATTGATTGATTATATTTAAGCTTCGTTCCGCTGCTTTTCTTGGATTTTCGATAGGGGGGCTTATAAGGAACTTTGGCGGTGGGAAACCAAGGCTGATAAGACTTTGATGTAAATATATGCACATGTATGTATGTATAAACATTATGTGCTTAGCTGTGTGTACATAATGTGCGTATTTTTGAAAGAGGGGGAGAAAACTGGAGGAATCCGTACATCCCAGCTGAAAGTGGGGAGCGTTATCTCTGATATCTGTGCCATCATCATTGCCAACTGTTGAGGGGCACTCCTCCTCCCCCACACTCGCGGCCAGCAGCATAGCTCTTGCAGATTGATATTGTGTGTTCTTTCCCAGAACTCGGAATCCTAAAACTTTAGCTTTAAAACGTACGTAAATATTACAATCGTTGAAATACTCTATAGAATCTATGTATATTTAATCTCTAAATATTTAAATCCTTATAAAATATATGATAAAATATGATGATTGTCTCTATTAGTTCCACCGCTGTTGTAAGATCACGCACGACTTGGGACTGTTCTTATATGGGATGCGGTGGTATGGGATGGCATGGCCTGGGCATGGTGTTCTGTGCTATGTGGGATGCATATTCAGATTCCCAGTTGCGGGCTGTTTTACTCTGCTTCTCCCCTGTCCAAAAACCAAAAAGGAAAGAACTGAAACAACAAGAGCTCTGAAAACAAACACACATGTTGATCATGCATGAAAGCGAACCGCTGTCCCCACTTATCACCCCCTTCCTCTGGGCTTCCTTGGTTTTCCATGGTTCCCGTTCCCCATGGTTCCATATATGTCCATGTACATATGCATGTGTGTACGTAGCACCCCCTTCTTCTGGTGGTGTTCGGTCCCTTTCCCAGCTTTCCCAGAAGAGTAGCTAGCAGCACGCACCGGAAACATCGTTAAATGCGTAACAAGGCGCTTTTTAATTTAACCGAACCAAATAGAAAGCATTAAATAAATGGAATTGTGTGCATATGCAAAACAGTTGGACGCAACCAGCGTTATCTCTGCACAAAAAATACAACTGAAAAACAAGAAAAACAAAAAGTTACTGAGAGAGTGACAAAGCGCGGCTTAATTGAAAGTGTCATTGATTCAATACGCGCAGCATATGATGGTCGGTTCTTGTTTTTACTGGGCAACGGAAAGACGGGTGTAACTCGGCAGTGAATATGGAAATATAAATGGAAATGCGATTGGGAACTTGAACGGGAACCATTTGATTCAATTTGTGTCGTCGGGCACTGTAGCCATCGCTTTCGCCTCTTATCAATTCGAAGAGAAAGGAAAATGAAAATTTAATTGGTCGTAAAAAAGTGCATTAATGTTAATGTCGCTGATACCTCCTTACAGCCCTTGTTCGCAACGATAACAATTACAAATTCAAAGAGGCCTTTTGCTAAGAGCGAGATTTCGAAAAAAGACTGTTTCGGAACCCAGAACTTGTGTATGTATGTTATGTGTAAGGCCTCAAGCAGATAAGAAATCGCTTTCAAAAACTCACTGACAGCATATCAAAACCATTATTTATTTCAAAATCAGAAATAAGACACTAACAAGGGCGACAATCGGTTTTGGTTATCGAATTACGGCTCTAATCAAACTATACATGTGTTAATCGCTTTCAGTCAAGTTTTGTATGTAATCAAAACGCGTTTTCCTTAATAAAAAGTAAACACTTTTCTTCAATAAACCGAATAATATAAGTTTATCAATGTGTTCAGGTTTTATTCAAAATTCATGACAGGTTTTATCACAACTTAATCATCAAACACGGTAGCAAACTTTATGTTAATAGCTTTTCTCGCATGTTAGTCCACAGACCAAGGAAAAGACAGATTAAGTCGAATAACTCCCTCACCAGACATACAATAGCCAAATTGCAGTTTTCCGATTAGTTAAAAATGTATAAAAACTGTATTTTCCCGACTGGCTTTACCAGAATCAGCTGGCTGGGATTATTCATTACTAACCAAAAACCCATAATATTCCGGAATCTTAATCACTCTCATTCACATTAAACGCTCTCCGATATCAGTGCTGATAGGTCTGCGTGTATTAAGTTAAAGAAACTGCATTTCCATACAAAGAACGTGACTAAGAAGAAAGACCATTTAAATGCAAAATGAATACGTTGATTTAATAAAAAGAAAGCCGCAGAAACTGGTCGATTCTGAGTCATCAGTACTAACTTTACCTGATTTTCAGAGATGCCATTACTATTTAGTTTTAAGCAAATTGCAAGTATTTGTTAGCTAGCGACTCCAATAATAAATTAAAACGGAACTGTAAAACGAGTAAAATTATCATTTAATTATATCTTTCAGTTGTAAGGCCTTAAAGCCATCTGACCGTTATAATTTTCGGCACCGACGACTCCTTAATTATCCTTTCATGTTCCCGGTCGGCGCTGACATTGATCTCCATTTGAATCCTGATTTGATAATAAATAATCTTGTGGCCATCAATCACTACACAGTCACAGTCAGCAGCTATTTGATATGTGTATGTCATGCTGTGTTATCCAAAGCCACAGAAAGAGCCGTTCGCCTTGCTGCCGACTGATGAGGAAATTGGAGGAAACCGAAAACCGGAAAACTAGAAATGTTGCGATGAAAAATTCGTACAAATGTTTAATTTAAATTCGTGCGAAAACTGGCTCGGTTGGGATCGGATCTCGATCATTACGATGGCCAGTTAACCGGCCGAGCTCGATCTTATAACGAAATCAGTCCGCATAAATCAAATGTCTCGGATGCGATATCTCACGGAATAGGTCGTTGTCGCTGTCGTTGCCAGTGGGAGTATGCAGACTTCCTCGCTAATCCCGGCTACAGGATCGGCTTAGATCGAGTTTTTCCACAGTTCAGCCTGCACTGAGCTAAACTCCAGTGAAGCAAACTGGGCTATATTGCATCCGCAATGCAGAAATTAGTTAAATGTTTTAAGTCGTCTCACGTACTTATTTATGTGCGTCCATTCATTCATCCAGAGCTTTTCATTTTCACGCGATGGAAACTTGATTTCGGTGATTATATGTATTTCCTTTATATATGTATTTCCTTACACACAGAAAAATGCATTGGGAATGGGTCACCATGTTGTTGTATACTTATAAATTCTTCAATTTATTCGTAATTATCAGAATTACATTCCCAATAATGGCAGATTAATTCACATTACCAGGTTTTCTGGACCCTTGGTACAATTAAATCCAAGTTCCGGGCTTCCCCTCTAATTGGAATAATTAATTAGGTATATATATTAATACACATCCGGTTATCTAATCTTTAAAAGAGCCCCACGAGATTATCAGAAATTATGCGGGCTCAAGTAGTGCACTCTTGATGATTCAAACAATATATCTTATAATAATTATAAACTGCATAAATCCTGCTCAGAAATATATACAATATCAATGTGATTAAACTTTGGGTTTAAGTTAAACAAAGAGAGGACAGCTGGTTTGCAAATGGGGATTAGTCCTGCTCTCAACATCGCTAATGCTGCCTTTTCGATTTCATTGTTTCTTCCAGAATGGACATGGAAATGACGATGAACCTGGAGACGACGGACATGCAGATGGATGCCCCAGCGGCCACGCAGTCGATCTACCCGCATTCGGCGACATTGTTCGCCGCCATTAGTGCCTGCGTCTTTGTGACGATCGGTGTGCTGGGTGAGTAATCCTCCTCCTTCTCCTGCATCTCCTGCCCACTAACCTGCTTGGCTTGACATTGCACGCAGGTAACCTGATCACCCTGCTGGCGCTGCTCAAGAGCCCCACGATACGGGAGCATGCCACCACTGCCTTCGTCATATCGCTGAGCATCTCGGACCTGCTCTTCTGCTCCTTCAGTCTGCCGCTGACAGCGGTGCGATTCTTCCAGGAGGTGAGTGTAATAGTCGAGCTGAGAGGATAATAGTGTCATTTATAATCGTTGCTTATTATTTAAACCAGAGCTGGACATTTGGCACCACTTTGTGCAAGATCTTTCCCGTGATCTTCTACGGCAACGTGGCCGTTTCACTCCTCAGCATGGTGGGCATCACCCTGAACAGGTAAACCAAAATCCCCTCTCCGCTCCGGCTCAAATCAGCTAATCCTCCACGTTGAAACCTAATCCCCTGGACAGATATATACTCATCGCTTGCCATAGCCGATACTCGCAGATATACAAGCCCAAGTTCATAACCCTCCAGCTGCTGTTTGTGTGGGCCGTTTCCTTTCTGCTTTTGGTGAGTACAAAGAAGAGGAAGTGAGATTTCCAGATAGAAATGTCTTTAGGGTGATTTTCAATCGCTAATAAAAACATTAAAGACATGCTACTAAAAAATAATACATTTTCCTGCAGCTGCCACCCATTCTCGGCATTTGGGGTGAAATGGGACTGGACGAAGCCACATTCTCCTGCACGATCCTTAAGAAGGAGGGACGATCGATCAAGAAGACACTGTTCCTGATTGGATTCCTGCTGCCCTGCCTGGTGATCATCGTCTCGTACTCCTGCATCTACATTACTGTGCTGCACCAAAAGAAGAAGATCCGCAGCCACGACAACTTTCAGATTGGAGCGAATGCGGCGGGCAAGGGATCCTCGGCAGGCGGCTCCTATGTGACCACCACAAGTACGAGAAAGGCGCGCGAAGACAACCGACTGACCGTAATGATGGTCACCATCTTCCTGTGTTTCCTCATCTGCTTCCTGCCGCTGATGCTGGCCAATGTGGTGGACGATGAGCGAAAGACCTCGTATCCCTGGCTGCACATCATCGCCTCGGTGATGGCCTGGGCCTCCAGCGTCATTAATCCAATCATTTATGCGGCCAGCAATCGCAACTACAGGTAGGATTCATTCACCTTAATCGATGTCCATAACTCGTTAATTGCAATAATTACTGTCTTACAGGGCGGCCTACTTCAAGATCTTTGCGCTGCTCAAGTTCTGGGGCGAGCCGCTGTCGACGACGGCAAGTAGAAACTATCACCAAAGCAAAAACTCCAAGGAGCTGTCGGGCGTGATCCGCAGCACGCCGCTCTTCCACGCTGTGCAGAAGAATAGTATTAACCAAATGTGCCAAACATATTCAGTATGATCGAATCGAATCAGAGTCGGAATCAGTGTCGAGTCTTTGCATTAAGAACTTGTAATTCGTTTATCAACTATAATTAATTATTACCGTTTAATTTATAAATATACGCATCGATGTATGGCTGCGCTTACATCAAAGACAAATATATATACGTAGACCAATTGAGAAATGCTAGTGTTTTTCAATCTCTGTGTAAAGTTCTAATGAAAAACTGTTTAAAATTCGATTAGCAAATACACTGTCATATAAGACGGCCTTCTACTAGAACGCCTAATCAAGAAACACATTAAGGAACTACCAGTAGAAACTTTGAAAACCTAAAATATTTATATCCATGCTGCTTATTGAGTGTCTTCCGATAAAGGAGTGATGGGTGCACGAAATCATTGGTCTGTCTTCCATATTTATATGATTAAACAACTTCAAGTTGCAAGTCAGATTAGCGGAGCTTTTCAAGAGAATTTACAAGTAACCACCGACCATAGGCACATGACAACTATAGAGGCAAGTACTTTTTGTTTAGTGAACGTCATTTAGTTATTAAAAATCATAAAGAGAGTAAGCCTCTACTCCTCTAGTTTTCAGCTAGCAAATGCGCGCCATTTTCCGGTTCAGTGGACAGCTTACAAAGCTTGTTTCAATAGTAGAATCATTGCATCCACGTGACAGACACTCGCGGTTCTCTTATTCACAGACAAAAAAAACATAACAAATAGCACACAGTTTTTCGTTTCACTTTAAAAAAAAGGTTTTATTTCTTTTCTTCATCTGGAGAACCTTAACGCACACTATATAGACAACCGAAAACGATCCACGGTCTAGGCCTTGAGGGCGAACTTGCGCTGTGGGAAGATGGAGCGCTTGCGGATCTCCTTCAGGGTCTTGCGGTTGGCGTCGCGCGGCGACAGAGCCTTGCGGATGGCGCGGGTCTTCTTCTTGCGCAGATCCAGGGGCTTGTACTTCTTGTTCTTGAAGACCTTACGCAGATTCTCCTTCTGCTTCTGGTGCATCACAATGTAGACGCGAGCGATGGCCTTGCGCACAACGCGGCTGTAAACATAAACAGCGAATGGTTAGATTAGCTTGGCACGGACAGGGGGAACACAGGGGCATATACTCACATCTTGGAGAGCTTGGAGGGAGCTCCGCCCGTCACCTTGGCCACACGCAAGCTGAGCAGCTCAGTCTTGAGCTCCTCCAATTGCTTGGTGAGCTCCTTCTTGTCCTTCGTCCTCAGCTCGGAGCACTTAACCTTCACCTGGTCGACAACACAAACAATACAAAAAACATATCATTAATAATCTTCGCATTCTCGAGTGGCACACAAAAAAATAGCATTTCCATCGTGTAAAGCACTCTATTGGCTGTGCATCCTTAGGCCTTGCAGTCCACTTCGTGCACGGATGTCACTTATTTTTTAAAAGTAATTTTCGCACAAAAAACACCAACCATTTTCTCGCTGGTCACGTCAAAAAAGAAAGAGCTAGTTGATGGACGGTGTGACCGGAGGTGTAGAAATCAGTGTTGCCAGGTGGCGATAGCTGAAACATCCCACGAGTGGTCACACTAAATAGCACTCGAAACGGGCAATTTAAAAAATTATGTCGCCAAATTAAGAGAAATGCAATAATACGTACTCCAATTTATTAAGAATATCCATTAATTAGTCTTCTAATTGGATTTCTTCCATTTTCCTGTCATTTCGAGTTGGCAAATAACAGCGTTGCCCTGCCCCAGACAACTCTGGTTCTCAAAACTCGCCAAATACATTGCTGATATTTCAGCAATTTTGAAAAACCATTTATAATTAAATTCAAGAACTAATATTATTATGTAAAATTTAGTTGAAAATAATTTAATGGTTTTGCTACAGCCACACTTGGGGTCCTATCGATATCATCGTGCCGGCCGGCCCCAAAACTATCGACTGCATCGTTATCGCCGCCCGGTGCCTTAAGAATCCACTGTTTTGGGTTTTTTTCATTCACCGCTGCCCGCGTCTTCCATTCGGTTGTGTGCGATTCTCTGTCTGCTCCTCGTCCAAGCCCAGAACCCAATCCTTGCGAGAATGTCGAAGCCTAACTACAAAGTTGGTGAGTTATAAATAAGTGCAGAACATCGCCGACCGGCAACAGGCGACAAGCTCACTCACATATGCGCGGCGCGCACATGTTTCTGAGGTTAAACGTGCGCCGGCGAGAAGAGCACGTTGTTGCCGGGCCAGGCTGAAAGAGGCGTAAATCAAGCACAGGAAGCTTATCTGACTCTATCTATCTCCTCCTTCGCCCTTCTGTTGCCGCCGACAGCCGATATCAGTCTGTCGCCATGGGGACGCAAGGCGATCATCATCGCGGAGAACGAGATGCCCGGCCTGATGGCAGTTCGGCGCAAGTACGGTCCCTCCAAGATCCTGCACGGCGCCCGCATCACCGGCTGCCTGCACATGACCGTCCAGACGGCCGTTCTCATTGAAACCCTCATTGAACTGGGCGCCAAGGTGAGTTTCCATTCAAAGCAAAGATTATACTAGATAAAAGTGCCACAGCTACGATCACAATACTAGCATCACAATCAAAACAAACATATTTTTAAAGTTTTAGGCTGGAATAGGGATTAGATAGATATTCAACTCAATTTCCTTTCCAAAATATATTTTATTTATTTATGTTTAATGTAATTTTTTTTAAATTAATTTGCAGGTTTTAAGACATGTTTATAGATATTTAGAAAATACACCTAACTTTATTTTCTATAGTTCAAGATGTAGAAAAACATTGCGAAATTTTTTAATACAATTTGTATTTATATGAAACCTAGATTTGCCGAATAGCACTAAAAATAGATAGATACTCCTCATCGGTGTCAAAGGGCCGTGCCCTTATCATCTTTTGTTTACGCACCGATTTGAATAACAAAACTTTCGTTTTGACTGAGGGGGGGCAAGTTCAAGGCGCCCGAGATAAGATTGTTATTTCCTCTGACGCAGCACGTTTTGTTATTTTTTTGATCCTCGCACATGGCAACTGTTGCGGAATCATAATGGGCTTCTAAGAGACCCCAACGTCTTCCACTTAGCAAAATTAGTTTGCTATTCAAACAGAACTTTCCAACTAGTTTTACAATGTAACCAAGGATTCCCAATCAGTTATTCCATCAAGCCAACGGTAACCAATTCAATGTTAATGTAGAAGCCTAGCTTACCTTTTGAAAATAATCGCACATTCTTGTCCTTAACAAGATCTTGGCAGGTTCTTTTTGAGATACATCTGCTTTAAAGTATTCGTTGTCCTCGTATCTGTAGGAAGATCTATCCAGGGAGTAGTATACATCAGAATTTCAATAGAACTCATTTCCTATGGTATCCTGTAGGTGCAATGGTCCAGCTGCAACATCTTCAGCACACAGGATCATGCTGCGGCAGCCATGGCGGCCTCTGGAGTGCCTGTGTACGCCTGGAAGGGCGAGACAGATGAGGAGTACAACTGGTGCATTGAACAGACACTGGTCTTCCCCGACGGCCAGCCCCTGAACATGATCCTGGACGATGGCGGCGATCTGACCAACCTGGTGCACGAGAAGTTCCCCCAGTATCTGAAGGGCATCAAGGGCCTGAGCGAGGAGACGACCACTGGCGTGCACAACCTGTATAAGATGTTCAAGGAGGGTCGCCTGGGCGTCCCGGCCATCAACGTCAACGATTCGGTGACCAAGAGCAAGTTCGACAACCTCTACGGCTGCCGGGAGTCACTAATCGATGGCATCAAGCGGGCCACGGACGTGATGATCGCCGGCAAGGTGTGCTGCGTCGCCGGTTACGGCGATGTGGGCAAGGGCTGTGCCCAGGCCCTTAAGGGATTCGGTGGCCGTGTCATCATCACCGAAATCGATCCAATCAATGCCCTGCAGGCGGCAATGGAGGGCTACGAGGTCACCACCATGGAGGAGGCCTGCAAGGAGGCTTCGATCTTTGTGACCACCACCGGCTGCCGGGACATCATTACCGGCGAGCACCTAGTGCAGATGCCAGACGACTCAATTGTCTGCAACATCGGTCACTTTGACATCGAGATCGACGTGGACTGGCTGAATGCGAACGCCAAGGAGAAGGTCAACGTGAAGCCGCAGGTGGATCGCTATACCATGAATAACGGCAAGCACATCATCCTGCTGGCCGAGGGCCGTTTGGTTAACCTGGGCTGTGCCCACGGACACCCCAGCTTCGTCATGTCCAACTCCTTCACCAACCAGGTGCTGGCCCAGATTGAGCTGTGGACCAAGTCGGACAAATACGCTGTCGGCGTCCACGTTCTGCCCAAGATCCTCGACGAGGAGGTGGCCAGCCTTCATCTGGAGAAGCTGGGCGTGAAGCTCACAAAGCTGACGGACAAGCAGGCCAGCTACTTGGGCGTCTCGCAGTCCGGCCCCTTCAAGCCCGATCACTACCGGTACTGAGTGCCCACTCCGATCTCTGCACCCGCGCCCGCGTGCGGCAGAGCCGGCTATGGTTACCCACTAGTTATATCTATTGTTTGCACAATTCACTGTTCACCTAAGCTCCAATAAAAAAACAACTCACGTACTCTCGGCGAGAGAAAAAACCCCAATTCATGCTTGAGTAAATGTCTCTACACGCTCGCTCTCTCTCTACACTCTAGCAGATGGGGTATATTGGCTTGGGAGATATTTTGGAGAGAAATAAATAATTAAATTAAATAATTAGTTTATACATTAAAAACAAGCTTAAGAATTTTATGAAATAATTTAAAACAATTTTGCTTAATTGCTTAAAGTTTTATATAGATATATATATATTAATATTACCTATGATTTTTATTCAAAAAATCTAAAAGGCCTTGAAAAAATTACTTTTCATTCAGTTAGTTGCTAAATAAAAACATATTGTTTCCAGTTCCCCTTAAATGCGGAAATCTTCGAAAAACAACGTAATTGCTCCATGACCCGACAGAAAATAAATTCATAATCTAATTAAATAAAAAGAAACAATATGTCGCGTGAGATGGAGTGACTCAACGGTTTCACTCCACTCGCACATCTGCGCGCTTAGCTTATCAGCATCCCCACCCGGGTGTAGGGTATTCGAGATTAGAGATGACAGATCAGATGCCGTTGATCGCGACCTGTTCGCCAGCTAGGCCTGTCCCGCTCTCTCTCCCACGCTCTGCGCCAAGTGCAGTGAGTGTTCAAGTACAGCCGTCCCGCTTGCACATGCAATTGCAGCGGTAAAATAAAACACATTTGGCGTTATTTTGTTAGTTGTTTTGGTTGTGATTTGCGTTGTTTTTCACTTCACTTCGCCCGCTGAACTCGACAAGTGCGAAAGGGGTGCAAAATTCTAGCACTCCCGGACCGAAATTACATCACACACAATGGGATACGGATACGGTGGTCTCCTACTCCTGGTGTTGGCCGCAGGCCTGCCGCCAACCGCCTTCGGTTGGATGGCCCACTTTCGCCCGTCCAAGCTGAGGCTACCCATGGGCAACAGCACGCAGGTGCAGCTCTTCTTAGGGAATGTGGCCCCGTCGACACTGCAGCAGCCGGATCGCTTCGTGTTCCGCTTGCAGAGCCTCAACGAGGGACTGGCCAGAGTGCCCGAGGAGAACGCCACCATACCGCTGAGCCTGTTTGATCCGCAGACCCGCGACTGGAGCGGCCCCATCGTCATAGAGGCCCACTTTCTAGGGCTGACTAATGTGACGGTGCGGTTGCACGATCTCAGGCTGAACACCAGCGAACTGCCCACCAACTGGAGTAACGACAGCCAGCTGGAGGTGACCGTCCAGCGGCCGAACCGCGTGTTAGACCACATATTCCTGGGCTCCATCATTGTCTTGATGTCGCTGCTGTACATCAACTTTGGCGCTGCTCTTAATTTGGAGGTGCTGCGCGGCCTGGTCACGCGGCCCATTGGTCCCTGCATCGGACTGGTTATGCAGCTGGTGGGCATGCCCCTGCTTAGCTACGCCCTAGGCGTCTTCATTTTCCCCCAGTCGCCGGCAATGCAGCTGGGCCTCTTCTTTACCGGCATCTCGCCCAGCGGCGGCGCCTCGAACACCTGGGCCGCTGTGCTGGGCGGCAATATACATCTCTCGGTGCTGATGACCACTGTGGGCAACGTGGCCGCCTTCGCCACGATACCTCTGTGGACATTCACGCTCGGACAGCTGATCTTCGAGCGGGCTGGCATGGAGGTGCCGTATAGGAAGATCGCCACCTACTGCGCCGGCCTGATCGTGCCGCTGATCATCGGTCTGGTTATCCAGAAGCGATCGTCAAGGCTCACACGGGTGTTGGTTCGCCTGCTGAAGCCGATCTCCGCCACCCTGCTGCTGATCATCATCGTTTTCGCCATCATCACCAACTACTATCTGTTTTACCTGTTCTCCTGGCAGATTGCCGTGGCTGGCCTGGCTCTGCCATCGCTCGGATACATCTTCGCCTGGCTGGCGTCCAAGCTGCTGCACCAGAACGCCGCCGACGCCTTAACCATTGCCATTGAGGTGGGCATCCAGAATACGGGCATTGCCATCTTCCTGCTTCTGGGGGCGCTGGGATCGCCGGTGGGGGACATTACCACAGTTGTGCCGGTAGCTGTGGCAGTGATGACGCCGCTGCCCCTGCTGGGCATCTATGTGTACAATCGATGCTGCAGACATAAAATAAGCGAGGGCTCCGCTGGCGAGGCAGAGCGGATTGTGTAAGCTCAATGTTGTTAAATTTTCTACGTGTGTCTTTATAGCTTCCTTGGAGTACCTGTCATCAGTAATTCCTCTGTAATTCAAGTCGTTGAGGAAGATTTTATTGTTATTTATACATAGATACTATATATATAAATTATATATGTATGCAGTTTGATTGTACATACATATATGTATTTATGTTTTTGATAACTTATATACAATTTAATATAGGATTGAGGCTGGCTGACAAAGGCCCAGCAGGTATGCATTAATCTCAAGCGTATTACATTCCATGTATATATATATATATTTTAAAATAAACTTCGATTTGGAGATACTTCAACTGTCCGTCTTACAATGGGAAAGGACTTGTGGGACGCGTGTCCCTGGGCAAAGACTTAAAATAATTGTGGCTCGTTATGCATCTTGTTATCTTGGTATACTCGACAATACTTGCAGACAAGAATTACTCTCGAGCCACACTAAAAATTTAATACCCGACAGAAGACCTCCCGCAGAGTTAACACACTTTCAGTATTGAAATCACTTTAGAGCATTCTCAAATTATACCAATATTCTAGCTTAACTAACAATTCATTTGGCTCATTGGGTGGCCATGGAGTAGGCCAGCAGCGACGCCTCGTCCAGGGTCACCACCACCTCGGTAGTGGCGTCGAGTGCCTGGAGTATTTTCATCAGCCCGAAGATGGTGTGCGCCTCGAGATTCTGTTGCCGGCACTCGTACAGGATGCGCATGTAGTTGACGGGACCCATACCCGTGCCCAGGTCAACGCCACTCAGCATGTTGGGCATCAGATTGTAGTAGTTAATTACGCAGAAGGCGCGCTGCAGGTCCGGACCACTGACCGTGGTCACGTAGCTGGGCTCCAGACGCTTCTGGCTGAGGAACTCCCTCAGCGGCAGGCACAGCTCTGACGTGGAGTCCTCCATTTCCTGCTTGAACAGCTCCTGCATCATCTGGATGAGCTCCACGGAGATGAGCGGATGCTGCTCCGCCAGGTCCCTCCGGCCCAAGTAGGCGTCTACCAACTTCATCTGCCACACGTCGATGTTGTTTATCATGGACTTGGTCACGTGCTAGCGAAATAGATAATAGATAATCTTGAATCTCTATTGCAGAATTCCCCGATTTTTCCGGCATACTCACGTCGTACAATGTCAGGTAGACGGGCAGCAGGTGTATCCGATCCTTGACCACAGCGTTGTAGAAGAGCAGCATCATCTGGTGGCGCTTCACCAGCTCCGGGTAGCTAAAGTCCGTGCCCTTCGTGGCCAGGCAGCGGCTGAGGAACGGCTTCACCAGCCGCTCGTTGCCAAACTGGTGCAGATCGTTGATGTCGATCTGCCAGCAGATGCTCTGCTCCATCGTCAGCGTCTGGGCCAGCATACTCTTCAGCCTGTCCGGGTCCTCGAGGTGGGAGAGGCAACCGGTGCGCTTCTTGATGTCGATCGGTGCACTCATCTCCAGCGCCTTTTCCAGCTGATGCCAGTTACGCGATCGCTCGAAGCGCACTGGCCAGTAGTTCTCGTCGTCCACCACCACCAGCTGGAGGCTGCTCAGCTCGGGCAGGATGCAGGGGGCGATGGGCAGGCGCCGCATCTCGGTGGCGCCGATCTCCAGCACCGAAATGTTGGCCAAGCACAGCTGGTGGGTGTCGATGTCGCGGGGCAGAAACAGCCGCGGCTCCACCGCCAGGACGTACAGATGCCTCAAAGCCTGCAGGTGGTATCTTTCGGGGGGGAAATATGTGTGCAATGAGTCTCATCTGTGGCTCAACAGAATCCCTAAATGAATGCTCACCGATTGTCGTTGCTGTGGATGGGGAACTTGGGGAAGAAGGCGCACACCAGCGCCGCTATCGATTCGGGCGTCTTGGCAATGGTGAAGCGACCGGCGCCCAGGAAGAGCAGGCCCAGGGACATGTGAATGGCCATGTGGGAGCCATAGGTAATGTGTGGATACTGCGGACCGACGCGCGACCTCAAATACCGGATGATGCGCAGGATCTCGCAGTTGCCGGAGCCGGCGAACACCAGGGAAATGCTGATAAGCAGGACCATCAGGCAGCTCTCCACGGTGGTGCGGCCGGCACAGTCGATCATCGGCGAGCAGGGGAACCGCAGGAACTCCTTGATCACCGTCCGCAGTGTGGCGAAGGCCACGGCATCCTCCGTGCCGGCGTACTTCAACCCAATGCAGAAGGCTGCTCCGGCCATGATGTTGCAGTAGGCTTGTCTGGGGAAGAAGAGGAAATGGTTATGGGGCTTCCCCTCGGATGGGTGCTCATAGCGGATGCTTACGTAATGGCCTCATAGTCCACATCACCGTCATCGGAGGAGGCCGCATCCTCATCCGCCGTTGAGAGCCGCAGGTGGACGCGGAGTGCTTGCGGGAACTGCGCCTGGAACCACTCGTTATCCGCCCGCACATCCTGCCACAAGATCAGGCCCCTGGCTATGGTGCGCAGCAGCAAAAAGTCCGGCCGCACCATGTCCAGCAGATACCGTGAGTCCGGCGGCTGCATCCACTCGGCAATCGCCGTGTTCCCCGAGTTGAAGAACATGAGCCCCAAAGCCAGCGTGGCTCCCGGCGCAGTCACGTCTATGTTGACGTTGTCGCCCTCCCGCACCTGGAACGACGCCAGGCGGTACTTCTCCTTCTGGGAGCCGCTGATGGGACGCTTCACGCCACCAACCATGTAGTAGTGGAGCGTGTCCGGCAACTGGAGGTCCCTCAGGCCGGCCGGTGACTCGCCCTGCCCCAGGGTGACCAGGCCGAGCGACAAACCGGCCGTCATGGCATACGATTCCCGCTCCACACTGTTCTCCATCTCCGGGCCCGGCGGCCGTCCGATCTCCTGCAGCAGCACTTCAGCTATGTGCCGCTTGGCCGAACCCTGGTAGAGCAGGCCGATGCCCATCAAGGCGGCCACCTGAGTGCTCTGCGGTATGTCCAGCTCCATGGCTGTGGCCGGCAGCAGGGCCTCCAGATGGACGCTCAGCAGCTTTGTGGTTCTCGTGTCCATGGTGCCGCGATGGGCGGCCGAGATGCCCAGCAGCAGGCCCACGTTGGTCATCTCGTCACACTTCACCAGGTACTTGTACAGGCTCATGAAGGAGAGGCTCTTCAGGTGGCCATTGAGGCCCAGGGCCATCAGGAAGCCGGCGTGCTCCAGAGCATTGTTCGCCTGGGCCTTTGGCTTGTTGTACACGATCCACGTGGAGTCAATGTCCTGGGTCTGCGGCGAGATCTTCAGGCCGGTGGCCACGCCATTGTGGAACGACGGCCACATGTGCATGTTGGCGGGGAACTCAATCTGCTGCATCTCGATGGTGGTGCCCTTGACCGGTTCCCGGCCCACCAGGCACAGCCTGGGCATGGACAGGCTGTCGCTGGGACGCGGCATCATGGTGCGCAGAGTGAACATGCCCCGGCCCAGGGGCAGGGTCATGGTCCGGGCGCACAGGGCGAACAGCTGCTTCTCCTGCTCCTCGATGAACTCGTGGTCGCTGGTACCCGGCGACTGCTGCACTTCGATGAGCACCGGCTCCGAGCTGTTCAGCAAGCGGCGCACCTCCTCCACGCGCATGTCGTCCGGGAAGCGCAGTCGCAGCAGCTTCGTGTCCATGTTGTCCATGTCATCGTATCGCATGGGGTCCGAGGAGTCATGCTCCGGCATCACGCCGGTAGTGGGCGGTGGGCATCTGGTGGACAAGGAGTCCTCCTTGTAGACCCTACCGCAATGCGGTTGCCCAATGCTCGCCTCCATGAACGGCAGTTGGGTGTGCTCGGCCAGCTCTGGGCGAAGAATCAGGTCGTAGGTGGCCGTGCTGCAGCCGAGGGGCGGCGCCAGACGCGCCTCCTCCAGCGCCTCCGCCACGATCAGATGGACGGCCGCCGGGAAGCGCTCGATGTCACGCCGGGTGAGTTGCATGGCCAGTATCAGCTCCAGCAGCTGATGGCTGCGCGGCGCATCCGCCGTAATGCTGCGCTTGGGCCTCCGCGGATAGTTGGCCTGCACGGCTTCGGGTAGCTCGAGCAACTGCCACCAGTGCTTGAGCCGCTCCTGACCGTGCACCACCAAGGAGACGAGCTGCAGCAGATTGCGGCTCCGCTCGTTCACGTTGCCCACAAAGCTGTAGGGCAGCACCTCCTCCTCGCCGAGCACTATGTGCTCCAGTTGGGCAAATATACTGGGCGCGGGCACTCGGAGCAACTCCTGGTGCATCATCATGGCTCCATGGGCGGCACCCAGGAGCGACAGCTTCCCCGTCCGATGGCTCAGCTCCGGGAAGTCGAGGATGTAGTGCAGCACGTAGCTGTCTAGCTGCATGTCGATGGCCAGCTGGTGGAGATACTGGATAGAAGAGATGAGAAGAGACCAAGGTTACCAGGGATTTCAGGCCAGGGACCAGGGAACAGTTACCGTTGCCAGGTAGGGGAGCGCCGCATGGAACACGGCGTCCAGCTTGAGGTCCTCGTAGAGCAAATGCAGGCTGTAGAAGATGGCGGGGATCATCGGGAAGAGCGGCGCACCGATGTCCACGCTGTAGCTGTGCCCATCGGCGCCGCAGGGAGCCAGTGTCGTTTGGAGCAGCAGGAACTCCCAGTCGTCATCGGTGTAGTCCTCGCAGTCGTTGTACTTTCTCCGCTTCTTCGGCTCGTCCTGGGCGCCCAGCGTCGAGTTGGAGCTGCAATTGGAGCCGGAGCCAGAGCCAGAGCCAGCCACTCCGCCACCGAAGCTGGCATTCAGAGGCGGGGTGGCGCATCGACCGTAGCCCCCAGCCGCCTCCACATCGGGAGCAGCGGTCAGGCCCATCAAGGCGAGCAATGTGCTGCGGAAGAGCAGCCACTCCTGCTCGATGGAGTAGTCCCGCGACCCCGGCGGATTCCTGGCGCTGTACCAGCGGATCACAAAGTGCAGGAACTGGCTGGGACTCAGGACCTGACGCAGCGTGGCCACGCATCGGGTCAGTAGCCGGGTGTCGTTCAACAGCGGCAGGGCTATTCGCAGCATCCGGCCGGTGGCGTAGACCAGGGTCAACCGATTGCCCGCCGGATCTCTCAGGGACTTGCAGACATTATGCGCCTGCCGCTGGGCATAGGACACCGCCTGCGGCAGGATCGGCGACAGCATGTGCAGCTCCTCATCAAAGCCAGCCAGATCCACGGGCGCCTTGGTGGGCAGCAGACTGCTCCGTCGCACCTCCACGAAGGAGGTGTTGTCGGAAGCCCCAGTCTTCCCTTGAGCCGGTGGCGGCGGCGGCGGCACTGGTGATGGAGTGGGTGCCAGCAGCGGCGTTATGTGAACCTTGGAGATGAGCACTGTGCCGGTGTAGAGGATAAGGCTGCCGCTGGGATCGAGGACTGCGATCATTTGCAGCCTGCTCAGACCGACAGCATCCTTGGCCGCTAGGGTCGTGGCCAGCGTGGAGAGCTGCACCTCGCTGCTGCCGTAGCCCGTGAGGCGGACCATCTGGAGGCGGCTGGAGCGGGCCAACAGGTAGCACAGAAACGTCTGACCCACCAGATCCGTGTGGATGAAGGCTCGGGTTGCCATCTCGCACAGGTCGCGTGGTCTGGGGAGCGGATATGATAATACGAGATGCAGGGCGGATTCGGATGGCAGGCAGCACACTACTCACACTCCGTAGATGTTCTCTGTCCAGATGTGCTCTAGACACAGTTCCGGCTCGATCGGTTTAGCGGGCTTCACGTTCGTTATCTTGCGCATCTCCTTCATGGACGCGGACTGCTGGCTAATGCTACTATGCAGCTGGCTCAGGGGCGTTCCCAGGGAGGCGCGGCTGGAGGAGGAGGAGAAGAAAAAGGGTGAGTGTTTAACCTTGGATTTATGTTAATTCCTTCCAAAAAACCTACTTGGACTGCCCGAGGACTCCGCTAAATGACTGCGACTGGCTGAGCCCGAACTTAGACATGTTGCCCATGCCAGTGGTGGTGTTGCTCCTGACCATAAACGACCCGCCCGGAGCTTTGGGCGTTGCTGTGACGGAGCATACAAGTTAGAATCGGGGAGGAACCTTAGTGTTTTCCTACTCACCTCCCGTTTGCTTTATGCCACTCAGGCTGTTGCCCGCCGACTGTGACCTGGGCCCGAGGAGCGTTTGTCCCAGGTCCTGGGTCTGACTGACATGGTTGACCTCCTCCACGGTCACCTTTCGCAGCCGAGCCACGAAGTGCTTGAAGAACTTGACGTCGTACAGCAGAACCAGGTCGGAGTCCTCCGTGGTGAAAACCACACTGTATTCCGGCTCGGTCATGTAGCCGATCGAGTTGGTGGCCGTCTTTAGGACCACCGGGCAGGCCTCGTGCAGGGGATGCGACATTGAGAAGAGCCGCGGCATGGGAAAGGACAGGTGCGAGACGAGGGCCTGGCCGGACTCCTTTTGCAGCAGCAGGCCGTGGATGGTCTGCCACACCTGCGAGACCGGAAAGTCAAGGTTGGCCAGGAAGTCCTCGCCGTCGTCACAATAGACGCGCAGCGAGTCCTGGTCCATCACACAGATGGCGGTGAGGGCGTCGTCCTTCGTTTGGATGGCCGCCTCCAGCTGAGCGAGGCGTCCGCGGACAAAGTTACGATTCAGGAAGCAGGCATACCTTACGGGCGTGTCCGCCGTAAAACACATGCGCTTGTAGACGCCATCGTCGCCGTCGTCGAGGCCCTGTGTCCACACCACAGTGTTCCGGTACACATATAGCTCCTCCTCGTTGTTTACCATATAGTCGCACATCGGCTCCTCGCGCCGCTCCGGCGCCGGGTTGAGTAGATTCTGCGGCAGAGACGTTAGCTGCGTAGCCGCCGCAGCCTTCGGTCCACATCGTTTAGTCCTTTCTATTAGTTGTCTGCGTCGCGCCGCCCGATCCTCCGTCGCCTCATAGTCGTCGTACATCTCCCGGACTGACCAGGACTCCTGGCCAGCCGACGAATCTTCGCCAGCAGCCGAGATGTTAACGTTCTGCAGCCGCTGCAGCAGAACATGCTCTGAGGTGGGTAACTGGTACCTCGGCAGCGGCTGATCCTGCGGCCCGGGATGCTCGGCGGCCGACTGACGGCCGCGCGGCACAAACTCCAGCGGCGGTTCTGCGACGGCGATCATCTCCTCGACGGCAAGTTCATCCAGAGTTGCGATTAAGCTAAAGAAATGTCCCGCGCTCGGACGCGGCTAATACAGCTGCAATTCATATCGATAAATCGATACCCCGATACATTAAGTTTGAACATTGCCGGGCATCGATAATTTTCCAATCAGAAAAATCGATTCGCTGATTCTTAAATCAGTAAGTTAAAGGAAAAATAAGCTCTCAAATTTCCTTTTTCATTGTTCGGTAAAATCCTTCTACATTTTTTTATGAACATTTTAAAATTATTTATAAAATTTCAAAAAACCAAATTGAATTTATTAAAATCTAGCTATAACTTCTTTAGCGGCTTTTTGCTGCCTTTTTAGCGAGTTGGCAGCGCCGCCCAGCAGTTATCGATAGCCCGTGGCCGATAAAACACTGACATTAAGTAGGTGAGTTGAAAACAAAAACTAATTTGGCAATTGGAGCCCGAATTCCTAGGTAAATCACCCGGAAACCTAAGTCAGTGTATTGGCACCCTTTGGGAGTAAACCGGGAACACGGATCGGCTCGAAATTAATACGCAGCGGGCCAGTGCTCAAGCAGTTTTATTACGTAACCCGGGCAGGGGCTCTAGAACAATACTTCCACTCCATTTCCTTCAAAAACATCTTTCCGCACGCAGTGCCTCATAAGCCTCATAATCATTATATCCGTGTTTGTGTTGCAGACCTATGGGCAGTGGGATTGTGGTGCAATTGGCTCGAAAGTACGGCGCAGTGATATTCTTTCCCACTGTTGCAGTCGGATCGATTTACGCAGATTGGTCGCACACCCGCGAGTGGAAACGCCAGCAGCTTCAGTTGGCACGCAGCGCGCAGCTCAGGAGTCAGAGTTAAGGAAGTAGAACATCCCATTATGGTTCTCGGCCTGGACAAGCGGGCTCTGTGGGGAGCCCTGCCCCTGCTCGGCTTCGCCATCGGACACTTTCTGGACAAGAAGGAGACGGAACGGATGACCATGTTCCGGGACAAGAGCGCTCTGTACGGCCGATCCGGAGATGACAAGCCGCCGTCCTGGTAAACCAGCTCATCGCGGAAACATCCGTCTAGTGTAATCCCATGTTTTCTTTTTTTCTTCCCTGTTGAACAACAATAAACCGGAGAAATGTGCGAGGATCTATGTTTACCTGCCGGGAACTCTGCGGTTTGGGGGACGAACCTACCGGAGACATGATTTATTTGTGAAGGATTGCGTCGCATTGTTTGTTTTACACACGAAACCATAAAACCATCAGCACACGGCCAACGATAAGCCCGAAAATCTCTAGATAACTCGTTTTTCTAGGGATTCTACCTGGCCTGATCCCTAGTCCATAGTGCCTTTAGTTTCCATCTGTGGCGTATGCTGTGAATTTTCATTTGGATTTTTCTTTAGGATGTGTATTAATATATTATAGCTAAACATTGTTATTTCCAAATAATTACAAAAATGTACGGCATTTGCACGCGACCGTACAGAATTCACTTTATTTTGATGTAATCAATTTTAATGTTTTATGCATAGATTAATCCTCATAATGTATTTGGTTCAACTTAAAGTTTTTTTTTTAATTTAATTTTCTTTATCAAACAAAACAATTTTAACAATACGAACAAGCTCCGTAATTTCTTTCTGTGTGCTCTTGACCGAAACCGTTAGAATGAATGCCCCGCTCAATGGGATCGCGCTCTGCTCTCTCCAAAAATGAATATGAAATTCGATGAGCACATTTCCAGATTTTCCAAACAAGGCAGCAAATTGAAATGCCAATGCAACAAAACTAATTTATTTTTATGGCCAGGGCTAGGGTTTCAGGTTCAGTTTGAGGGATCGAGCGTGATGAATCGATGGAATTGTGCACTTCGGGCGTGCTGCCTCCTTCTCTTTCTTTTCCATTGTGTCCGCTGGTCACCAGTTTGCACACAGGCGCAGTGGGATCGTTCGAGGGGGTGGGGTGAGTGGATTTTCGCCTCTCACAAGTGCACAAGCGCTCTCACAGCGGGGGTGGGAGTGAGATCCCAAATTGGCCAAGTGCGAGAGAGAGGGAGAGCACGATCCTCCTTCTAGGAACGAAAAGAAACAAGATATTTAGACGGGCAGCAATAACGGAATAGTGTTGAGACCGGCTTATAACAGGAAAAAAGCTAAATGCATTAACAACTAGGTGTGAAAAGTTCAAGGAATAATTTTAAATTTTAATATGAAGGTTAATGTTAAGGGATCTCTAATGGAAGTGCTAAAACGAAATAGATATTGTCCTGGACGTTTTAAGAAATATATACATATTTTAGCTTCGAAAATTATACGAAGTTTGGATGGTCAATCTTATCTATGTACATACATATGTATGTATGTAAATATAAAAACTTAGTCTCAAACTAAAATCTAATCTAATCTAAAATTTTAGCGGAAACTGACCAAGAACCTAGCTATTTTCCAGGACTTCTAGCCAAATCTAGCGGGCAGGCTACTATTGAGCAGCACTAGTCCTTTCCCCCCTTCCACTTGTCTGTATGGTTTGTTGTTGATCGCCGGTTTTTGCAGGTACGCCGCTTGCTTGTGTGGGTGCGCGTCCGAAATCAAGAGAGTTCAAAAATCCTGCAACCGAAAACCAGTCTCAATTCTATTTGGGATTCTGAAGTGAGCGGAGTGAAGAAATCGGGAGGCAAACGAACAGGAATACAGAATTAAATCACAGAAAAATGAGCACGGAGCGAGAGAGGCGGGAGGAGTCTGCAGGAGCGTCCGGTGGAGCGACGGGAATGGACTTCAGCAAGAAAACTCTTCAGGATTACGAGGTTCTGGCCGTGATGGGCAACGGCTCCTTCGGCACCTGCTATAAGGTGCGTGACAAGAGCACTGGCGAACTGTTCGCCTGGAAGGGCATGAACTACGACGAGCTGGACGAGGACAAGTGCGAGGCGTTGGTCTCGGAGATCAGTGTGCTCCGGCAGCTGCAGCATCCGAACATAGTGCAGTACTACCACCATTTGGTTAACCGCGAGGCCAAGTCCGTCTACATCGTGATGGAGTGCTGTGCCGGCGGCGATCTCGCCCAGATTGTTCAACGGGCGCGATCCCAGCGTCGCCGGTTCGAGGAGCGCTATATCTGGCGGGTGCTCTTCCAATTGTGCCGTGCCCTGCAGGTGTGCCACAACAAGATTCCAAATGGAACGATCCTGCACAGGGACATCAAGCCGGCGAATATCTTCCTGGACGCCGCCGGCAATGCCAAGCTGGGCGACTTCGGCCTGGCCCGGATGTTGCGTCGGGACCAGAGCTTCGCCGCCTCGTTCGTGGGCACGCCACACTATATGAGTCCGGAGCTGGTCCGCGGTAGGAAGTACGACCGCAAGAGCGACGTGTGGGCCGTGGGTTGCCTGGTGTACGAGATGTGCGCCCTGCGTCCGCCGTTTCGGGGACGCGCCTTCGACCAGCTCTCCGAGAAGATCGCCCAGGGCGAGTTCAGCCGTATTCCCGCCGTCTACAGCTCCGATTTGCAAGAGATTATCGCATTTATGTTAGCCGTCGATCACGAACAGCGTCCCGGCATCGAGGTGATCATCCGGCATCCATTGGTGGTCCGGAATATCTGCGAGCTGGACGGAGAGTTTCCGAACCTCGTCGAGACTGGTGAGGACTTTTACAGGCTGCCCGCCGGCGGCAGACTCTTCGACGAGGAGGAAGAGGAGCATGAGGTGCCGCCCGAGCTGTCCAGCACACTGTTCACCGAGCAGTACAGCTTCAACGAAGGCTATGGCCAAAGGAGGCTGAGTGTCACGGGCGTGTTCACCCCGGACCTGAGAAACGAACTTTTCTACTCCGCCAAGCGACGGATGTTTCCCTCCAAGAAACTGCAGCTATCGGATCCCGCCCTATACGAGAGTATAAGGAGAGAGGAACGCGAGGAGGAGCGGCAGTTGGAGCTGCAGGATGAGCGTCGACGGCGAAAGGAGATGGATATCGTAAGCGAGGAGTTGAAGAGACCGGTGCAGGAACAGGATGGGAAGCATGAGCAGAGCAAAGGCCATAGCAGTCCTCGTGCTCTCACACAAAACATTTTCGATGAGGTTTTAAAGACCAGGCTTCATGCCATTCGCGCCCAGGAGTCACTGCTCCAGCAGAAGCTAGTGGAGCTGCAGATGAGAGAGCAGGAGTTGAATCTTGCGGAAAAGCGCGTCCAATCCTTGGAACTTCAGCTCCAAGAGAAGCTGATGCAGCAGCAGGAGAAGCCTTCGTGTCGTTGCACTCAGCACCCGGTAGCTCCACCGATTCCGCCCCGGAAACCGGCCAAGAGCCACCACGATGACACTTACTGCACCATCGAGCTAAACGAGACATCGCCCACAGTGGCCAAACTCAATTTGGCCACCCTGCCGCCTCCCAAGTCGATGAATACCCTGCGAAAGGTCACGTTCCAGTCGCCCCAGAAGTTTGTCACCTACGGAATTGAGAATATGCCGCCAGTGGCTAATCCCGGCACGGGTAATCCTCCTCCTGCTGCTGCTGCTGCTGCAGTTGGTGGTGTACCCATGCAGATGAGTGTGTCCAGCAATGATTCCGGCGATAGTCAGGCCTCTTCCACCAGGCGAAAGTCCATTTTGTCCCTTTTTGGGCTGAGTCGCGGTTCTAAAGCCACGTCGAAATCCCTGCCAGCGGTGAATCAGCCAATGACTGCTATGCCAGCACGGGTCCAGCGTCCTCCATTGACTGTAAAGCCACCAATCACGCAGGAACAACAGCCGGTGGCCACTCCAGCGGTGGCCAATCTGTGGACCAAGGAGCAGAAGAAGCAAGCCTTCGAGCTCCTGGCGGCCATGAATGCGGCGGAAAGGGAGGCGACCGGAGCGTCGGGCTTATCGGGCGCCGGAGGAGCGCGTCGCCAGCACTTGCGACAGTCGGTGAGGGAGCGGAATTCCACGCTCCAGCGGAATCGCATGCGGCGATCTATGGTCCTGGCCAGTGGCCACCAGAAGCAATCAACGCGCGACCAGATGATGATCTAAGGAGGGAAGACTGTGGAGTCAAGAGCCATGGAAACCATGGAAACTACCCGCGTTGTGATGTGGAATAAGTTCCGAAATATAACATATATATTCTTTTTTTTTTAATACATTTTATATGTACATATATCATATTTTTTTGTCCGTTTTTTTGCGAGTGTATTACTAGTTTTAAGATTTGTCCTTTTCGCTGCCAAACATTGTGCAATTTGCCTACGATATTAATTGGCTTTTATGTGAAATAAAAATTAAAAATAAAAAATATTTATTTGAGGTTTTTAATTTTGGTTTTCAAGACATTCTATAGAATTAATGGGTAAAGAGTGTATATTTAATTTTTAATAAACTTTTTATGTGAAATAAAAATAAAAAATAAAAAATATTTATTTGAGGTTTTTAATTTTGGTTTTCAAGACATTCTATAGAATTAATGGGTAAAGAGTGCATATTTAATTTTTAATAAACTTCTTATATACTTGTTTTTAAATATATTATTTATTTAATTTAAAGGTTTAATAATATATTTATATTTTCTTTGTTAATATATTCTTTTTTTCTTTTTTAATTAATTTATTTTAAGCTTTTACAAATCTAGCCATTTTCTATACTTTTTCAGGCAAATGCTGTTATTCAACAGGTGTCACAACTGTTGCCTCGCGCCAGCTGACGATTAGCGATAGGCCAGCGCTATCGATAACCGGTTTGTTACGCAAGCACCGATCTGGTCTGATTTCTTAGTTAAGTTCTTGTTTTATCACCGCCCAAGTGTGGTTAGCCCCGTGTTGTTTAGATAACTATATTTAATCCAAAGATGTCCGCCCGTCTGCTGCAGGCCACCCGCCAGCTGTGCGCCCAGGGATCGCTACGATCTTACAGCTCAAAGATCGCCGAAGTGGTGGTGGTGTCCGCCGCCCGCACACCCATCGGCAGCTTCCAGAGCCAGCTGGCGCCGCTGTCGGCGACGCAACTAGGCGCCAAGGCCATTGAGGCGGCGATTGAGCGGGCGGGAATTGGAAAATCCGATGTCCAGGAGGTGATCATGGGCAATGTGGTGTCCGCCGGCCTGGGACAGGCTCCGGCCCGCCAGGCGGCCATCTTTGCCGGTCTGCCGACCAGTGTGTGCTGCACCACCGTGAACAAGGTGTGCTCGTCGGGCATGAAGGCCGTGATGCTGGGCGCCCAGTCGCTGATGCTTGGCTATGCCGACACCGTGGTCGCCGGCGGCATGGAGTCCATGTCGAATGTGCCCTACTACATGAAGCGCGGCGCCACGCCCTACGGCGGTGTCAATCTCACCGACGGCATCGTCTTTGATGGCCTGTTCGACGTCTACAACAAGTTCCACATGGGTAACTGTGCCGAGAACACAGCCAAGAAGCTTCAGATCACGCGCCAACAGCAGGACGACTTCGCCGTGGAGTCGTACAAGCGTTCGGCGGCGGCGTGGGGCAACAAGGTCTTCCAGGACGAGATTGTGCCCGTTAAGATCCAGTTGAAGCGTAAGCCGGAAGTCACCATTGCCGAGGATGAGGAGTATAAGAGGGTCAACTTTGACAAGTTTGGCCAGCTGGCTACCGTTTTCCAGCGCGAAAACGGGACTGTGACCGCCGGCAACGCCTCAACACTGAACGACGGAGGAGCAGCCGTCGTCCTGATGACCGCCGAGGCAGCCCAGAAGGCGGGACTCAAGCCACTGGCTAGAATTGTGGCCTTCCAGGTAGAGTTTTCCAGAAAATCAAATGGTATTCAAAAGATTTAAATATTTTTTCTATATATTTTCAGGATGCGGAAACAGATCCCATTGACTTCCCTATTGCCCCGGCCTTGGCTGTGCCCAAGCTACTGAAGCGTGCCGGTGTCCGCAAGGAGGATGTGGCCATGTGGGAAATCAATGAGGCCTTCTCCGTGGTGGTGCTGGCCAATATCAAGACCCTGGACGTGGATCCCGCCAAAGTGAATGTGCACGGCGGAGCTGTGTCCATTGGCCATCCTATTGGCATGTCTGGAGCGCGTTTGGTGGCCCATCTGTCGCATAGTCTGAAAAAGGGCGAGCTTGGATGCGCCTCCATTTGCAATGGCGGCGGCGGTGCCTCCTCCATTCTGCTGGAGAAGCTATAGATCCGGAGCTAAACTCTCTCTCAACCAGAAATGCATTTATTATCGTAGTCATTGGACTCATGGAAAGTTTTTTTTGTTTTTAAATCTGTAGATGTCTGTCTGTCTATTTTCAGCATTTATTGAAATCATGTGATTCGCATAATAAAATTATGAAACAGTGAAAATTAAAGGAACAAATTGATCTTATTGCGAGCTAGTGAGATTAACATTCAGTTTTGGGAGAGATTAGATTTGTAATTGCCTGCGAAACATAATTCTTTCGCGCTGTGGCCCTTTTAGGAACACAAAAACCAACCCAGCCAACATATGAAAGGTCATATTTACAATAATCCCCCTTCTATGAGTCTTTTTTGAGTCATTGAAATGATAACACAGGTTTCATATCATGCGCAATTCGAAAATGATCGGAAAATGATTCGAAAATGCCTAATAAATGTTCTAAGGTAAAGAACCAACGATTTCTGTCAACAATTTAATTTGTTTTATTTTTTTTTCTAACTAGTCTCTATTCTCCGGCTCTTGGATTTACGACTCCCCGTCTGGCACCCCAGACTTCCCAGATGAAGATGACCAGCGAACAGAGGTAGAGTCCACCGACAAGGAGATAGACCGCAAGGAGATCCGGCAGCAGGATGCGCTTCTCCCGGTAGAGGAATCGACTGCGGAAGTAGCGCTCGCTAGCCGCCTGGCCAGCCCAGTGGTGGACCAGACCCACCGACCTAATGGACATGACCAGGTGGTCCAAGTGGGCCGCCAGATGCGAGTGCTTTTGCAGGTAGATGGCCAGCTGTTGCTCCAGAACGTGTTGCTGGATTATGTGATAGGATCCCGCTCGATGTCCCCTCTGGGTCAGATGGAGCAGGGCGTCCTCGGAGAGCAGGCCAAAGATAAGGGGATGTGATCCAGTGGAACAGAGATCCAGCTGCCGCAGGACCTCCTCTTCCCGCTCGGAGGCCACCATCACGGATCCACCCAGTCCCAGGAGGTCCTGCAAACTGGCCACTTTCTGCAGATCCTCGAACGTCGAGCGACTCATCACCGCCGCATAGCCACCGTCGGCTAACTCCTGCAGAGTGTCTGGCAGCCGTTGGTGAAGATGATAGCGGAGGATGAGGAACAACAGGGCGGAGTACATGGCGCGCACGATCAGGCCGAAGCACAGCCAGCTGGCAAAGAGGAACTGCAGCGACAGCGATGGACGCTCCGGCGGATCGATGGGCAGGCCCAAGGCAGCGGCGTAGACCGTCAGGAGGAGTGCCACCCGATCGCCCGCCCCTCGTCCCTGGAGAACGACCAAACCCGAGATGCTCACGAAGCTGGCCAACAGGCAGAGCCAGGTGAGGGCCTGGAACGGGAAGGCCCAGATCTCCCGGCTGGTCAGGTTGTGGGCATTGAGCAGCAGACAGCCCACCAAGCGGTTGGAGTAGTGCGGGAACACCGGCGTCAGGTTGCCGGAGTACTGGATATGCTTTCGGACATAGCCTATGGCCAGGTGCGCCGCTGTGCGTCGGCCCTCCATCTGAAACCGCTGAAGCAGCTGGCGCTCTGTCCAGGTCCTTTGATTCCTCTGCTGTTCCTGCAAGCCCTCGAACTGAATGCTGAAGTTCATCCGGTGGGATAGTTCCTGCAGCAGCTGGCCCTCCAGACCCACCAGTATATGTCGGGGCCCCCCCACCTGCAGCTCGAAGAAGGGGGCCACTGACCGGGCCAGGACCACCAAAGGACACCCGTTGAGATTGTGCAGCTTGGAGGGAAAGTAGTTTCGGTGCTGCCAGGACTCGCCCAGGAAGCGATTGATTCTTGCAGGCCGGGGGGACGTCTCGCTGCAGCGATCGGGCTCGTAGGGGAAGTAGGTGTGGAGTAGCACCTGGCCGCCGGAGCTCTGTGTCATCACGTTGCAGTTGATGAGCTGGTGCCGCCAGCAATACGCAAAGACGCCCTGCATGTCCTGCGGTATGAGGGCATCCCGTTGCTGCAGGAATATAAAGTAGTATTCGCTGCCGTCCGACTGGGCAGTGTACGTGTGGATCTCGATGTCCCTGGAACGGTAGGAACCTTAAAGTGGGCTACAACCCAGAATCGGCCAACTTACAGCAGCGCATCCAACGAATCGACAAGGAGAAGATTGTGCGTCCTCGGTCCTTCGATCCTTCGACGCGGTCGCCCGAACTCGACCAGCACCAGCTGTATGATCATCGTATCCACGCTCTCGTACAGCAACTGCATGATGGTGCGGTAAAAGTTCATCGGACTGGGCCGCCGGCAGGAGAGGATCACGATGAAGGCGGGCGCAATCCGTTGGTAAAAGTCCTCGATGAAAACGCTCAGCGCCTGCGCCACGTGCTGGTTGATGGCCGCCGTCTGCGTCTGGGCGCCGATGTACTTCATCGATTCGAACTGCAGCAGGCTGGTCACGTTCATCTCCGTCCCGTCTGTCAGGCAATCGGGAAGAGTACTGCCAGCCGGACAGGGCCCTAATCCTAATTCCAGCTGCGAGCCTTGTTTGCATCTCATTAGCCGCGTCGCATCGATTAGGACAAGGACAAGTCAAACAGTAACCATTGTGGGTCACGTCACGCACCAAGTTGGACACTCCATAGCAGTGCTGGGCTAGTACCTGGACAGGTGTACCTCAGACAGTTGTACCAAAAATGACTTTTAGGTGAGGTTCCGGTGAGGTTAATTGTACGTATTATTTTGTGGGTATTTTGTCCCTTGACTAAAAATCCTATTTGATTTTTAACCGTACCTGTATCCTTGGTCATCAATGCTCATCCATTAACGCACATCTGTCCGTTATGACTAACCATAAATAGATCCTATACTCCCACCTACTATATAAGATGGTGGTGGTTATGAGTCCGACCTTAACTGATGTCAATAATCGTATATTGTTATGGCTTTATCGGCCGTGTTTTTCTATTTATAAGGTGGTGGAAATGCTTCATTGATTGATGAGGACACGGATTTCCCACTTCTTTGTCTGGGCATTACTTACACTGAACTAAATATTATAAAACTGATGATTTTCTATTTGATAATAATACTATCAATGAATTCTGTGTCTAAAATGCAGCACAAAACGACGCTCTAACATGTTACAAGTATTTAATTGCATTCCTTTAGCCAGTTTTAAAATGATTTAAAATCATTCAAAATCTATTTAGAATTTTAATCAATACAAACATTAAATAAATTTCAAGAAATTAAAATAAAAACCTGATTTTAAATGTAGGTATTTCTGAAAGGGATTTCCTTTACCTCAAAATCGTAATCTATCTCAGTCCCTGTTTGCTTTTAATTAGTCAAATCTCCGTTGGGATCTTTGGCCCTTGAAGGACCGACCCTTTGGCCCAGTCCAAAGCCAAGAAGTCCTCTTACAGTCAGGCCTCCAACGGCGTCATGAATAGCAGCAGCTCTAGCAGAAATCCGGGCTTCGGTACCTCAGCCATATTCAGCAGCTACGTGGAGCACTCGCGGATTGACATGCAGGGGGAGGACGCAAACGTGTATGTGGCCCGGGCCCTCCGCCTAGTCATCGAGAATGTGCTCGCCCAGCTAAGCGCCACGCTGGTGGTAACCATCTCCACGCGTCATCTGGGCACCGCCCAGTGGTTTGAGTACATGATGAACAACCTGGTCGATTCATGGCGGATGACGGCCGTCCAGCTGCTGCGATTCCGGCCAGATTCGGTGCACATCTCAGTGCCGGGACGGAAGCGGGTCAACCTGCTCCTGGTGGACTCCTACAGCGGATTGCAGTGAGTGCTCAGCATCCAAAACGAAAGAGATTACACTAACCCGTGACTCCCCGCAGAGACACCAACATAACGGCGGACAATGCCGACTTTGACGATCCGGATTACTATTTTATCTTCCTGCAGACGCGAGATGCCTTCATTCCTGAGGAGTTGCGTCTGATTCTGAACCATTGTCTGGCAAACTTTTGGCTGCACTGCAACGTTATGGTCCAGACCGCCCAAGTGGACGTTCTGGTGTACACCTACTATCCCTATACGGCGGCCAGGTGCCAGGAGGCGCATCCAGTGCTGGTGAATCGCTTCGATGGCCGTCGCTGGCTAACGAACTCCTCCATGTTTCCGGACAAGCTGCGCCAGATGCACGGCTGTCCGCTTACCGTGCTCACGTGGCATCTGCCGCCGTTCGTGGAACTGGTCTTGGATGCGGCCTCCGGCTTAGTCCGGGCCAAAGGATTTGAGATTCAGCTGATGCGCCACCTCGCCCGCCAGATGAACTTCAGCATAGAGCTGAAAAATTTGGCTCTGCTGCGACCGGAAGCCTACCGTCTGGCGGATGGAGCCAACGATGGACCCATAGAGCGGGTGAGTCAACTGGGATTGCGCGGGAGATCTTTGCAGTGTACTATAAAAATTGGTTAATTATGTGTTTTTATTAATATTTATATTTACATTTTATTTGTTAAAAATATTAATATATTTTGATTTACACATTATTTGTATTATATAACATTTGGACAGCTTCTGCATCGCAGTGCCAACATGAGCATGGGCTACTTCCGGAAGACAGCGCGCCGAAACCAGCTGTTGACCACGCCCATGTCGTACTATTCCGCCAACCTGGTGGCCGTGCTCCAGCTGGAGCGCTATCGCCTGGGCTCTCTCGCCCTGCTGGTGTTTCCTTTCGAGCTGCCCGTATGGCTGCTGCTGCTCCTCGCCCTGGTCATTCACATGGGCCTCTACCTGCCCTGTAGGCGGCGGCGAAGGAATGTGTTGGGGGGAGAAAGAGAAGTCAATGGAGGAGGTCTACAGATTCTGGGCCTATTGCTGGGCGCTGCTCTGGCCCGGCTGCCACGCGCCTGGCGGCACCGTCTCATCGCCGCCCATTGGCTGTGGGCCAGCATACCGCTAAGGATCTCCTACCAGTCACTACTGTTCCACCTCATCCGCCTGCAGCTGTACAGCACGCCATCCTTTTCGCTGGATCAGCTGCTGGCGCAGGGCTTCCAGGGGATCTGTACGGCGAACACGCGACGCCTGCTCCTCGAGATGCCGCAGCTGGCCGGCAGCCCGGACAGCATCCATGCCCTGGACACGCCCTCCGACTGGGCCGTGCTGGAGGCACTGCAGCGGAATACCAAGCACAAGATCTTTGCCGTGGCCAACCAAGACGTGGTCCTGTCCTTTCTGCACTCCAGCAGCCATCCCAAAGCTTATCATGTGGTCAGGCAGCCGGTGAATGTGGAGTATACCGGCATCTATATGCCCAAGCATTCTTATCTCTACGAGAAGGTGGACGAGACAGTGCGACGGCTGGACGCCGGTGGCTTTATCCATGCATGGCGCCGCGCCTCCTTTATGGCCCACCGGCGGGAGGTGTTGCAGCAGACCAGCCGGCGGTACATTAATCATGCAAAGCTCTCCGGTATTTACATGGTCATGGCGGCGATGTACACACTCGCCGGGCTTGTGTTTGCCGGCGAACTATTGTTTCGGAGGTGGAACTGGACTGGGACGTGGGTTGGGGTACCTCAAACTTTGTAGATTTACCAATTTCTTTAGAAATAAAGCTTTTAACTTATAACTTAATCTGCAGACTTCAATGCTTCTTATGGACAGACCGACAGGCATTTGTCAAAATCGAGGCATTCCCGATTCAATAATTGCTTTTAAGGCGATATTAATTTGAGTTTTGTGAGCAAGGGCCCCACTCGATCAGGTCATTAATCACATTCAAAACTTTCACCTAATGGCCAGGAGACAAGTTACACAAAACAGTTCAGGAAATCAATGCATGTGCGTGTACTTTCCACCCGGAAGTCGGAAAGTCAGAGACTGGGCTCGTCATTAGCCGGCGGGCAGCCCATGATGAACATTAGCGCGCTGCTCGACTCGTACTACGATTTATCCGGCGAGCAGATGAACCACATCAACGAGGTGGTGGCCCGGGCTCTGCTCCATGTGGTGCACCATTATATACTCAGTGTGACGCCGTCACTGGTGCTGACCCTGTGCTGTCGGAGCGAGCACACGTGCAACTTTTACAACGAGATGATGAACACACTGTTTCGCCAGTGGGGCCTGGCCCCGCTCCAGATTGTCAATGTGGAGCGGGGCGTGCCTTGGCATCCGGTTGCTGGGCGGCGGCACTTCAATGTCATCTTCACGGACTCCTTTGAGGCCTTCGCGGAGATCCGGATGGAGTATTATGCCCGGGATTACAACTACAATGAGCACTATTTCATCTTTCTGCAGGCCCGGGACCGGCTGCTCCAGGGTGAGATGCGGCTGATCTTCGACTATTGCTGGCGCTACCAGCTCATCCACTGCAGTGTCCAGGTGCAAAAATCCAACGGGGACATCCTCTTCTACAGCTACTATCCGTTCGGGGAGCGGGGATGTGCGGACATGGAGCCGCAGCTGATCAATCGCTACAACGGGAGCACGCTGGTGGAGCCGGAGCTATTCCCGCGGAAGTTGCGCAATTTCTACGGCTGTCCGTTGAGGTGTGCTCTGTGGAATACTCCACCCTTTCTGCGTCTGGCGGAGGAGGATGTGGCTGCCCCCACGGTGACCGGTGGCTATGAGGGGCGTCTGCTGCTGGCCCTCGCCGAGAAGATGAACTTTAGTATCGCGGTGCGTCCAATACAGACGAATGTCATTGATGGTGCCTTGGAGATGGTGAGTTCCTCTTGGAAATGGGATATAGATATTTTTTACTGTGCAACCTCTCCCTCCTTGCAGCTGCAGCGTGGCGAAGCGGATCTAACCCTAGGCAGAATCCGGCAGACGGTGGGTCGGAGTCTGGTGGCCACGTCGACGCACAACTACCACCAGACCCGCGAAGTTTTCGGCGTACTGGCCTCCAGCTACGAGCTGACCTCCTTGGACATTCTGCTCTACCCGTACCGCCTGCAGATCTGGCTGGGCATCTTCGGTGTGGTGGCTCTCTCGGCGCTCCTCCAGCTGGCCGTGGATCGGCTGCTCCAGGAACATGGGACGAATGCAATCCTGGGAGCACGTTCCTGGCTCAATCTGGAGCTCATATTCGTGGGCATGCCGCTAATGGATATCCCGAGGAGCCACACCGCACGCCTCTACTGCCTGATGCTGATGATGTACACACTAATCATCCGGACCATCTACCAGGGCCTGCTCTATCATTTGATCCGCACTCACCAGCTGAACCGGTGGCCACAGACCATCGAATCGCTGGTGGAGCGCAACTACACGGTGGTGCTGACGCCCATTGTCCTCGAGGTGCTGGAGGAAATACCCAGCGTCCAGCACATGAAGTTCCGCCTACTGGAGGACACTGACTCTGAGCTGGAGCCACTGTACTTCCTGGAGGCGAATCATCAGCTGCGCCAGCATGTTACCGCCTCTGCCCTGGACATTTTCATCCAGTTCAATCGCCTGAGCGCCGAGCGAGTGCATCGTCAAGGCGGTAACGTGGCGGCAACGGTAGCCCATTTCGAGATCGTGCCGGAGGACATCATCAACATGCAGCTGACCATGTACCTGGCCAAGCACTCCTTTCTCATCGACCACCTCAACGAGGAGATCCTGTGGATGAGGTCCGTGGGCCTCTTGGCTGTATGGTCCAGGTGGGAGCTGGTGGAAACTTATTTGGGGAACGAGCAGAGCTATCAGATTCTGGGCCTCGTCGAGCTCTATGCCATCTTTCTCATGGTCTTTGTTGGCCTGCTTCTCAGCCTCGTTGTCTTTCTCTGCGAGCTGCTCTCCCAACGATCACGGCTCCTAAGAAGGCTCTTCTCCTAGCAGTTCAAAGGCGGGTTTTAAGGAGTTTTAAAAGGCCTTTGGTTGCTTTTGGCTTGATTTTGTGTCGCTTTTAAGTAGATTTTTAGTGTGTTTCGCTTTGTATTTGGGTGGATTTTTGGGTGTTTTTTTGGGTTGGATTTGATTTGGATTTTGGGTAGGTTTGAGGTTGATTTTATGTCGACTTGTTTGCTGTTTTAGGTAGGTTTTGTATAGGTTTAAGGTGGGTGTTGAGCATGTTTTGGTTTTGGTTTGGGTGGATACATACATAGGTTCTGTCTTTTTTTTTTTTTAGAAAACTTATAGTCTATTTACACCAGGCTGCGTTATTGCGTTAACTCAAACTTTAATTTGGATTTCACTATCCTAAAGTTGTAAAGATAAGATAGAAAAATCCAAGTATACATATATAATAAAAAAAAAAAACAATTAATATAAACAAAAAATGTTAAATTAAGGAAATATATACTAAAGTTTTTTTTTGTTCTAGTTTAACCCAATTTTATTGCTGTGTTTCTGAATGACTTTGAGCGGTAGTGTGGTTTCTCTGGCAGTCAGGACATTATCCGGCTATTTGTAAACCTCTTACGGCCGACATGGCGTTTGCATGAACCTGACACTGACTCTCGCCGCTGCCCCCCTCTAGCTCCCTACCACCCCTGCCGCCCCCTTTAACTCGTAGATGTGTGTGTGTGTGTGCGTGTGCCGTTGATGGTGTTAATTTATGGTTATGCGCCTCATGCATAATACTGACACCGAAACCTGTCACGCACATGCCTCCGGAACGGACTCCGGAGAGTGCGGTACCGGTGGGTGGTGGGTGTTGGGTGTTGGCGAGGTGGATGGGTGGCTAGGCAGTGCTCGCCTGTGCGCGGCAATTAGTTTAAGTGATGAACACGGATTTGTTAATGCATTACTTTTACCCACGAGTAATTTGTTTGGTAGTTTTTTACCTTCTGAAACCCAAATAATACATGGAGGGTTCCGCTGGGCGAACAGTGCAAGCAATTTAAGCTTAAGGATATTTTATAAACATTGGTGTTAATTTAAATATTTAAATAATATCAGTAAGGTAATTAAAACATAAAATAGTTTCTGAATATGCAGGCATGGGGTTGCCAAGAAATCGCAATTGATTTGAAATCACTTTAAATGCAGCCTAAAAGTATGTCAGAAAATTATATACCATGAATTTTGGTGCAAAAATGCCCACTTTTCAAAAAAATGTTGTGGCGAAACGGCTAAAGCTAGCTTAACGAATTAAATACCATATAATAACACAACATTTGAACAGTTTGTGATAAATTTTGTATTGAAAAATATTTAGAGGTAGAGGAGTTATAGGGAATCTCCCGAGTCGCCTCCAAAAAAGTTGGTTTGCGGTGTACATCCTAACTGTCCACAGAATCATCCGATCTACAAAAATTATACCTCATTCGTTAAAGGATAAGTGTCCCGAGGTATTCTCGAAGCGTTTTTATTTTTAAAATTTTTTCCCTATTTTTTATCAAAATTTGAAGTCAAAACCCCGATTTTTGACTAAAAAATTAAGTTAATTTGTTAAATAAAAAATATAAGAAAATTAAAAATTAAAAAAAGCTCGACGAGAATACCTGTAGAATTATCTAAAGAAGTTATGTTCCAAATTTCAAACCGATTGGTTCAGTATATTTTTAGTTATCGTGTACACCGATTTTCAAAATGGCATTTTTCAGGAGAGCGCTTTAAACTTTGTGATTCTCATGCATTGAACACCAACCGACCTTCGTTCAGCTCCGCATAACTTCGTCAATTTTACTATGATTGATGTAAAACTTGGACACAATATTCTTAAGATATTGAACTTTTAAAATAAAAAATAAAAAAATTTAAAAAAAAAAAATTAAATACCTTACCCCCCCCTTAAAATCTAAAAGATAGTTTTAGACACCTTAATATTTAATTTAAAATGCAAAATTAAAAAAAAAGAACACTGTACAGATTCGAGATATTGGCCCTTTGATAATAAAGCAATAAACCCTTAAAACCAACCAATTCCCGTTTGCCAAATCAATTCCCTCGACTTCCTTCGATTGCCAAAGGTTCAATCGCTATAAAATCGGCAAAATGTTCCGTAAAATGTTACACTTTCAACATGGAACTCCGCCGAGCAGCGAGTGGGCTACTCCTACTGGTGCTTCTAGTGGCACTGGCACACTCCAGCTTGTGGCCCGACCAGCATCCCATGGAGGAGCTTCTGGCCACGCGGATCTCTGGGACGCTGCAGAAGATCTTTACGAATGCCTTTGCCGCCCACAACATCAGCGTCTTCATCAGCACCGCCTACAAGCAGATGGCCAGGGATCGGGTGCAGCTGGTACAGCGGGTCCTGGACCGCAGCCTGGGTCACCGGCAGTCGGCTGTGCCCATTGTGCTGGCTTCCCGTCTGTCCGAAAGGCTTAGCAGCCAGGTCTTAGTCCAATTGCTGTTCGTTGAGTGCCCCGAGGAGGTTATGTACTGCGAAACAATTACTTGGGCACTATAGGGTAAACTATATATATATTCATGTTTTTTCTCAGAGCAATTGCATCCGACTTGGAGAATAACGGCCTGTACCTGATTGTGTGGCTGACAACTTTCCCGGAGTCAAAGCAAGCACCTGTGATGTCCCGGATATTCGCGTACTTTTTGCTGGAACGCTACAACATCAATGTGCTGATCCTGGTGCCGAGTTTCTACGCTGTCCGGGCCTACAATGCTCGGCCGTACACGCCCACGGATTGCATGAGCCTGGTGCCGGTGAGGATCGAGCTAAAGGATGCCGGGATATGGGATATCTTTCCGCCCCGCCTGAAGAACCTCTACGGGTGTCCCTTGAGCGTGATCGTGTGGGACATACCGCCCTACATGACGGTGCACTGGGAGAAGAGCGAACCGGCTGAGCAACTGGAGGGACTGGACGGGCTGCTGCTGCAGATCGTGGCCGCCAAGATGAACTTCACTATGCGACTGATACGGAACGAGCCGGAGGGTCTGATCGGGGGCTCCAGCTACGTGAACGGCACCCTCACCGGCGCCTATCAGATGCTTCGCGAACGGAGGGCCAACTTCACGTTAGGTTGTGCCGCCTGCACGCCGGAGAGATCCACCTACCTGGCCGCCACCGGTCCCTACAGCCAGATGGCCTACGTGATCGTGATGCGTCCGCGCAGCGGCTACAGCATCTACGAGGTGATGCTCTTCCCCTTTAACGGCTATGCCTGGCTGCTCCTGGCTTTCGTTTCCAGCTTTCACTGGCTCCTGGGCAGCCACTGGCGTCTGCCATCGCCCGCTCTGGCGGGCTGGATGCTCTGGATCTTTGTGATCCGGGCCAGCTACGAGGCGTCCGTGTTCAATTTTATACACAATTCGCCGGTGAAGCCGCTGCCGCAGACCTTCGAGCAGACGCTGGCGGCGGGTTTCCATTTCATCACGGATCATGCCACCTATCGGATGACCCTCAAGCTCCCCGCCTTTGAGGGCAGGACCAGCATCTCGCCGGGACAGCCGGTGGATGTGTTCGATGCCCTGCTTAGGGAGCCCGGCAGGGCCGGCGCCTTTACCAGTCGCGTCTTCTTGGCCCAGCACCTAACACGGCACCGGAACCACCGCCACCGGCTGGTGATTCTCGCCGAGAAGATGCTGGACAACATGCTATGTGTCTACTTCCCGCCCGGCTCCTACTTTGCCTTGGAGTTCAATGAGATTCTGTTCAACATGCGCAGCTTCGGTCTCTTCCAGCATCATTCGCAGCGGCTGGACTGGGGCAGCATGCCCACCACCTCGGACTCGTTGGGGAGGTCAGCAAATCCTCGCTCCTCCTCCTCCTCCTCCTGCGAGAGTGCGGTCAAGGGACGTGCCGAGTCCATGGGCTTCGTCCTGGCCGCCTTCAACTGCCTAATGGCATCTTTTAGCATCTCCCTGGCGGTGCTCGGCCTGGAATTGCTAAGTCAGAGGCGGCCAAGCTGGCGTAGATTGGCCTGGCTAATGGAGAGGCTGTGAGGCGGTGTCTGGCATATATTTCTATTTCTGGGCTTATGCAATAAAATCATTTAACAAGCTTAAAGCCCTGCGTAACTGGGGATGCCCGGTGGCGGCGGAGAGCAGCTCCAGGCCAAAGACCAGGACGGCCAGCAGCTGGAGGGCACCGCAGCAGGCAAAGATCCCAGAGAGCCGCCAGAGGGTCAGCGACTGGGGCTCCATGCTGCGTCGCCGCTTGGACATCCGCTCGATGCGGTCCAGGTACATACCCCGGAAGCGGAACACGATGCCCGAGGACATCATGGCCATCAGTAGGCGGTCGATGCGTCGCTTGAGATACGAGTGGGGTCGCATGTACATCGTCAGCGGGGCGGTCATCAGCGGCAGCGGTAGCACGGCTAGGTGCCTCCGGTTCGGTCCGGAGCGGTAGTCAAACTGGTACACCGTCGGTTGGAGCACTGGTACTGCTATGCCCGGATCGTCCTCCTCTCGCAGCCGCAGCAGCGACTCCTCGTGACTGGCCACAACATGAATCCGGATGCCGGTCATCGATTCCCGAAAGATGTTCTGCAGGGCGGGCAGCATGTGGAACACATAGCCCTGGGCCACCACCTCGGACAGCTTCTGAAGCGGCGCCCGCATCTCCACGTCCTGCAGTAGCAAGTAAAGCTGCCCGGTATAGGCGGCCCGCAGGACGAGCGTCTGGAGTAGCCACATCAGCAGCAAAAACCGGGCAAAGTTCCGCCGCGGATGGTACAGAGCCAGGCCGCCCAGCAGGACGTTCCACATGCCCAGGCAGGCCCGGTGATTAGCCCTGCCTAGGATCAGGTAATGCAGTGCCTGCGGCTGCCTCAGACGCAGCAGGCCGATGAGCAGCAGGCCAAAGAGGAGGCTCCCGAGGATGCAGGACCATATGATGTATCGGAAGGGACGCGTGAGGCGTTGCAGCGGAGTCATAGAGCCGCCGCTTGGAACGCACAGGACGATGGGGAAACTCATGTAGGACACGCTGGGCAGCATCAGATCCGATCGAGCCTTGCTGTACATGAAGCACACGAAGGTGAGGTTCGCCTCGCCGTCGACAATCTGCAAGAGGAGGGGAGGAGAAGGTTTACTGGGCGTATGCGTAGTCTGGCAAGGAGCCATTACCATCTTGAGTATGCCCGTGTAATTGCCGTCCGGCTGGATCTGGCCGCGATCCTTGTCCTTTGGCTCCACCAGCTTAATGCTGAAGTTCATGCGTTCGGCGAGGGTTTTCACAATTCTGCCCTCGATGCCGTGCAGGATCCTGTCGTTGCCGTCCTTCTGCAGCGGATCGTCCTCGAGGATCACATACGGCCGGTGCTCAAAGGTGGCGGCCACCAGCTGGCAACCATGCATATTTGCCAACTTGCTGGGGAAAAGCGGCTTGGTCAGACCGACCACGCCGGCCTCCAGCTCCTGGAAGGCCGTGTAAAAGACGGGCAGCGAGGACTGGCAGCGATGCGGTCCGTAGGGGTAGTAGGTATACACGTGGACACTCGCGTTGCGCTGCAGGAACACGCTCACATTCAGCACGTACATGTTAAGCAGTCGCCGGAACATTATCTTGATGGACTCCATTGGCTGGCTCTCCAGGCCCGTGTAGACCAGCAGAAAGTTCCCGGTCCGCTTGTAGGGACTGCCCAGCTGGTTCAGGTACAGCTCCAGGCGGAAGTACGAGCGCAGGCTGTCCAGGAACCAGATGGCAATGGGCCTGCCCGTCACTCCGCTCGGCGGCGGCAGCTCACTCTCATCGGTGCCATTGGTGGTGCTTTCAATGTGGTCGTCCTCCAGCTGGAACTTGATCCGTCCCGAGCCCGCGGATCTGGCCAGAGCCTCGTCGATCAGATCGTTGTGGTGGCCACGGCTGGCCCGACTGGTGGGGAACTTAACCACCGCCAGGGCAGTGCTCGTGGAGCGGCCGTAATAGTGGTCGATGGCCCAGACCAAGGCGTAGACCAGGCTCACGTTTTGTGTGCCGCTGGGCAACATGTTAATGATGAGGCTTCTTTGCTGGTCGGTGTCTAACTGGACGATGTCCTGGGTGAGCCATCATGGGCATGTTTTAAGGCTTTTAAGACACAGTGATTTCTGGTCTGTATAAATTGTTTAATAATAAAGTTATAAAGTTTAATAATAAAGTTAATAAAAAAACTAATTTTCAAGTTTATAAATTGGTAAATAGGTGTTGCATATTGTTGTTGTGCTTTAAGTGAATTATTAAATATTTTTTGTTATTATTTTTCTTATCTTTTGAAATTTTTGCACCACTATGCAGTGGCTCGTTAGCATTATCCAAAAGGGAAGCACTTAGCTGGCCGATCAAGTTGCGTGCTGAAGGTTCCATTTATGGCCATCTGTAATGCAAATGCATTATTAATTAGCTTTAAATATATATAATATTTTTTTAATGGCGATTTCATGAAGGTCTCTTTAAATGTCTAATAAAATTCACAAACTCAGGGTTTTTTTTATATATACTTGAATATTAAGACATGTAACAAAACATTTCTTAACTTAAAAAATATGCAGGAAAGTAGGTTGTCAAAAATAAAAACAATAAAATGTGATTACACGGCAATTAAACAAGGTATTTTTATTTTTGTTAACACCTTTAGGGCTAAGCGTTTTTTGTTTAATCCGGAATAAATATTGATTCGGTAAAGGGTTAAACAAATGCTATAAATAAAGAAGTAAATAATAATATAAGGTATTAAAATATAATATATAAAAACATCTACAAAGTATAAATATGTCAATGAACACTCGCCGAGAGATAACTGAGCTTTCCATTGAATAAAACCAAAAGGTAACGCGATCTTTGTATAATATTTATTTTATCAAGACACATTTCCATTGAAATAAAAATGATACTCATGATATATGGCTGTTTTTTTAATACCATTTTATATTATCTCTCAACTTATTTTAATTTTATTTTGAATTAAAGTCTTAGCTATCTAACTTACACATTATGTCGGTCTCATGTCAGTTGAATCGTGACTTAATTTCGGATGTGAGTAATTTTACAATCTCGGCTACGCGTCGCCAGTATTATTAATCTGAATGCGAATGAGAATCTGAACCTGTCAAAGGTCGCTGTGCGGACTCAAAGTCATACTTAGTATATGTATTCTGCATTTTCTTGACTTTCTTGATTTTCGCAGTTTTTTGCTAACCTCTGCGAAAACCACCCGCTGACCGAAACTCTGTTTCCCTTGTCACTACAAGTTTTTACCTTTTTCCCGACTCTCAGCTCAATGCTGACCTCAGCCACCTCTCTGAATGCGGTGGCCACGGAGGTGGAGGTGGTGCCGAAGGTGGTGCCGGTGACACACAAACGATAAGACGATCGAGAATGCCATGGATCACCGCTGCCGCCTGAAGGGCAGCACCTCCAGCACGGCCCCCAACTACTGAATCAGGTGCGAATTCAGGGTGATAAAGGTTTTTTTTAACTTTATGACTTGGTGATCTTGTATATTTTATATTATTGATAATATATATTACTTATATTTCTTTAGTAAACCAAAAATTCTAATATTAAATTAGGTAATAATATTAATAAATATTTATTAAATGGAAAAATATCTAATAATAATAACCTGTTTATTAGTCTGTCCTAAGGCTACGTTTGTCTATTCGAATTTCCATTGATTTGTTTATTATGTTTCGTTATTTTCGTCCGTTTATTTATCCATTAATTTGTCTGTTCATTTAACTGCCTAGTTGTTCATTCATTTCTCCGTTCATTTGTCCGTTTATTTATTCGTTCACTTGTCCTTTCGCCTGTCCGTTCGCTTTGCTATTCCTTTTTGTCATTTAATACATAAAATAGATAACAAATTAGTAATCATATATTATTAAGCGCCCAAAACCCCTTCCGCGTGGCTACGGCCCTGCTGTTCCGGCGTACTGTTTACCGTGCATCATTTGCGCTGATTCTATGGAAACGCTGGCCAGCGGAATAGTTGAGCAAGGTTTTTGCAGCTCTTGCAGCTGCGGCGGCTGCTGTGGTCTCGTTCTCGATTGGGGGCACACACACGGAAACGCTTGCCATTTACCACCTTTCCCTCCCATTTTCACTTTTATTTTCATTTTCATTTGCATTTCCATTTCCCCTGCCCGCAGCTGCTGCTGCCCGTGATGGTGCGTGCAAAATGCTGCAGTGCATCGGTCACGAATCCGACGACGTCGGCACTTCTGAGGCGACAAAAAATCTATTTGGGCCACTGTCCAGCGGCAATCGGCAGTCAGTCGGCCAACGAGCTCCGGCGCACACCGATCGCATCGATCGATCTTCCCGAGACTTCCGCCAAAGATAATCGCAGGATGAGACCGCACAGCCAGCTGCTAATCCTGGCGCTGCTCGGCATCCAGGTGGCTGCCCAATCCTCATGCGACCCGGCCAGTTTGGGCCAGGCCACTGCCACAAAAGCTGGCGAGGATGCCACCGCCACAGCAGCTGCCACCGCAGCCGTTGCGACTGCAGAGGATGGAGGAACAAGCACGGCCGCTGGAGACGGCTTTCAGGATTCCAAGGTGAGTGTAGGCCAGAGGTTTCTCTGGGGAATTTCATAACAATATTTCCACCCCGCAGATTCTCTCCCAGACGCCGCCCATTAGGGCTTTTAGCCGTGGCAACCCAACGGTGGATGCATTGTACATGATGTTCCCGGCCCTGGGCAGCCTCATCCATTGGGGCAGCCTCTTCCCCGCCTACTCCTTCCTGGGTGCCCCGGCTCCCGGCTCGGAGGCCGCTGCCTCCAAGGTGGTGCTTGTCCTAGCCGATGATGCCACTGCCAAAACGCGAGTCACTCGCCAGAATGATCCTGCTAGTCAGCCGAATCCCTTCTCGTTCCTGACCGACATCCAGAACCTTCAAGGTCTTCCTAACGTTGCCAACTTTGATCCCAATACGCTTGGCCAGTCGCTGATGAATCCGCAGACTGCCTTCACCGCGCTTCAGGGCCTGCCCGGCCTCTCGGGTCTGCAGGGCCTGCAGGGCATGCTGGGAGCTGCTGGTCCCGTTTCCACGCCAGCTGCCGCTCCAGCCGGTGATGCGACTGCGACTGCTTCTTCCTCGGCTCCAGCCGCGGAGGCAGCCGCAGCTCCAGCTGCTGTTCCTGTTCCAGTGTTGGGTCAGACACCCTGGAACCTGCAAAACTTCGATGCCAACAACATGCTAGGCCAGACCATGAACCTGTTGAGCCAAATGCCTCAAATGCCGCCGGTTCAGGCTCCGGCGAACCTGCCCAACTTCAACTTCCTGGGTCAAATGTTTCCCACACCGGCCGCCTCCGACATCTCCGAGGTGCGGGTGAGGCCAGAGGTAGCCTACGCCCCGGAGGCGCAGGTGGCACAGCTCAAGATTAAGACGGCGCTGGAGAAGGAAACCGAGAAGGTGCAGCAGCAGGAGGAGCAGGAGCGAGTGCCACTACTCTGGTTCCGCATGCCGAGCAATCCGACCTCGGAGGACCAGAGGACTGCGGAGGACCTGCGCGTGGAGGCCAAACTAAGGGCCTTCGAGCGCCAGGTAATTGCCGAGCTAAAGATGCTCCAGAAGATCGAGCTGATGGCCAAGGAAATGCGCTCCAGTGCATCCGCGTCGCAAGGCAAGGACTCGCCCTACAAAATCAGCTATCCGCTGAGCCGGACGCCCGTGCACAAGATCACGCGCTCGGACATCGAGCGAGCTCTCCGCGATGACTACGTGCGTCGGCTGCTCCAGAAGGAGGCGCAGCGCAAGGCTAGGATCTCGGATTTGCAACGCAGTACCGGCGGCTACAAGCGTCAAGCGGATAAGCCCGGCCAGAGTATGTCCAAGGAGGACATTGTCCAGATCATGGCCTATGCCTATCGCATGGCCAGCGAGCAGATGGCCGAAAAGGAGAAGCAGGACAAGATCTATGCCGCCTACAGGACGGGATCAGAGGATTCAACGAAGCCCATGGAACGCCAACAACAGGAGCAGATGCAGCAGCAGCGCCAAATGGTCCAGGAGATGCAGCAAATGCAGCAGCAGCAGGAGAGGCAGGTCCCGCTACAAATTCCAGGAGCTTTCCAGCATCGTCAAATGATGCAGGGTCCACAGATGATCCAGCAGAATCCCATGATGATCCAGCAGCAGCAGGAGAGGCAGATGATGCAGCAGCAGCAACATGAGAGCCAGATGATCCAGCAGCAGCCGGAGAAGCAGATGATTCAGCAGCAGCAGGAGAGGCAGATGATGGCAGATCCGCAAGCTATCCAGCAGCGCCAAATGATCCAAGAACCTCAGATGAACCAGCAGACTCCCACGATGCCAAGGCAAATGCCAGAGATACAGATGATTCAGCAGCAGCAGCAGGAGAGACAGATGATGGCCGATCCTCAGGCTATCCAGCAGATGCAGCAAATGCAGTGGACCGAAGAGCAGGCCAAGATCCAGCAGCGACAGATGGCAGCCGTGGACCAACAGATGATGCAACAGCGGCAGATGATGGTGGAGGATCCCCAAGCCATCCAGCAGATGCAGCAAATGATCCAACAGAATCCCATTATGCAGCAGCGACAGATGATGGCTGAGGATCCTCAGGCTATCCAGCAGATGCAGCAAAGACAGTGGGCCGAGGAGCAGGCCAAGATCCAGCAGAATGCGATGATGATGCAGCAGCAGCAGCAGCAGAGGCAAATGATGCAGGATCCCTCACAGATGATGCAGCAGCGCCAAATGGCTGCGGAGAATCCACCAGCCCAGAGCCAGAACCAACAGCCGATCCAGTGGACCGAAGACCCATCAAGGATTCAACAGATCCAGCAGATGCAGCAGAGGAGCGAGGATCAGCAGAGGCAAATGGGAGGTCAGGCAACCACGATGACGATGCCAGCTGAACGCCAGTGGGCCGATGAGAAGTCCAAGGCCATCCAGCAAATGTCACAGCAGCCGGAGCTGGACAACGAGGAGTCTGAGGATCTCATCCTGGGAGAGGCAGGTCCCCAGATGCCGGAGAACGAGGGCACTGCCCGGCATAAAGGTAATCTCTACGGCGTCTTCCGAAATCGTGATTCCATCTCCGTCTCCCCTACAGTGGATGCCCTGGGACTGGGCGGCAACCAGCGCAAGAAGTCCAAGTCGAAGTCCAAGTCTGGAGGCACACCCACGGTGGTCAACCTGTACTACTCTACACCAGCGCAGCGTCCCAGCTATGGGCCCAGCTATGCCCCACCTAGCTATGCCCCACCCAGCTATGCACCACCCAGCTACGATCCGCGTCCCAGCTACGCTCCGCGTCCCAGCTACTCCGCCCCCAGCTATGGAACTAGTTACGGAGGCGGTGGCTACGGATCGAATGCCTATGGAGCCGGCGGCTCCTCCTACCAAAGGCCAGCCTCGCCAGGGTATCGGGCAGCCGTGGGCAATGACGAAGTGGACGAGATGCTGCGCCGCCACCAGACACTGGCCAGGGTGAGTTTCGTTGTAGAACCGCTAGATACCAGACACCACACCACATCAGCACCACACACACACACACATGACACACCCCGTAGAGCCGTAGATGCCATCTGATCCATTTCATACGATTCATTCGCCCTTCTTCTCATGGCATTAAACAGGCGACGCATTTCAGACAATAAACCCGCAACCAGGACAGGTCGCCGGGAGCCCAGCCACAGCTGATGCCTCCATGACGACAACCACACCAGCGCCGTCGTCCCCGACGCACCAAATCCACAAAAGGTTAGCCATCTTCCACAGCAGGTTCGGGAGGGACAGAGATGGGGATGAGGATGAGGATGGGTCAAACTCGGCGCCCAAGGGATGCGCCTGCGGCAGATCTCAGTGCTCCTGCGGCAAAAGCTGTCAGTGTGGGAGCTCTAGGGGATTGGGCAGCTCTGAATGCCCCTGCAAGTCCTTGTATCGACGCAGTAATCGACGCAATCGACGCAGTACCGCCGAGTACGGAACCCTGGAGACCATCGACGAGGGCTCTCTCAACGAGTTGCGGCGGGAATACAAGATGGGCCTCAAGGAGATCACATTGAGTCCGGACGAGGATCCTGCTGAGGCTCTGATGCGCTACAACGCGGCCTCCATACGAGAGGCCCTGGAGCGGGCCAGTCAGGTGCCGCTAGAGATTGGCGGGGATGAGTATGCCGAGGATTTGCCCCAGGAGCCGGTAGATGCTGAGCAACTGCAGCACGATCCGCACCAGCATCAGCATCACCATCACCAGTACCATCACCAGTACCATCACCAGGACTTTGTGCGACTGACGACAGCTGCTCCTCCGCCCTCAAACACCACTGAGGCCAGTGTCACTTCTGAAGCAACTCCCACAAGCACAACCACCTCAACCACAACCACAACAGTGAGTCCTCCCACGGAGACGGAGACCCTGGACGAGGCGGAGATGCAGCAGGACTCCGCGGCTAGCGAGACCTTGCGCGTGGCCGAGGCCATGTCCCAGCAGAAGGAGGAGATTCACGAGCTGCACAAGGCAGTGCATGCGCTGAAGCTGCAGCTTCTCGATGCCAACAGAAGGTGCAAGAAGATACAGGAGCAGCTCAAGGTGAATTTGGTCAAGGAACCGGAGCAGGAGGAGGAGTTGGAGAAGGAACCGAAAGAGGAGAAAGAGAAGAAGCCAATCACAGAGGAGGAGCCCAAGGCCAAGGTTCAGGAGCAAACCAGAGAGTTAGAAAAGGAACCGGAGAAACCCAAGGCTCTGAAGGACAAGTCCGACACGGAAAATCAGGCCAAGGAAGAAAAGCAGCAGGAGCAGGAAGAAGGAGATGATCAGGAGGAGGACACCGAGTGCACGGGCACCTCCACAACGACCACAGAGACTCCTGTAACCCCCAGTCCTCCTCCCCCACCTCCACCTTCTCCTCCATCGCAAAGATCCCAAGAAGCCAATGCCATAGCCAAGGTGGACCGACAGCTTGGTACCGCCTCTGCCGTCGCCTCAGCCTCCATTGACGCCAATAAGCTGGGTTACGAGGAGGAGGAGGGCAACTGGCAGCGCATCCTGGCCAATCGGGGCTACGACACCGACTACCTGACCAAGAGCCACGAGCGTCAGTACGCCGAAGGCGGCAACCTGGAGCTGCCCAAGGTTTCGCCTTACGATGCACCCCTTAGCCAGGAGTACTCCTCGTATCCGGAGTTTCAGGCCGATGAACCCGCCCCTGACTCCGACTCCGAAGTCAAGGCCAAGAGGGCAGCTGCTCCGCTGAGCGTGAAGCTAAGGGCCCATATGCTGAACGTGGCCCTCAACGGGGGTGGCCGCCGTGACGCCTCCACAGCACCCACTCCCTATGCCCTGCGCGGTAAGTTTATGCGACGGCGCAGCACGGCTGGGAGTAGCGCCGGAAGGAAAAAGAACAGCCGGATCAGCCAGATCAGCCAAGAGGAAATAGAGATTCCCAGCGATGAGGGCTGGGTGAGGTCCACGCGACAGGCAAAGATGCCACAGCGCCCCCAGAAAAAGGTTACCCCGTTGGCCAGAAAGGTGACACCGAAGAAGAAGGAAGCCAGCAGCGCCAGGGTTACCACCCAGGCCAGCGTTAGTAGCACCAATCTGGATCGCCTGGTGGATGTGCTCAACGATCTGCTGCGTCTGCAGCTGCAGAAGGAGCGCAGATCCAGCGCCTTGAAGAGCAATGCTTCCTTGAAGAGCAACAATGTGCTCGCCAAGACCTCGGCGAGCAGCAAGCTCGTTAAGCGCAAGAGACTCCGCAAAAGGCAGCAGCCAGCCCCATCCAGCACCATCAGAAGCCACATTGGGATGTAATCCTTTCCAGCCCATGTCCATAAGCATCTCCTAACCCTAATCCTAACTTTAACCATAATCATAATCATAATCCTAGCTTAGAGCTTAGACAAAGTAGTTCATTAATCACCACAACCCATCCATCTTCATCTTCCATTTTCATATCAGTCCATCATCAGCACCATCCGACATCGAAACCACCGCACCACCACCACCATCTGACCCTCAAGTGGGCTCCATTTTCACCTACGGCGAGGGACTGCTGCACCCGTTCATGGGCCTGCTGCCCGTGCAGAGACCAGACGATCCCTGGAACACCAAGCCCTACGACCCCCACTATCCCCTCTATACGGGCGGCGGCAGCTACGCCGCCTATCTGAGGGACGGTCGCCATCGCCGGGACACGCACATCATGGGCAGCCAACCGGGACAGGGGATCCTTACGCCCGGCATGCTGGAGAGGCTGCTCCGCATCAAGATCGATTTCCAGCGACGCTTCCCCCACCTCTATAAGGGCATGCTGAGTCACCACCAGAACCAGACTCGGGTGGAGGTGGAGCCACCGATTCTGGGCAAAATTAAAAGCGACGATAAGAAACCAAATGCCAAACCTACGAAGGAGCAGGAGGAGGAGGCACCTGTCTATGAGCTGGGTGCCGCCGAGCGAAGCCTCTTCGAGGACGACACGGAAAGGGATTCCCTCGGAAAGGAGTCCGAACAGGAGGCGGAGGTGGACCCGAAGGAGGCGGTGGCCAAGGAGAGCAGTGAACGTGAGCCCAAAGACAACATCAGCAGCGAACCTTGGAGAGAGGACCATGACATTGATTACTTTGAGTTCGATGACGACGATGATGTTGATGACTAGACTTTTGTTCAAATGTCAATAAAAATATGATTAAAATGTTAATTTTAATTTTAAAATGTGGGTACAAATTAAAAAAGAATGTCAGAGAGAGAGAGAGAGAGAATGAGAGAGAGAGAGAGAAGAGAGAGAGAGAGAGAGAGAGAGAGAGTGGAAAATATAAAGATATAGAGAGAAAGAGGTAGCGAAAACCACAGAGATTGAGACTATAAAGACTTAGTGAGTTATTAAAATAAAGAAAAAAGAAAGAAAGATGCAAATTGAGAGAGTGCAAGGCAAGGAAAAATTAATAAAATTATAAGAAAATATGAAAAATATATATAGAGAAAGGGTCTCTTTTATATACATTTAAGAAAGATAGTAACGAACATTTCTAGATCGTATAGGCTGTTGAATTTCTACTAAACTTATAGAAAAGGAAGCTATAAATACGAATTTATATTAAATATAAATTTTAAATAAAATTCAGACAAGGTAAAATTAATACCAAATGTGGTATTACAATTATCCTAATAAGTTGGTAACTTCTTCTAAATTATTTTGTTTACTTTCAAATAAACACAAATACAAAAATCAATAAATATAATAAATAAAATAGAATACTTTCCAAAGCTGGCTAGGATTCCCTATTAACAGGTGCCACGAGGAGCTAATAATGGGTTGACTTCGTAACCAACTATCGGTCCCAGGGGAATTCCCGTTAATGCGATACGATTAATGCGATTGGTCAGAGCCACTCCAAAGATTTCCCCCGGGAAAAGGAGAAGGGGTGGAGCGAGCACAGGAGGCTCTATTCCATTTATTCCTTGAACGAGTCCTTAACCATGCAGTGGTGGTTGCGTGTCGCGATTTGCTTCCTTCTTGCTGGCACAGTGCCAAGAGTGATATCTGAAACTGGATCTGGATCGGAGTCGGGATCGGAATTGGTTTCGGGCTTAGCGAAGGCTCTAACCCAAGTGCTGGTGAAATCTGAGATGGGTCAGCTGAATACCCTGTACATATATACACACATCAGTGGCCCAGCGGCGACGGGGCTCCACTTGGAGGAGCTGCTCAGTCGACTATTGGTCAGCCTGCCGGCCACGGGCCAGGCAAGGCAGCTCTACCGCCAGGCGCCCATGGAGTATAAGCCCTATGTGCATGCTGTTCTGGTGCTGGTAAATGACTTTCGATCGCTGGCTGAGATCTACGGACGCATCCGGGCCACGCAGGATCTCTCACACACGCTGATCTACATGTCCCTGCCAACGGTGGCGGATGATGACGAGGTGCAGCTGGCCCTCCAGCTGCTGTGGCGCCTCAGTGTCCTCAATGTGGGCCTGGTGCTGCGCTCTGGCTCCCGTGAGCTCATCATGGTTAGCTACTTCCCCTTCAGCCCCGACCACAGCTGCAAGGAGATCAAAGTCAGCGTGGTGAATCGCTTTCACTGGGACTCTAAGATCTGGGCCAGGTCTGACTACTTTCCCGAGAAGCTGGACAACTTCCATGGCTGCCGGCTGACCTGTGCCACCTGGGAGGATATGCCGTACCTGGTCTGGCGGCCCGACTCCGGCTCTGGCTCCTTTGTGGGCATCGAGGGGGCACTGCTGCAGTTCATGGCCGATAACCTTAACTTCAGCGTTGGCCTGTATTGGATGAACAAGGACGAGGTCCTGGCCACCTTCGACGAGTCGGGCAGCATTTTCGATGAGGTATGTTACGAGTCCTTTAGTCCCTTTCATGTCCATCTTCATCTCCATCTCCATCTCCATCTCCAAAAGATATTCGGTCAACACGCCGACTTCTCGCTAGGCGGATTCCACTTCAAGCCGAGTGCCGGCAGCGAGATCCCCTACTCGCAGTCCACGTACTACTTCATGAGCCACATCATGCTGGTGACGAACCTGCAGAGCGCCTACTCCGCCTACGAAAAGCTGGCCTTTCCCTTTGCCCCCCTCCTGTGGCGGGCCATTGCCGTGGTTCTGATCCTGGCCTGCCTACTCCTGGGCGTGGTGGTGCGGCGATGGCCCAAGCAGGAGTTGCCACCGCATCCGTACTATCAGCTACTGGTGCTGACCATGGGCGGCAACCTGCTGGATCGCTTCCTGCCTCGAAGGCTGCCCGGTCGGCTCGTAATCCTTACCTGGCTTTTGTCCTCTTTGGTCCTGCGCAGCGGCTATCAGTCCGGGATGTACCAACTGCTGCGCCAGGACACTCAGCGCAATCCGCCGCAGACAATTGCCGAGGTGCTGGCCCAGCGCTTCACCATTCAGCTGGCGGAGGGGAATGAGGCCCGAATCCTGGCCAGCCTACCGGAGCTCCAGCCCAGCCAGCTGGTCGAGCTGCAGGGCAGCGAGCTGCAGTCCTTTCCCGTCCTGGCCAGGCAGAGTGGCACTGCTGCCCGATTGGCCATCCTGACGCCGTACGAGTACTTCGGCTACTTTCGGAAGGTGCATCCGATGAGCCGGCGCCTGCATCTGGTCCGGGAGCGTATCTACACCCAGCAACTGGCCTTCTATGTGCGCCGTCACTCGCACCTGGTCGGCGTCCTCAACAAGCAGATTCAGCATGCCCATGCTCACGGTTTCCTGGAGCACTGGACGCGTCAGTATGTGAGTGCCGTGGACGAGGCGGACGAGAGTGTCTCCAGGATAGCCACCACCGCGTACAGCACCCTGGACGGTATTGATGGGGATCCACGGCTCTCAGAGGCTGAGGAGCAGCAGGTGGCCCCCGTGCATCAGAATGTTCTTTCCATGCGGGAGCTGGCTGCCCTCTTCTGGCTCATCCTCTGGGCCAATATCGTGGCGGTGCTTGTCTTTGTCTTGGAATTACTAATGCCCGAGGATTTGTATGGCAAAATGAAGGGGTTTTTATGTCGCAAGCATGGAAAATAATATTTCTTAAAGTATATTTGTTTCGAATACAACTTTATTTATTTATTTAATTAATTTATATTAAATGTATATTTAAACGTTGTTAGACAAGTAAAAATACCGATTTAAGCGACGACTGCTGTCACGTTTCTTCAATGGGGCGGCGCATAAATAAGGCTCGATTTATTTGCGGGCCAGGCGTTTTAATTAAATTACTTCATAATCCACAGATGCCACTCCCACTCGCCATTCCTGCTGCTCCTGCTGCACAGCTCGAAGGACATCCCTTCCAGCTGCGCTTGGCTTCGAGGATAGTTGGCCAAAGTGTTCGCTGCTCGTATCGTAAAAACGCAAAACGTTTTATCTAAAAGCGATAAATTTTGAAAACCAAAACTTGCGCTGGCGAATCAACCCCCGCCGATCTGGCAAGGACCACCACCGTATAGCTACGTCCTTCGTCCCCGCTCGTCCTTCGCCGCACACCACATAGACATCAATTCTGTGTGTGCTTCTTGCCGGCAATCCTTGCAACATTTGCGGCTGCCGTTGTCGCCATCGACTGGTTACATGTAAGTGCTGCCATTGCCCCCTTGCCCTCCTCCACCACTTCTCCAGTCCAGGACCTAGCCGGGACCTTACCAGGGCCAATCTCTTGCTGCTTTGCTTATCGCCTCGCACATTTGAGCTTTTTGAAATTTCTCGCCACAAAAACTGTCTGTAATGGGCACAACGTTGCCCGGCTTCGGCTTTGGGCACAGCAAAAAAATATTTGGATAATTTAAAGTATCAATATATAGATTATTATATAATATATATTTTATTTATTTAATTTAATTACAAATTTAAAATGCGTGATGAATGACTCGTTATTCTTCGTCTTTATGACTTCGGTTCTTCGTATTTATTCGTTGTTCTGCTCTCAGTCTCGTCATTTTAACTCGTTCTTCTGCTCTCAGACTCGTCGTGCCTTGAACGCCGTCTTTTCTCGTCATTTTGGTCATAATCTCGTCGTTATTATACTTCTGAATAAAATGTAGTTCATACATTAATTAAAGTATAGTTTACTTTTGGTATATTCCCTTATATTTCTCTCTGTGTGCGGTCTGCCAGCTTTTGCAGCTTCCTTGTTGCCCCCCCGTTTCCTTCGCCCTGCCTTCGACTCATCCTTGGGAGCCAACTAGTCAACGACATCGTCTTCGTTCTTGTCGCTTGCTGGAAATTCAAGTAAATGTATTGAACTTAAGCTCATTGCCTGCGATGTCGTTTTCGTCGCACAGTCTGAAGCGATACATCCCATCCACCATCGCCCATCGCCCATTTCCCAACCCATTTCCCATTTTCCAGCCCACATTTTCCCCACTGTCGCCTTTAATACGCTGCGCTGTTTAGGGGAAAAGTAAAAAAAAAAAAAAAAAATAAGAAAGATAACTTTATGCAATTTCTTTTATAAAATGTTTCCTATTTTTGGTTTGCAGCAGCGAGTGTAAATGACTTATACACTCGCTGCTTTTTAGGGATTTAAAAATAAAGATTTTAAAGATGTATTTTAAAGAATTGAAAGCGGTTCTGAAAGTTTGTTTAGCACAGCTATTGATGTGTCTTTTATTTTTAGGAGTCTATAAAATGTTTTATAAATGTAAAGAAATTAATAGTTATTAGTTGAAATTTTTTGATATTTTTGAATGATTAACATTTAGGGTTAACGTTGTAAATGATTCTTAGGCCAGGGTCTCGCCCAGCTCCCAGTCCGTGGCCCAGTTGAAGTTTCACATCCGTTACCCAAACGGCGCTCCAGTGGCTTTTTGCAGCTCAGTCTGGACTGCGACTACTCTCGGCAATTGCCAGTGCCAGTGCCACATCCACTGCCACATCCTCCTCCTCCTCCTCATCCTCATCCCCGTCCTCGTCCCCATGCCAAGAATACTTTGGCTCGTTTGGCAATGAATTTTTATGGCGCGACTTTTACGTCAGCATCATCCGAGTTGCGTTAAAAAAAAAAAAAAGAGAAGAGGGCATGGGGATCGGGATCCGGATCCGAATCCTATAGAGCGGAACTCTTCAAGGCTTCGCTCGCTAAACAAACATATTCATGACAAGATTACGCTGCGGTGGCACTTAAAAATTTGCATGGGGCGGTGGCAACAAGGACCAGGCACTCGGCAAAACTGTCCTTGTCCTAATGGCTGCCCCGACTGCAGCAACTGCCAATTTCCGGCCGCGAAATTACATCTAATTAGCTAATCAACACAATTACGGTGCAACCTGCGGCTACACACATATACTCGCTGGCTCGTACGCAGGATAAAAGGACACCACACACACACACAGACGCACAGAGAGTCACACTCAATGTAGCGGAAGTTGCCCAGACACAGCGTCATCGTCATCGAAATCGACATCGACATTCGATGAGGACGCAGCTTAGGCCAGAGTTGCCACCGCATCCGGCCACGCCTCCACCCCGTATCCTTCGTCCTTCATGGTAATGGGAACCACTGCACAATGTGGCGAGCGTGTCTGTTGGACATTGGAATCGCTCCTGGCCTCATTACGGATGGATGCTAGAAAGGGAAAAAAACAAGGAATATCATTATCGAATGCTTCCCTTCGATCTTGATTCAATTTTTGAATTTTGAAATCTTTATTTAAGCAGGCAACTGCTTTCTTTGCTCCTGATCCGCGACAAAGGTTCATTGATCCCGCCCAGCTGCACATGTGGTCTCCACTCAATTATACAGCGTTCATTCGTTAGCTCATTAAGGTTCCTTGCTCAGCGGGAGCATACACACCCACAACCTCATCCACGGCCAACGGCAGATCCCGCTGCTCCTGTTACTCCTCACGGCCATGCTCCCGTCCATGGTTAATATCCTGTGTCAACTGTTGTCCATTCAATTTGCATTTTTGCAATTATTTCAATTAAATCGACAAAAGGAAAACGTCTGCTCTCCGCAAGGCAAGGCGGTGCCGGCAAATGAGTCGATGATTGTGGCTCTGGAAAAGGTAAATGGAAGGGAGGTGGCTGGATGGGGATTGGCATTGGACTGACGAGGGACTCCCTCCGTCCCGTCTGGTGGGGAATATAATTTCCTCGCGCCGGATGTGACAATGAATACGCATTAATAAGTGCATACAAACGGACAGAGACGCACACTCATATTACGAGGTTACAGTGAAGACTGGCTACAAGTGATGCCTAAAAAAAAAAATAAAAGTAACATAATAATAATAATAATAATAAATATTATTATAAAATTTATTACATTTTGTCAAGATGCTTGCTATTCTTATTTTATATTCATTCCAGCTTGGTCTTCATGGTCCTGGCATTCCTGTATCCTTTCCCCAAACACGTCGGGGATATGTTTACGATTTTTGAACTCCCGCCGAGAAGGACCAAACCGATTCATACCTTTTGTTGCCACCGATGTTGCTTCTGCGTGCCTTCCGGTGGGTAAATTGATATGGCCTCCGCCTCCGCCTCCGACTCCTGCTGTTCCATGATGGGATTCCCGGAACGGTGAATGCCGGCTGGCGGCTGGTGAATGGCGAGCGCGGAGTGCTCATGAATGGCTGGCTAATTTTGTAGAGCGACGGCTCGCTTTTAACAATATTAATATGCAAAAAAAAAAAAAAAAAAGAACAAGAAAACGAATAAAATAAATACAGGCGGGGGCGGGTGGGCGTCGACTACAAATGGAGGATAAGCCGGAGACAAAGCATACTTCTCGCAAGGAATGGAACAATGTATGGAATGAAGCGAGCAATTTTCATTCGCACAGCGGGAAATTGGATTTGGCGTATGCCACGAATCAAGTATACGCCACATGCGCGGTCGTATACGTAATGTGATTACAACATCCTGTCACCGCAGTCGGTGCGTGTCACAGAAAAAAAAAAATAAAATAAAAAAAATGAAATTATATGATTTGAATAATAATTGAATTAGGCAATCACAGAGACGACAACGGTGTACACTGTACTCAGTACATGACATGCATTTTTTCCTTGCACTCGGGGCCACTCCTTCTCTCACTTTTTCACTATTCCACTAGCTGCTCCCCTTTTCGCCAATAAACCAGCCACTTTATTAGGCCATGTTTTATCCTCATCGATTTTTGACCCGCACCAGCAGGTCCTGTCAAATATTTGCAATTAAAAGCAATAAATTTGTTAAAACTACGAGAGCAGAGCTCCTCATGGGCTTTCTGGGCCCCTCATGTCTCAAGCAATTTGTTAGAAGCTCCTCGAGTGGAGCTAGACGCCATCAAGTGCCTGATGGAGATCAAGGCACAGTGGCCAAAGACAGTGGATGATTTAGGGGGATTTTCCAACATAAAATGGAATGAAAATTGACTGAAATAGAAGCCTTAGCAAATGCATAGGAACAAAGATTATTAAATAGTTTTAAACAGGAACAAGAATGAGAAAAATAAATATTTTATAAATTTAAATATTCTATATTTCTATATATACAAAAATACATATATATTTCTATTGCAAATATTTTAATACATATATTTTTCAAATACTTTCCACTACCATCTCTTATAACTTGGTCTAATGCGACTGACATTTGTCGCCCTCAAATGGTTAACAAGTTTCTGCAACCACCGACTGACGTCATTACTTACTTCCCGTTTTTTTTCTCCACTCTACACTTTCCATTCTCCACGCTCCACTCTCCCTGATCCTCCTCTCTCCACTCACCACTCTCCACTCCCTCCACTCAGTTGTAATCATGTGAATCCGCTTAAACAGTCGAAGTGTATTGCGCGTCATTATTTTCTTTCGTGCCATTAGACTTGAATAGTTTTTCCATACTAAAAAGTTAAAACGAGTTCCTGGAGAAAAAGAACACCAGAAAGAACGCAAATCGCATCGCCGACTTTGCTGCTGCACTTCTGCCAATATCTGTATGTACACTGAGCAAAATTAAAGCAGGAGTTTGTATTTAAATAGAATTGATTATAATGAATGATTATAACTTAGCATTCTATTTACGAATACTTATTATTAGGCAGCTGTTCCATGTATAGCTGATTTTTTACAAGTAACAATTTTGTTTTATTGATTTATTTTTGTTTGTATATTTTTTTAGGGTATTTTTGTGAAAAGTATATTAATCAAAATAAAAAGCTAATTAATTAAAACAAAAAAATATAGAAAATAATAATTCATATAATTTTCAAAAAATGTAATTGTAAAAATTTAAATAGCATTTGCTTATGATTTCCCGCTTACTGTTTTCCCCAGTGTAAAAGTGTCACTTTACTCGATTTTCCGCACTTGTGTGAGCTTTCCTTGACTGCGATGCGATGCGATGTCCCCTTGATGATGATGACGACACTCGGCTGCATTTCCACTCAAGTGCTTGCCTTTTTCGCACCATCATACACTTTCCACTCACTTTTCCGCCATCTTGAGAAACGCTCGCTCTTTATTTGTTCATCCAATTTCAATTTATTTGCGTTTTTATTTCCATTTTTGCCTACAATTGTGGCCAATTTGGCTTAATTGTTTTTATTAAGAGTTTGGTCCGCCTGCTGCCCTTCGCCCGCATCCGCCACGGAACAATGAGGATAAATAAATCACATGCATTTTATTGAACCTCTCGCCACGTCTCGCCTTGCCTCGCCTCACTTTGCCCCGGTGGAAAAAGGAAAATTGCATTTAAAATGCACACGCAAATTGAAAATTGCCATAATACAATATGCACGTGTGTGTGTGTGTGAAAAACTTTTGCTTTGGTAAAACGTGCCTCATTATAGAGATCAATGACATGTCCCGAACAGATATTAAACGCCATCCGAATGTAAATTGTTGCTCTTTTTCATTTTCGTTGACATTTTCCTATGCCTATGTGTCTGTAGCTGAAAATTAGTATTAAAGTGTGTGGCCATAGATTAACCGATGACGTACTAATTTACCATTAAAATTTAATGGCGTCTTAATTGTTCGCTTCGATGTTTTTAATTCATGCTTAGCTTAGTTCATGGTGCTGCCACCATAAAAGGTGGTCTCGCACCTCTCATGCTTAGCCTAATCCATGGTGAGATTGTATGTATGTATGTATAAGGTGGTCTCTTAAGCTTTGCCAAGGCCACTGAGCATTTGAAGCTCTGTCTTTGCTCTCTGAGAAGCAAGCGCAATCAGGAGATGCCAACAGCCATGCTGGAATTATAAAGAGAGAAAGAGAGAGTCCTTAGCAAAGCTGATGGGACCCACCTATAAGCTTTGCCTAGGACTCTCTCCTTCTCTCTCTCCTACTCCTACTAGGAGATACCAATACCAATGGCGGTTTCAGAGAGATCGTGCATCCATCAAGGCCTAGGCCTACAAGTGTTGGTGTGAAGAGTAAAGGCTTGAGAGAGTAAGTTTTTTTCTACAGAGTGGATTTTATGTTACTAAAGAGAGAGGAATGGAAATTCTTGAAATTCGTGGAGGAAATACAACATTTTGCACACATTTTTTGCAAATAATTTCATAATAATATTATTTAAAATTTTAATTAACAAATACAAACATTCCCCTTTCAGTAAAAAATATTAAGAACATCAAATATCTAATTTCTACCACTTCTTTTTCGCATCCAGGGACACCCTGCCAGGGCCCAAGGACACTATCATTAGCAGTCCCCCAATGACCGTGAGTGTCTGAAAAAAACTGTATTTCAAGTAATCACGGAGGGGCCGATAATTCGGAATGTTCCACCAGGCATTGTGGTACAGATTCAGCACCGTCAGCAGGGCCACCAGGATGAGGGCCGACAGCTTCGTCCTGTAGCCGAGCACGACGAAGATCATCAGCAAGGAGGTGCCAATATCCTGGATCATCTGCAACACATTCAGCTGGAACCGTATCAGACCGATGAACATGAAGGCCAACAGGGTGCGACCGATTAGCTGCATAAAGATCGTGGACCTGTTGTCGCCCACCGAGGGCAAGCCGGCAAATAGGTTGCGGTGCTGCTCCATTTGGGCCTCGGCCAGGGCGAGGAGCAGAGCGCCGATCAGCCCGAGCTTGAGCAACAGGATTTGCAAGTTCCAGAAAATGGAGTAGGTCATTATTTGGAGCAGAACGATGGAGAGGAGCACCCTCACTGCAACGTTGGTTTTGTTGCCTGCCATCACCATCAAGCAGCCGCCCAGCTGTCCGACCATGTTGATAAGCACAAACAGGGTGGCGAGGAACCCTCCACATAGCCAGGTCTCTTCCACGAACTCTCGCTGCTCGTCCCACTGATAGAGCATCCGTAGGCCGTCCTCCAGAAAGCTGGCAATGAGGCAAATTTTCCCTACCTTGGGTATTACTTTTCTGCCGCTTCTGATGACCTCATCGGCCACATCCTCTGCTGCTGCCAGGTACTGCTGCATTGTTGTCATATTGGTAGATCCAACTGTTGGCCGTGTGGAGTCACCGTAGTAGCGTTGCTCCTCCAGATCGTATAAAGTTGACAACTAACAATTTGTTATCGGTGACGTATGCTGGTTGACAAGCAAATTATCGGAAAATATGTCGAGAAATATATATAATAGATATGTTAAAAGAGAGTATATTTATAAGGAGAATGTATTATTTCAAGTTTTACTTCGATTTAAAAATGCTAAGACTCAACATACTTAGAAGTAGAAACATCAATAAACTACTAAAAATTCCTTATCGGTGACATATTCTAGTTGAAACATAAATTCTAATAAAAAATATCGAAATTTTAAATATATAAACTGTTTTGATTAGAAGGATAGAGATATGTTTAAAGAAGATACAAGTAAAAGTATTATTTCAGTCAAAATACAGTTTCAAAATACAGTTTCATTGATATTTGTACATGTTTATTACTTAAAAGCACATTTCTTATTCATAGAAATGTATATAGCATTATTTTTCACATGTCTATCATATATCTATCTACATATTTCACGATTTTGGTGATTAAACGAAGGACAGGATGGATTTCGATGACACACCAGCAGCCAGCCAGGTGAGGATATTTGAAGTCCTACCACGACTAGTCTGTCCGGCTCTCTGGGCCTGGCTTTGTGGCCTTGAAGTGGGCTTCCGCTTCCGCCCCAATGGATGCGGCTGCAGACGAAGGAGGAATGCCACCTGGGAATACCGTCTGTAGCTTGACCAGCTCCTGGTCAATGCGCTCTTTGGCGCGGTAGACTTTTGACTGAAGGTAGAAGGAGCCGCCGGAGGGCTTCTCGTTGGCTCGGAACAGGTGCTGGTAGTTCGTATCGATCGCCTTTTGATCGTCCAAATCCTTGACGTTAAGGATCTGCCTAGCCTCCGTCAGAGTCATACCATTCACCTTGTTATCGTCGACGGCGGCGTCGTTGCTGTTGTTGTTGAGCGCCTGATGGAGCCGGGCGGCCTCATTAAAGGCCTCGATCTCCTGGCGCACTGTCTTCACTAATGCCCGACCCATCGCCTGGGCGCCCAGGCCGATGATCTTCGCAAGGTACCGAGCCATGTCTTGGTTCCAATGTTGCCTGCTTGTGTACCGACGATAATGAATTTTGCACGCGATCTTACAGAAGTCTCCGAAATCACAGCCTGAACATAATAGAAAAAAGAGAGAGCTAGAAATACACACAAACTACGATGCTTTTTCGGAAAATGTGAGTGATGTATGACTGTTAACTGCCCCAGAAAAGTGTGTAAATATGCTTTGAGTAGGTTGTGCCTTTAAACTTTTGGCAAATATTTGTAGCTTTAAAGCATTAAAATGTAGACTCTACAAGTTTGGGTCTTAAATGCAGCAAGTGCCAAAGGATGCCTTCATTTTTAAAACACTTTCCCGCCTGGCTTCACACTAGCTGAACTGCTGACCCCCTCAAGTACTTAAGAATTCCATGCAACGATTGTGTCACGAGGTCAGAGACTTACAGCAGCGGTCAGCCGAATAGCATTCTGCTAAATGAGAAATATTTTTCGATTACAACTTTCAAGTTGAAAAAACAGTAATATGGTATTAAGATATTTATATTTGGTATATCTACATTTAATTAATTTTAATTTAAATTATTCTTTGCTATGTCAATGGTCATTGCTGTTTGCCCAAATATGCCAAGAAGGAGGAGAGAGCGACGTCTGAATGAAATCAAAATGTTTCCTTGCTCAGATTTCCAGCTTCCGTTTCCGTTCTGGTGGCGTTTCTGTGCAGCTCCCTCTCTCTCCCTCTGTACTGGTGTGCGTGTGTGAAGCTCATAAACAAATTATACGCAAATTGACAGACTTCCGGCAAGCAGCAGTTTAGGTCTCCTAGCTGTCATAGCCTTCTGATCTCTGGGTCCTGTGTGTTTTAACATAATTACATTAATGACTTGTAGCCAGCACAAAAAAGTCCGCCTGCTGCAGGCAGGATACGTTGCCGCAAATGGACAACAATCGCAATTGCAGTTTTCGGCTTTCTGGCCTTCTGGCCTGGTCGCCTGCCGTTAAAATTCACAAACTGTAATTGATCACATTTGCGTTTGTCGTTTGATTTCATTGTCTTGTGCGTGAGACCAAGTCAGCGTACCCGATTTACCCGCCCATTTTTCACCCATTTTCCACCCATTTCCCCAATTCAGCAGCCGCAGTTGATGGCCGGGGCTCATTCATTATGCAAACACCTCCACATGGCTATCTAAACGTGGCCATGTCCGATGCGCCATGTTCACACTGAAAGAAGATGTTCTAGATGAAAGAATGCAAGAAATTTGAATTTAATTTAAAAGCAAAATATTGTGAAAAAGAGTTTGAAAAACTCAGAATAATTAAGAAAAGGCATTGATAATAATAAAAATAAAAATCAGAAAATAATATAATATTCGATTTCTCTCTCTGCACGAAACTAGAGCAACTGCCTTTTGCGATTAGTTGCCATTTAAACTTCTGTTACCGCCCCTCCCAACCTCCTCTACCCGAAATCCTTGTCCGGTTCCCATTCCCATTTCCAGTTCCATTTTGATTCTGAATCGTTTGGGTTTTTGGCCTTTTTTGTCGGGGGAAGAGTAGGGTAGAGAAGAGGAGTCCTGGCAGCGGACACCATCCGCTCGTCAGTTGTGTCCGATGGCTGGCCGCCATAGCATTTTGATTTCCGCACTGCATCCGGCAGTTTTAATCCCCAGACAGCAGCGATGTCCACTAACTCCCGCCTATCGTAGTCCAACTTCTGTCCCTGCTCCTGCTTCTGCTCATACTCCATTCGGTTAGTCAGTCCTCCGTTCTCAGTTCTCTTCCAAACACCAACAAAAAAAAAAAAAAAAAAAAGAGAAACAACAAAATTGTTTGAGTGCAAATGCAACAAGAAAGTGGGATTTTGGATGATTTTTCCAGGATAATAATTATAAAAATAATTAGTAATAAAAGTCAACTTTTAAACTTAAATAATATTATATAACTAGTTTAAATGGCAAGTTTCAAGGGAATTTTGTAAGAAAAATGTTACAATTTAAAATAAAAATCACAAATGTGTATTTGTTGGAAAAATAAGTCATCTAATTTTAAGATTTTTTCCCCCATTCAAAAGTAATTTTCCTTAAAAAACAACCGAATTTGAACTTCAAAAAACGAAATCCTTGGCCTGAAAAAATTCTTTAAAAAATAAACTTATCAGCTTAGTGGATATTTCCCATTCCGTAAGGGAACTGTAGCAGGGAGTCGGGGAAAATGCGAACAGTTCACTATTTACCACACACGCAATGTGGGATCCACACAGCTCGCGGGGGTATAGAGGTGCAGGGGCAACTCGTGGCGGCGACTGCATGGCCTTTCGGTGATGCATGGCCATGGCCATGGCGCTGAAAATGCCTACTGTCCGCTCCGGCCGCCTGTCCAGTGTCGCATTCATTGCCATTCATTCGCCACTGCCGTTCGTGGTTGTCCCCACCACGTAGAACCCCTTGAAACCCCCTCATAAACCCCCCTAAAAACCCCCTTGAAAGCCTCCCCCCCCCATGAAAACCCCTCTGGGGATGGTGATGCTGCTGCTTGTGGCTAACATGCAAGCTTAGGATTTGGAAAACAATTTCACTGTTAGTGGAATGTCAACGTCAGGTCTCGCTCTGCCAATGGCCACCACCTCTTTTAGCCTCACCCCCTAGCCCACTGCTATAAAGCCCTTTCCCACCACACGCACCTCCCTGATGGTCAGAAATTTTAGGCGCGATGCGTCGCACACATCACTAATTAGTGATGTGCAATAATCGTGACAGTGTGTGTGGGTACACGGAAAACAATGAAATATATAATATAATTAATAATAAATATATATAAATGTTGATAATAATAAATATACTTTCGCTTCTAAATACATAATCTTTTTAAATTCCAAATGATAATGTTATGTCAAGTCTTAAATTATTACAATAAAAACCATTTATCATGAAGGCTTAAACCTTTGAAATAACCAAATATAAATTAGTTAAAATATTTAAAATAATTACTAATTACATAAAACAAATGAGGATAACTAATCAATAATAACATACAACAATTTACAAAAGCCCATTTGCAACTGTAATAATTCCTAAACATTTTTTCCCTGTGTAATCTAGCCATGGGCAATAGAGACTTCGACTCGACGCTGGGTCGGTTCAAAAATTGCGACATTGTTAATCAACTGTGCGTGTCGCATAAGTTGCATTTGCTTTCGGTCGCTTGGTCGGAATGGATTGCATGCACCGTGGGGGCGATGGGGGGTTAAGGATGGGGCAACTAGGGTGAAAGGACTAAGGGCTGTTTGATTGGTTTCCAGGCTCCAAAAGGCCAAAGCTTAACTGGACTCAACGGAACCCGGCGAACCTCTAAGTACGAGAGGTAAGTGGAAAATTGTCGAATAATGATGTGCCAAGTTCAAGGTCGTTCAGTGCGAGTGGTTAGTCAAAAACTGGTATATTTAACGCCGAGATTTATTTATGGCAAATGTAATTTTAAAGATTCGTATTTTTTGGAAACCGCGAACAATCCCTTTTTAGGTTCTTTATCTTTCCTGTTTTTCAGGAGAGCTTACTGTGTTGGCCTGCCCAGTGATATCCCTTGTTTTGTTCGATTTTGGTACTAGGTCTTAACGGCTTTTAACAAAGAAAAAAAGAAAAACATGCAGTCCGTTGGGCAAAGGGCATCGCTGGGGGCCGGGGTTGATGCCGGATTGGTTGCATTTAATTGACCAGAAAAACAGCAAAAGGGCTGCGGGGTCAGCCTAATTGAAATTTCATGTTACAAAAGTAAGTGAGTACGAGACAGCCATTGGGGGAGTCGCAGAGCGGGTGTAGCCAGGGCTGCCATTTTCCAGATTTTCCGGGATTTGTAATCAGAAACAGAGGAAGAAAAGCAGCGCCAGCAGAAGAGCCAATAAGGAAAATTTAATGAGTCGAGTTCAATTTCTGAACTTTGAAACTAAAGCTACAAATGGCGATAAAACTTAAATAGTAAAATATAATAAAAAAAACTTGGTACTTGATACAATGCTATTGAATAAGGGTTAAGTTAAAAAAACCGAAAGTCAGTGCCATCCCAGCAGGCCCTTCCTCCAAGTGTCAAAGTTCAAGTGGCAATCAGACCCCCTTGGCTAGTCATTGTTCGTCCGACTAAAGGCAAATTCGGTTCGATCATCCGTTCGTTCGCCCAAATTCGAGTTTTGTGAGAAAGATACTAAGAAATTTATATACAATGGAACATAATCGTCGCGAGATAAACACAAGAGGATTGCAGAGCCCGTCGCTGGGTGGCGGGGATGCGGACAACAGTGTCCTGATGCGGCGTGCACCGGATGCGGAGCAGCAGCAGCCGCCGCAGCCACAGCAGCCACAGCAACAGCATCATCATCATCCAGTGGAACAGCAAGTGGAGCGTCCGATAGCCAACAGCCAGATGGTGTCTCGCCCTCGTCTTCGTCGATCCGGCTCCGATCGGGTGGACATAATCCTGCCCTGTGCCGCTGGAGCCGCTACCTCGGAAGGTGCTGCTATGGCTATAGTGGCGGAGCCATTGTCAGGTTCCGAGCTAACCGACACGCCCGCGCCCCAGCCCAATCCGCTGGTGCGCTTTTGCCTTCGCCTGGGCCTAAGCGCCCTACTCCATCCATACGAAATGGCAAAGATACTCATCCAGCTGGGCCACGAGCCAATTACGGCGCTTCCATATCAGCTTCCGTTTGTGGGATGGCGTCCACGCTTCTATCTGCCCGGCGTGCAGCAGTATGTCATGCACATCTATCAGTTGGACGGCTTCAGGGGTCTATATCGCGGACTCGGTCCCCGTCTAGTCTCTGGTGCTTTTGACTATCTGCTGGGCGACGTGATCCTGGATGCCATCCACCTAACTCCCTACACCCGCTGCGTTGCAAAGTCCCGATTCGGAGCTCAGGAGTTTCTTTGGAACCTGATGTGCGACACCATGAGGCTGGCCTCGTCGGTGGCCATTACGCATCCCTTCTACGTGGTAATGGTGCGCCAGGTCGCCCAGTTCGTGGGCCGGGAAGCAGTCTACGAGGGCCTTTGGAGCAGTCTGAAGACTTTGCTGGACACCGATGGTCTGGCGGGACTCTATGCCGGCGTCGTGCCGCTTTTCCTGGGCGAGTGGGCCATCCTGGCCGGCACCAGTGTTGCGACTCACCTGTGCCACCGCCTCGTTCCGATGAGCTTCATCCAGCAGCAGTACAATAGCGTCATTATCCAGATGGTGATCAGCAAGCTGGTGTATCCCCTGCATGTCACTGCCGCCTGCATGGCGGCCACCGGAGCTCCGCTCTCCGCCTGCGAGCCGCCACGGATGCCGCTTTATAACCACTGGGTCGACTGCCTTGCCGATCTTCAAGCCCGCGGTGGCCACCACCGTGGAGGCCTGCTCTTTTGGCGTACGGTGCCCAAGATCCAGATGGTGCGTCACCTGGATACTAATGTCCCCCCCTTGGGGACTAAATAGATGGGAAGAGAAAGAACGATGATGGATTCCTCGTGAGCATAGCCGAGTAGCCTAGTCGGAAAATGACAAATCAGAGTTGTATAGTAAATTGTTGGATATATCTCAATGAATATTGTTTAATAAATAAATGAAGCAAATAAGTTTGCTTCCGATTTCGATAATAAACCTACAAAGGTAAAAGTGTATCAAAGATACCTTAGACAGCAACCATTGAGACGAGCGAGTAACCGAAGATTAAAACAACGAGTATACACGACTAGTATAAGAACAGAACAACGAGTCACAAAGAAGTATATCCGAAATACCCCAGACAAGCGAGACTAAATGAACGAGTAAAGATGGAGAAAATGAGAACAGAACGACGAGTAAAGGTAACGATTGCGCTTTTGGAAATAGTGAAACATTAGGGATAGTAAAAAGGGGAATCGGAGAATGATTGAAGTACTTTAAGATTGAATTCGATAATCAAACTTCCACACTATATTCTATTTCTATAAATAATAAATAGTTAGCAGCCTTAAAAATAAATAATCTCATATATAATCAGTTCGTTTAAAATGAATATTAGATTTTTGGGAGGGGACTGCGTTGCGCCTCGATTACACACACACTTGAATTGCAGCACTCAGAGTTAATAAACCGAAAGGATTCCGAGTCCTTTTAGAGTCGTAGATCTCTCCGAACATCCTCTCGTTGTTTTCCCATTCATGAGCTTGTAAAGCAGCAGCACGACTCTTTATCTGACGCTGCCCTGCCTCTGTCTCTGCTTCTGTTTCAGCAAATGTCAGCAGAGATTAAGCGACTAAAGTCCTGCCAGAATGGAAGTGGCCAAGAAAGGACACATGTACCGCACTTTATGTACTGCTGCTCCCCCGCACTCACCACCACCACCACACCACAGTCCACAGTCCACACACCGCACACAACACACAATGGAGCGTAACTGGCAGATGCACGTAATGAAAATATCAAAAATCTACGACGAAATGTGCCAACAGGACTGCAGGACTGCTGCAGCACTGTGTCCTGGCCAGGCCATCCTGGAGATGATGGGGCTGATGGCTCAGACACAATTCAGTTTTGGTTCATTTGAATGCGACACATTTGTGGGCCACACTCCAGCGGACAGAGCCAGAAGCAGGAGCGGCAGCAGGATCAGGAATGGCATCTGGATTCCAGACCCTCTGGTTCCACGTTCGAATTGAACTTGATTCCGATTTGCTTATTCCTCAAAATAGAAAAAGGGTTTAGCAAAATTACTGATTCATATTTTGATGATCATAATAAATATGATCCATAAAGACATTTATTTAAGCCAAGACTCAGCTATTTAGCCCTGCATTTAGGCCATTTACTGGCACAGGTATCTATTAGTCGGTTAGCTGGCTCTAATCGAATGCCTAAATGCCAGTTACGAGTTGGTCAGGTTCATTTGGGCCAAGACAAGTCTAAAGAGTCGAAAGTCGCAGCACCCAAATTACTAGTTATTACATGAGTGTGTGTGTGTGTGTGTGTGATTTTTGGTGCCTTTTTCGGGTGTGTGACGACGACGACGACATGGCCGTATCGTCTTAATAACCAAAAAATACCATCAGCCGTCCGGGACTACGTGTCCTGTTGCCGAGACTGCCTTGATTCCTGCAACATTCACGCATGCCTGCCCGCCTGCATGTAGGGATAATACATATATATAAGTATATATGCATATATATATATCTGATTTATATGGTAGTTGTTGTAGTAGTTACCGACCGGCAACTGTTGAGCAGCAAAACACGAGTCTGTTGTTACTGTCGCTGTCGCCTGGCCAAAATGCAATTAGACTAACGATGCAACACAATTTTGTCTTCAGCTTCATAAAGATGCGATGACTGGGAGATAAAGGGGCAGTTGGATCTGGGGGATGGTGGCACAAAGTTGACAGAGTCAGATGGTCAGTCGGAAGGAACGAGGGCGGATTGAAAACATAAGATTTGCAAGTTACCTCTCAAGTAGATTATAAGGTTTCTACATATGTTATTAACCATTTTGGTAAATACTTCTCCCAAAATCATTTTAAATAATAAAATACTCAAACTATCGATAGTTATTTGAAAAATACATTGCTCATCGATGTTTCTAAATGATAAACTAAATTTGTAATACCCCAATTTTTCTTTAATAAAAAAATATCGAAACTAATTTAAATTAAAGCAATGTTTATCGATGTTTAACAATAAGTGTATTTATCGATATGTCTAGGGATTTATTCCTGAGTCAACCCTCGCTCAAATCGACAAAGTCCAGGCCCAACAAATTCATGTTTCAATTTTTGCCTCTGCCCTGGATTGTGGCCTTGTGTGGCATATGCAGCTAGCGGTAGTGTGGACAGGGTGTGGGGTGTGTGTGAAGGGTGTAACGGAAATGTTGAACAAAGTCATGCATTTGCATGGATAACTTGGGGCTTTGTCTCGGGTCGAGACTGGAAAAGCTGCAATTGCAAGTTACAAGTTGCAGGTTGCAGGTTGCACATTGCCGGTTTTCTGGGTCCTGGGCTCAAAAACTAATTGCCATGCGGCCGGGTTTAATTAACATTAATATCAAGTCCATTATTAAGTCAATTATGAATTATTATTGGAATCAGATCAAATTAAAGCCATACAGATTCGGTATCACCGTCAATCGTATCCGTTTTATTCATATTGATTCACTTCTTAGGACACAGGCAATAGCAAAATTCTCTGATATGTGTTATATACAGTCTGCGTCATAATTAACAGAAGCCACTAAATGCATATGTGTGTGGTTCCATCCTTTCCGTTCGGCATTTTATTGGCAAACAAAATGCATTAATATTAATGAGCTGGCTTTTGTTCCAATCTCTCAAATCGCTTACAAATTGTCGACAAATCTTAAATCTTATATCATTACATTATTGCCTTTATTAACCGATAGTTAGTGTATTGCATTGTATCGATAGTAACCTGAAAAATTTTAGGAAAACTATCAATGTTTTTACAGTTATATTTCCAAGATTAAATTAATGATAACATATAAATGTAGAAATAAAATCAGACAAACTTGACCCAGAAAGGGTTCATCAGGAAAATTCGCTGTTTAAATTGTTAAGTTTTCAAGTTCTTTTTTTCAAATATCTAGGAAGGATTTAAAGCTGGGAACACAGGCTGGACTTTATGGCAATAGAGTTGCGGCGGGGATAACCCTTTATCCTTTATCCTTTTTCCCTTTTTCGGGCAGGTGTATGGCATTCAGGAAGCGGGGTGTGCTCGCTGTGAGCGGTGGCAAATATATTACGCATACGCCGCATGGGCTTCCGACTTCCGACAACAACGTCGGCGGTTTCAATTTTATAACGTTAAACCAATTAACAGGTTTTACACACTCACACACACACACACACACACACACAGAACATACCGCACATACACTCACGGCCATTTATGAGGTGTTAATCGACGTCATTCTGATGTAAAGCGCGATGAGAAGCAATATATATTTTATGGGTTGCGTAATTAACAGGCAACAACAATAACACACCAGACACCAGCGACAGGTTAATGAGGCTCCATTGATTATGCATATGAGTTTTGCGGCCATGGGGGCGTGGCAGGGTGGCAGGGTGGCAGGTGTATGCCAGATGGGTGGGAGCACACATCAAATTAAAATGTTACATATGCTAATGAAATCAACCAAAAATTATGAGCAATTATGAATAGCTTAATGGGATTGCCAGTGACTGGCATTGGTTTTCCTCAACTCAATTCCCTTTGATATCTCAATTCTTCATGTACTATAAAGTGATAATTATATTTGAATATTATTTTTTTTTAATTATAAAAGTAATTTGTGGTCAAAAAGGAGCAAATTAAAATATATCCCAGTTTAATTTGTAGTATATGTTGTGAGTTTATCTGCTCAGATTTATTATATTAAAAACGATTTTAGTTCTTTTGATTTTAAACACAATGGAAATGAAACAGAAAGGTGGAAATGTACTTCAAGATATGCTTACATATATTTTTTATTTATTTGCTGATTCCTTATCATGAAAATGTTAGCTTGTCCTGATTTTCCCTTTTAAAGTGGATTTTAAAGTTGTTTTTTTTTTAAGGAGGAAAACCGACTGGGGCAGGGCCTGGGCGGGCAGCCAGGTGTAAATTACAAAACTTGTGAGATTTTTACTTGGTATTTCCTGTGTCTCACTCTCCCTCTCCCTATCTCTCTCCGTGTTGCTACTGATGATGATGATGGCACTCCCGGGCAGGACGACTGTCGTCATAGCTGGCTGGGCCTGGATTTCGACTCGAACGTAATGCCAACAATTACGCAGCTGAATATTTTATGAGCCAAGCAGATTAATATGAATATTTTATTATCATTTTAGATTCCTTGCTGCCCTCTCTCCCTCTGAAGGACCAGACCCAGACGAAGCACCAAGCCAAAGCAAAGTCAAAAAGGCCAGAAATATGCTTTTGTTTGGCATTTGCCAGAGCCTAAAGAATCGTCTGTGTCTAAAATGGGGCTTATGGCCAAAACTGAACAGGCTGGGCTTTGATTGTTTAAAATATTTAAATTTTCAAGTATATATTTAATAAATTATAAATTTAAGTTGTTACTTATGGTATGTTGACTAAGCTTGATATAATTACCCATCTTATTATAAATTACACTAGTACCCTTTCGTATCTGCAATTATAAAATAACTTTTAAGGGTTTATTGTTAAATTTAACAAATATTATAATATATAGTTTCTTAAGGCCATTAATAATTTTTCCCAGAATAAGTCTTTAATTTCTTTTACAGAGCATTTAAATTTGTCCTTTTTGGGCACCTTTTTTTTTGCTAGCTGTCTTGGTGGCCAACTCTTGACGCTGCTTGCCACAGTTTTTTGCACCTTGGCAGACGAAAATGCCTCGGCTACCCCACCTTCCAAACACACACACACAAACAAAGAAAGCGAATAAATGAAAAACGCAGGAAAAGCGGGCTGCTGCTGGCTGGGGAAAATGTGGTGAGAACGGAATTTATGACCACGAGCCTTCAAAGGGCCAAGTTGCCTAAATGTTTTTTTTTTTGTATTTTTTTTTTTTGCTTTTTTTCAGCCAAATAAAAACGGGCCAAAACAAATTGTGGCCCAGAGAGGGAGAGCCCGTCGTTCCCCCGTCCTGCCTTAATTCGCAGCCAAAACCAGAAAGCCACTTGGAAATGTGTCGGTTGCAAAAAATAAAAAATAAAAAAAAAAGTAAAGCGAGGGAGAGCATAAAAAAGTAAACATTTTCTTTCATTTGTTGCGTTTTAAATTTTCATGCGCAACGAGTGTCGGCAATTACCAAGGCCTAAACTATATACGTAGCCAGGCATATACACCCTATATAGTATATATATATAGTTTCGGTAGCTCCTCCAAATAATAACGTCATCATGTATAAATTGCTTTCGGGGAATGGCAATGGCATTGGGAATGGGAATGGGAATGGGAATGGGTTCCGAGAGGCATCTCTCTGATTTATGCAGACCATAAAATTGCCTGGCGTGAAAAAGGCCAAGAGAGAGAGAGAGAGGACCAGCCAGCCCAAGTCGAAGCCAAGTCCAAAAGTCTGAGCCGGCTTAGCCTCTGGATGAAAGGAGCTCAACGTGTTCCGGGGGTGGTGCCCGACAGCTCGCATCGAGATGAGTAGGCAAAGCGTTACCCTAATCCCTAAGCGAAATTCATAGTGCAACTGGTAAAAATATACAGAAAAGGCAATATATTTCATTCAGTAAAATGTATGAAAAATATTTATTTATTTTTTAATATTTAATAATAATTTAGAATCTTTTTTCGTTGGTTTAAGCTTACAAATAATACTTGGAATATATACTATTTTCGAATTTATAAAATCCAAAGGATCGACTTGCTCCTGGCCCCGTTAGTCACGTAGCCTCAATGGTGTCCCGAATGGAGGATGGCAGCCTCCTCGTACACGTTCATGTCGGTTGGCAGGCGGCATTAAAATGCATTTTTTTTTGCAGGACCATCCTCTCTCCGGCTTTGCCTCTGGCACTCATTATGCGTTCGTCTTGAACTCCTTCTGGTTCCTGGCTTCCAACTCCGGACTCCGGGACTGACAGGTCCTGAATAGGCAACAGGCAAGGAAGGTCTCGTGCGATTTTTCCTTGGCCGCACATGCCCGACTGCACTTCAATCAAAATCAAATATTACACCTGGCGAAAAATAGTATAATAACGAAAATTGATGTTAACGATTTACGTGCAAAATTAAACTCGAAATTAAAATTATGAAATAGTTTGATCTGCTCTTGATAATTAAAAAATGAAAAGGGAGAATCTGTCGCCAATTGACAAAACCCAAAAATAAAATTAAATAATTCTTTAGCTTGAAAATAATAAAATAAAAAATGAAAAAGGAAACCCGTTGAAAAGTTGAATCTCCCTTATGGGGATTGCTGTGATTCTGATCAGCGAATTTTAAGGGTAAATAGTTTTAGAATAAAAAATAAAAAAAATATTAAACTAAAAAATTAAATGAAAGAACAACTGGCAGACACAACTGCCGGATAACGAATGAGAAATCTGGGAATCTAATGACGAATGTAAACTTTGACAGTGTGCCCGGTCCTCCCTTTCTCAAAATTACTTTAAGAATTTGATATTTGATGCGATAATATCATTACATTATTCAATATCGAGAGGTTAAGGGATCTTCGATGTATGGCGATATTTAATCGATATTTTCAACCGTTAAATTTTATAACCAAGTTTCAATTGCAAGACATGTTCAGTCATTCTGGGAATCCCCATAATACATAATTTAGAATGCTTTTAGTTTGCAGTGTGGCACATGTGCCATGCATTGGCTTTTGTTGTGCGCCTCCGACATTCAACAAGATATATCAGATATATACATATCCTCGATACATATATAGCCTGGCTCCTTCCTGGCTTGATTACGCACGTTTATTACTGAAAAAAGGAGGGCAGGAATTGGAATCTGAATAGGAGTAGGGATCGGATTCGGATTCGGTATCGGAAGAGGAATAGGACTTGGAATCCGATTTGGAATCGAAGGGAAGGCAGCCCGTCATCAATATGCGATGTGTGCCTTGGCCATGTACATCATGATTACTTGCAAATCACCTGAATGCGATGCGAATTATGGATGTGGCCTTTGTGATAGTACCGATTGGAAACTCGGGGGGGAAAACGGTGGGAAAAACTGGGGGGAAAAACCCATGCCTGCACAGCAACAAGTGCTGCAATTGTTGCTTATCCCATTTATTATTTATTTGTAATTAAAATTTGAAGCGGTCGCGCCGCGCCGCTTGTTCATGAATATTAATTTCGAATTTAAGGCCGCAAACAATGCAAACTAAACATGAATTACAACTAAATATTTATAACTCATTTTCGCACACACATTCTCGTAGATAAATAATAGACAAAGTTAAATAAAACGGATTTTCCCAGCATTAGGATGGCAAGTGTGTGTGTGTGTGTGTGTGTGTGTGTGTGTGCAGCGGGAAAAATACACAAAAATTAACTTGTATTTAAAATTTAATTAAAACTTTTGCTGTTATTTACATGTCCAGTCCGCCTGTCCCGCCTTTTCCTCTCTGGCCTTCCTCCGTTTTCTGTTTTGTTGCGCAAACACTTTTTGTTTTCGTGGGGAGTGGAAAAAAGCATCTAAAATGTGGCCAAAACTGTGCGCATTCGATGGAATCATAATGCATTACATATGCATGGCCATCGGCATACGAGTTTAATTGAAATATCGCGCACAATTTTTGGTTTATCGCATCGCAGTTGAAATAAAAATGCTAAATAAAAATGCCTGGCCACGCCGGAGGCGGCCAAATGAAGGGTTTTTCTGGCCATGGCTAACTGGTTGTTGCGGCTTTGGCATTTAGCATAATTAGTCCTTTTGACCGCATTTCGTAAAATGCGGTTGGGGGGGCCCAAAAGCCCCACTGCCTTCCACCATAGAACCCTCCCAACAATGACCAAAAATCGACAGTAATAAAAAAAAGTATGGTTTAATGTGGGAAAAACTCAGTTTGCAAGAAAACACTTGGATGTTGTGCAAGTCGAAATAAATTACATTTAAAACTGTTGACACTGAATAAATATAGTACACATATAAGGTAAAGTGGGTCCCACATCAATGTAATACATACAAAATAATATTCCAGATCATTAAATGAGATTAGCTCGTCAAATAATTGTATTATTATCTTGAAATAATAAAGCAAAATGATAAATTAAAGAAGTTATCGACTAATTTGTCAATGTGAGCTATCGAAATCAATTGTAATACATCGAACTATCGAAGATATAGTATTCCATTGATCAATGAAATAATTGCATCTAAAGACTTTGAATATTTTCTTAAAATATTAATAAAAATAGATAAATTAAAGTAATTATCGAATAATTTGCCAATATTAGCTATCGAAATAATCGAATAAATAGTATTGCAATGAATATCCATGGATCAATTAAATATTTTCATCTGAAGACTTTGAATATTGTCTTGAGACATAACACATTCATACCAAAATCAGATATAATAAAAATAATAATAATAAAAATGATTTAATTGACCACTGTGCATGGTTTTAGGGGGTGCAAATAAACAGTCGTTATATGGAGACACCACCCCCCCCCCCAACAGGGCACTTGGCGAAGGGCTGCTGCAATTGAAATTTATGGTAAATTAATTTGTAATTAATTTTTATGGGAAACAAAACGTAACGTAACGTAACGAAACGAATCGAAACGAATGAATTCCCATTGCAATATGGCCGAGGGGCTCTATTTGTGTTTTTATTTCTATTTTACGCTAGTTTAGTTTCAATTGCGTCCAATTAAACATGCGGCCGCCGCCCGGACGCCATTCAAATCCGCCATTTCCGATTGCCTGGCAACGTCCAACATCAAATTTTACATCCACCCAATTTCTACATCTCCACAACAGCCACATCCTTCTCCATATCCATGCCCATTGAAATCCTGAGCTGCTAGCAGATCCTCTGCGTGTTGCACGCGTTTTGTGTTTTTCGGAAATTGAAATTGCATATTTAAACAGGCCATTCCCACTGTGTCCGTATACTACTACTACTATATATATACATATATATATATATAAATATATATATTCATATATATAGATGGGTGTATGTGCGTCATTGTGGCAGGAAACGGAAATACTACAGCGTGTTTTTGTTACTGTCCCATTTCTAAGCACTTTACTGCGTTACGCAGTCGCTTCTATAATTATTATTGTTCCACTGGCCAAGGACATTTGAATTACGATTACACTGGCCAACAGGAAAATATTTTTAAAATTTTCTTTCATATAATTTAACTATATTTTTGAGGTAGACATAATGTTGAGCAAGATTAAGGTAATCAAAAATGGGGTTTTTTAATTAATTAATTGTATTATTATTGTTCTACTGACCAAAGACATTCCAATTGGGATTATTACGACAGGAATATATCATGGGATCACAATAAGATGTTCTTGAAATTATATATATTATATTTTTAAATGAAAGAAATGTTTTGTCTGGTCATATTTCCATATTAAATACAAGCCATGGCCTTAAATTTAATCCGATAATCAGAGGCCACGAATTTAGCTCGCTTTCTCTCAGTGAACAGAAACCAAACTAAAGAGCTTTGGGATCCCCCCTCTCATTGCCTGAGAGAATGTATGGTGTTGAGGCCTCTACGATATCGAATTAATTTCCCAATTGATGCCGGGAAATGCTCGGAAAGTCATCAGGCGGATGACGGACTCTGCCACACTTATAATCCTTACCTCACTCACACTCACCCGACAGGACAAACATCTGGCGATGATTTCAAATTCCATTTCTATTTGGAGCTGCTGATTACGAGAAGCCGGATATTGGGAGCATCGGCTGTCCAGGATTACAGCACAACCACCACCGCCCCATATAAAAAACAAGGGTTTTTCTTCTCTTCTCTTTGGTTTTTCATATAATACTTTCGCTTTTCATTTATTAGTTTTTGCATTCTTCGATTTCATGTTTTCCCTCTCGCAACTGCTGCTATGCTTAGTAATTCTTGCATTTATAGTTACATATATATAGAATTTGTATAACTTATTTATATATATATATATATTCATATATATAGTTTCTGACCTTGCAAGATTGGGTTTTTCGTATGGCAACACAATAGTAACTTACAGTCGTAGCAAAGTTGTTTCTTTTTATACAAATAGTTAATGCTCTCTACACACTAGCTACTAGTCGGAGCTGGTAAGATAGTTGTAAGTTAGCTAGTTAGTGGCTGGCCCGAAAAAATAATTGCACAAGGTGTCGCTCGACAGCTGCGAATGTGGGAATTGAACGGATCCGATATATGTTAGCTATATGGTATTTATATGTTCGTTCGTGTATATCATACAAACTCAGGTGGTGCTAACCGCTAGATGCTATTCAGTAACTTAGGTTCTACATTAGCCATAATACTTGTCTTTACAGCACTCGCCTGCTCGTTACTCGTCACTCGCCAAAAAAAAAAAACACATTATCTTGTAGTTTACTCGTTACTTCGAATTTGATTTTCTCGGCTAGTTAATTAGTTAGGTTTTATAGTTAATTCTAATGCTTGCATTCTACAGTTAGATTACGTTTTGTAGCCCATTCTTTTAGCTGGTGTATACTCCATGACTGGTGACTAGATATAGGGGGGGTTTATATAGATGTCAGCGGTGCCCATGCTACTCGCTGTAGACTAGGCCTGGGCATCCCTGTTACAAGTGGTTTATATATGTATGATGAGGGGCTGTCATCTGCGAAGCCAAGTATATAGACGCTTATAGTTTCTGGGGAGTGTGTGCTATATATATTCATGGTGTATATATAGGTTCCTCTATGGTGTACCGACTTTATTCAACTTCCTGGCTGCATTGCTGTTCTATGTATTATATATTGCATGTGGTGTGTATATATATATAGAGAGATGTGTATATGCTATATATATTATTATATATATTTATATGAATATTTATTTCTGTTAATTTCTGTTGCTATTTGTTTATGTTTCGTCTCCAACTCGTTAGTTATTGTCCACCCATCCAGTTTACGGAAATTCTCTTATTTCACTTTGTTTTTTATATTTTTTTCCTTCTTTTTTTGTGTTTTTGGCTAGTATCGAACAAAGGATTCGTGTGGCAAAACAAATGCAAATCAAAAATAATTATAAATATATATGAAATGCATTGAATTGGAAATATTTAAATGAGCACTCCGATTAAGTCTAAGCCCTTAAACCAACCAGATTTCCACAGTGTCCTGGTTGGTTTATTAAACACACTTAAATTTAAGCATTTTATGCCAGCCCAAAGCCAAGACACAAAGGAATTTTATTGAATTCTCATTGAATTAATTGAAATAATTTCATATTTTCAGCTACTATTTGGTATTTTTGCTAAATGTTGAATTTAACATTTTGCGTTTGTCCTGGAATTTTACGCAATTGTTATTTATATATTTTGCCGCATTCTCTCTCTCTACATTTTATTGTTAATAATATTGAAATAAATAATATAATTTGCTGCTGTAGGAGGAAAACCAGTCCTGAGTTCGTGTTGTAAACATGAGTATAAAAATTGAATGGGACATAAAAAATGCAAAAGCAAATGCAAATGCAGCCTCTCGGTTGTTGTTGGTGTGTCTGAACGTTTTTGTAACAATTTTTGCAACCTCCTTTATTGCAGTTATTATACTTGTAATTGCCGCGGCATTATTTACCACACATAATAATAATAATAATAATAATAATAATAATAATAATAATAATAATAGCAATAGCAGTAATTGCTTTTCGCCGATGTCCAGTCGTCAACGTATCAGGAGTCCCGTGTCGGGCGACCACCGATTCGCCCGGTAGTACATATCCTTGTACATCGAGGGGCACGCATATTGATTCTGTCCATGTTTTGTGGATATTTGAGTAAACAATGAGAAGACATTGAGACACTTGAGTAAGTATATATATCAGGGGGGTGCTATTAAGGGGGGCAACTTGAAAGTAAACAATAATAAAACCATAATTGCATCTAGGTTTCTGGTTACTATGGGGTTTTAGTTGGAAATAATAACTAAATTAAGAAATAATATTTATATATTACAGGTTTGAACTCACCTTGTTGCGCTTAAAATCTATGTTCGTTCTTACGGTTCTATGATGTAAATTTTGCACGGGTCGCGCATTATTACCTAGTGGAGCTTTTGGTGTACTCTCGGAGCCTTGCATCAGTCGTCGGAGTTGGTACAACTGTAAAAAGGTATTAAAGGATAATGGTTGAATCATATGGTAAGGGCTTAACAATTGTCAGCGACCAAAAGCATTTAAATGGCCACAACAGCGTCACATTAAATAGCCAACTAGCTGCCACTTAATTAATTGGTAAATTCTTTGGTCAATTTGGGCTTTAAAGTGTTTAATTAAAAATTAAAATTTAAGGCTAGACTAGAATTTATGCTTTGTCGATGGTTTTATACATTGTAAAATATATATTTATATATTACAAATTTATTTTTAAATTTATTCTTTAGCGAAATAGCTTCTATATATTTTTAAACATATTTTAAATGCAACAGAATTATTATTAATGAGAAAGAGTGAAATATACACTTTTTAATTTAACATATAATTCCCAAAAATAATTAATTTTGTTATCTTGAAAATTATTAAAATTATTTAACTATCTTCCCTTGTAATTCTCAAGTGGTTCTTATGGTTAGATAGATCAAATAAGTTTTGTATATATTTTTCTCAACATATTTTAAGAAATATCTCATTTTCTTCTTTTAAACTTTCCTTATAATTCTAAACTAAAACTTTAATTATTATTTGTTTAAAAAAAAAATGTATTTTCCCATTCTCTTCTCTCAAACTCCTCATAAATTTTAAGCTTGTTACTTCTCAGACTCGCTTATAATTCTCAACTGGTTTACCATAATCGTTCAATTGTTTTCTCTATACTCCCTGGAATTTTTCTCAATTTGTTTGTTAATAAATATAGACAGTTTTTGTCATATTTACCTCCTCTTTTAACCACTAAATAATTCCCAACTAGCTCATTGAGTTTATATAAAAAAAAAAAAAAAAATCACTCTTGTCAATCGCTTACTTGTTTGCACTCCAGTCTATGTATTTTTTTGAGGAATTTTTTGCCTGTTCTATTTTATTGTTGACTCATTTACTCGGCAGTGGCACTCGCTGCCCTTTGACCCCCGCGCCGCATGGCCATTACACATGTTTGATATGCATTTATGCAAATTGATTAAACTAACCAAATATTGTTTTTTAATTATGCACAGAGCGGAATATTGACCGCATTTCCACCGCGATCTGACCAATGCCAAAATTGATGAGCAATTTTATAATTGCATTTATGCGATTTCATTGTACTTCCAATCAGCGACCAATAAAAAGGCGAGAATGGTACGAAAAAACGTAAATAACAAAACTGAAAATAAAAATCGAATCGAATCGAATTGAACATAAATAAACCGGCAACTACAAGCCGCTCTAATTGCAATCGAAAAACACACACAAAATGCATTTAATTATTTGCGGCTCGCCTGTAAGTTGGGGAAGATAGATTTTTGCTGGTACTCGGGGGGACTCACCTCCTGTTTGGTGATATAGATGGGCTTATTAACTATGATCCAGACGGTGCTCTCCCAGCAGCCCGGATGCGTCGTGGAGCCCTCGTAGGTGATGTAGTGATCCGTGTTTGGCAGCAGCGACCTCACGGATATGTGCCTGATGGGCGTGGAAAAGCCTGTAAGGACGAAGGGCGAGAAATCCTAAGACGGTGAGTGCATAAAACATGGCCAAATGCAAAGTTCAAGGTGCAAAAAGAGGCGGGGTCGTAGTTTGCGCTATTTATGCGCATATCGCACCAAAAAAAATATACGAAAACACGTCTGCCTGAGTCTAATGAATAATTCAAAACCAACGGAGAACCTCCCAGGGACATACAGCAGTGATGCCAAAAGGATATAGTTGAAAAAGAGGACAAATTGAGATCGTAAAATATGTTTCAAGAGGTTTAAGTTAGAGATATTTCCCTATATGCTATGAAATACTAAGTAATATAAAATAAAAATATAATTTAATACCTTAAGGCTGGGGAATATATTAATCTTTTTGTGTGTTAATTGTAATTGAGAATGATTTTGTTCTCGTTCTTCTTTTGTTTGTTGTCTTTACTCGTCAGGCGGCTCTCTCGTTACTCGTTACTTCTATTTTTCATTATTCTCCAGAAACTGTTTGGTTTGTCTGAATTTTACTAGAGACTCATCTATGTACATTTACGTTTCTTAAAAAATAGACATAGAATATCATACTATATACCCAAAAAAAAAAAAAAAAGACAAATGTGCAGCTCTGCTGACACCACTTGAACGTCGGCGCTCTGCTTTATTCATACAAATCATTTTGCCAGCCGGAAATAAAGCAACTCGCGGGGCCTTCTGAGCCCCAATTCAGAGTCTAAGCCTCAGAGACGGACTATATCTAGGTGGTGGTATAAGTTCTGCTCTCAATCAGCCAATGGAAGGGCGGTATCTTTCGGATAAGGAAATAACATCAGTATTTTTAGTTTACGAAAAAAATATCTAAAGATATGGGAGACAAAAGAAAGTTTCTCTAATAATAAATTATAATAATAATAATACGCTTTATGAATTTAAGATTTTAAGGACTTTCCCTATTTCAAATTTTACTCTTAATATTAATTTGATCTCAACGTTTTTTTCGCGCTGTGCAACTGTTATTGTTGTTGTTGTTCGCAGGGCGGAGAAGATGGGTGGCCTGGCATATTTCTCGGTTTCTGTCGGTCGAGCTACTTTGGCTTTTCACAAATTAAGGCTGGGTCCTGGCTCGGCCGGGGCTCCCATAAAGTTGTACGACCTGTAAAAAGGCTATTAAACTGGCCAGGAAAATGCCAACCAGACGTGCAGTGGAATTGGCCAGCGGGTTGGACTTGGCTTGGCCTCGGTTGGGTTGGGTTGGGGGAATTATTAAGTGTCGGTTTAGTGTAATTCGAGGTTTCATTTTCGTCACTTTGTGCCGGAGCAGTCTCAATTTCCCTGCTCCTTTTGATCCTTGAGCCGCTTTTTATGGCTCGCCAGGACATAATTATGGAGCGACTGCAGCTGCGGTTGCCGTTGCAATGACATCATAAAAAAGGGCAGCCCGCAAGTCGAAAGGCAACTAGCAAGGGTTCGTTTCGGGTATTAACATTGCAACATTTCCGGTAGCATTTTGCGTAGACGGAAATGAAGGCGGGCATCCTTAAAGGGGGAAGGGAATGAAGTGGTGAAATAGAACAGGACCCACCTCTGTACAACACCTTGTTGAAGGTGCTCGTGATGATGCGCAGCTCCGGATTGGGCGTTTCACCAATTTGCACCATCAACGAGAGGCCGACGATGCCCTGGGACTTGTGCTGGGCCTCGGACATGTTGTGGTATAGCTCCTTGTTGAACCCATAGATTTGAATCTGCAAAGGGGGGGAACACCAGAATATATAGCCTAGGAATATAAGAATTTCGAAATATAGACCCACCTCGCCGGGGAAACTGTAACCCTGGATGTAGTGCTCCGATCCGCGGACATTCTCCGTGCCGTAGTGAATGTAGATCTCCTCGAACTGGTAGCGATAGGCCAGCGGTCCCCCGGATATGTTCACGTGCTGCTTGGTGTCCTTGTCCACGCGGAAGACCAGCGACTGTCCCGTGTTGTGCAGGGTACCGGACACCTGGAAGAAGGCGGGTGGGTCAGCTCGGTGGCGTATACGTAATTTTCACAGAATATAAAGTATACGCACCTTGTGCTTGTCTATGTGCAGGGGCCGCAGGTAAGGATCGAAGAGCAGCTTGTCCGGCACCACGTCAATGGGCGACTGGCGTCGTCCTTTGTTGCACATATTCCACTGGGGATTGATGAGGCCCCAGAAGCTTGGTCCTGCCACAAACAAACAAGGAAGAAAATTAAAGGAAGGAAGCAGAAGGAGGAGGAGGAGGCAAATGGTGGTTCTGAAACTACTTAATATTAAGGTGAGCAAATAAATAAATTAAATACTTTAAATATTTTTTTAGCTCTAAAACGAACTCTTTAAGTCATTTTATGCTTGTTAAAATTTATTTTTGAATAAATTCTTTCTAGAAAATATATTTTAAAAGGTCGTAAAAACATTCCCTAAGCTCAACGATTAAAAAACGTACTGCAAAAAGTTCGAATTGCGAATGAAAAATGCACTGTTTGGGTGAAAGGTATATGGAAACTCTTCATCACTGACTGCACTATGCCATATGCATACATTTATTGGCCCCTCTTGGTCTCCCATTTCCCATTTTCCCCCATCCCCCTTACAGTTCTGTCAATCGACCAAATGGAAAACGTGTCTTCGCCTCTTCGCGCAATGCAAACAGAAACAGAAACAGGAGCAGGAGCAGGAGTATTCATCGGAGCAGGAACAGAAACTGCAGCGGCATCGATGACAATTCCAAATGCCAAATGAAATTTCATAAGCTTCAACCCCCTTTGACCCCCCTTAAATGGCAATTAAATGCCCCGTAGGGGGAAGTCCCAACGCCCCTCACTTGTTTGCGTTTTTCAAGCTCTACGCCAAAAGTGATGTGACGGGCTACAAACTGTCGAAAGTTTTCAAAACAACGCTCAGCTATTTTTGGTTGAAAACCCGGGGAAACGTGGGCACAAAAAAAAAAGAAAAAAAAAAAATAGAGACTGAAGAGGATGCTGTGTTGGGAGGCCATTGGGGGAATTAGGTCTTTGTGCCTTATACAAAATGTAATAGTTTTCCATATGTTGCTGGCACGCAAATAAATTGAGCCAAAAACCAAGTGTAGCGACTAACAAAATACTCTTTTATGAGATGGGTTCGGTATTTTATTTATATATATTTTTTAAAGAGAAATACCAGAAGGAATTTATGTTAAAGAACCGAAACTCTTGGCCTTAATTGTACTTAAAATTTTTACTTTTATTTAAGCTACATAATTAAAATTTATAATATCAGAAATCGGAATAGGTCTCTTGATAAAAAAATCTCAAATTTTTTAAAAATTTCCCTAGCAGGTAATATCACTTCACTTAGCTAATATCACCCATCCGATGACGATTCATAGACCAGTTGCCAGAATGCGAATTCCGTTTTCTGGTTTCGATGACCAAAGTCTCTCTCTATGTGTGTGTGTGTGTTTGTGATGATGACACGCGACACAGAGGCAATAAATGCCAAACTTTAAAAAGAGTGCTCCTGTGCCCGCCCACGAAACCACCCACAGAACACCCCTGTTTCAGCCCCCTGCAATTGTCGCGCTTGTGGCTACTCTTCTTGTTGGTCTGGCATTGCGGATGACAATTGAAATATGAAAAAGTATCGATCTGTGAAAAATTGTATCGTATATCGATTTTTAAGATTCGGTACATTCCAGGACCAATGAGCTGACAATTTGGCCTAGGAGCGTAATATCAAATGTATAATAAAAAAATAGTACTTAACAAAATTCGATTAAAAATCGATTTTTTTTTATTGATATTTATTAATTATATACGTTTTTGAAAACTTAATTTGCGGGTTTTTATATTTTTCTTTACATTTTAATATACAATTGAAAAGGACAAATTATGCCTATCAATAACTAAAACAAATTCAAACTATCGATTTGATATCGATAAAATTTAACTAAATAAATATATTTAATAGGTAACATTTAATTCTGAAATGAATAGATAACTATTATAAATATTAAGAACTACCATTGCGAATAAAATATCGTTTCCATATCGATTTTTTCTTTCAGATATTTCGATTATTTCATTGTTCATCTCTAGCTTGCATTCATTTGTTGCAGCCAATGTTGCCTGTTTCTGTTTTTTTGCCTCCTTTGTCTGGCATTGCATAAATAAAAGTGCAACGCTGGTCAACGACTGGGGTTAAGGGGTTGAGCTGTTGCGGGTTAAAGGGGCGCCACTGCCGGCAATGCAGACAGTGACAAGCAACAATTACAACGGCAACAACATCCTACAATCCAAAAACCATCAGATATGTCCTGTGCTCGGTGTTTGTCGCCCTGCCCCCCGCTCATTCGTTCGTTTGTGTTTGTCCTGTCTGCGTTTTTGTTGGCGAACGATTTGAAATGTAATTAAATCAGCCGCAGCATTCGAGGCGGGGGGCAGGAGCCACTGCATACTATATATCAAAGCTTAACCAATTTATTCATAGAGGATATTAAGCGAAAGGAAATTAATTAAAACAAAGTTTTGGGTATTGTAAATAGGGGGTTTCTAATTTCAATACCTACAAAGAACTAAGAAATAAGTCTGGTACATATATATAGTATATGTTACGGAATGATTTTGCCTTATTACCACTTACCGGATATGCCGTCGTAAGTCCACCACTCCTCCCAGCTGGACAGGACCTCTGAAAAGATATAGAAAAGGTCATGAAAGAAAGCATTTGCAGGAAGAGTGTGAAGCACTGAAGTGCCAAGGAGCTTAAAGTCTAGACAAACTGAGCCCCCAAACGCCAGAAAGCCGAATGCACTCCAAGGATGCACATTCCCAGATCCCTTTGCATATATGCAGAGTTTGAGGGAGTGGGAATCTCATCTCATATCGCGCTGGCAGCCAAATCTTGGTTTTCCAATGCGCATAATTCGCTGCCAATGTAAACAGCGCATGAAATCAACTAATGTAAGACTTGCCCCCGATTTTTATACGGCATATCCTCCGCACACATTCACATTTCTCCCCGGCCCAGACTAAGAGTCACCGGCGGAGTCAGACAAAACAAACAAGCAGCTTCTTCTTGGGGGGTAAACGATGACTTTAGTTGCCAGCCATCGAGACGCCATCGGTCCTGGACGGGAGCTTATCCCGGCAGTGCGTGTCCAGGCCAGCAAAAAAGACAAGCAGAACCAGGAGCCAGCAGCCAGCAGCCAGCAGCCAGAAGCCAGAGCCAGGGTGAGTAGGACGACGACGACAACAGCGATGTCGCCAGGCAGTCTGGCGCCAATAAAGTTTACACTCAGTTGCCACATTTCGTTTATGGGCAAGTTCAGCTTCCGCTTTATCAAGCGACAGACAATTTTCGCCATTTTTTCCATGGCCCTCCTCCGCCTCCCTGCCGCCCCGTTTGAGTATTCAAAATTTATGCTATATGCGTCGGTCGTCCTTTGGCTTTTCGGGGGTAGCTCTCTTTTCCGAAAGGAAAGGGGGATCGGGGAGTTCGGCAATAAAGCCCAAAGAAATTGCTGCAAGCCAAAGCGGAAGTTCAAAAGGGAGTCGGTGGAACCGTTGCCCCGCTTCCTGTTTGCCGCCATCATAGCGAATACCCTTGGGTTGTGGGTAAGTACCACGATTTTTGGATGAAGGAAGTCCATTTGCAAGTTCTTTTTCAGTAAGAGGTCCTTCTTGGCAGACAGATCTATGCCTTGCTAAAAAATCTTTGAGGATCGAGGTTATATCTCTTGTGGAATATTTTATAAATAATTAAGACTAGTGGTTTTCAGGCCCTGTTTCAGGGAAGAGTGTGTCACCAATTTGCCCCGCCATTCCTGGACATCTTCGGTGTCCTTTGTCTCTGTTTGCTCCGCTGAATTCCTTTTCGGTTTGTCGTGTTGTTTTTTTTTTTTTTTTTGGCATAACAATGAACGTCCGTTTTTGTGAGTCTCGCGGCTTGCGACTCGGCGACGTCACTTCATTTTGTTTGTTTCTTGTTGTCGCCGTCCGACATCGTTTTTGCCTCCATTCTGGGCTTTTATTATTGTCTGCTTAGCGCTGTAAAGTATGCTATTAAATTGGCCCCCGCTAGAGTCCACTTTTGGGACCAGAAGGGGTCTCCCCTTTCCGATTTGCAGACTCATCTCCCAATGATTCCTCAACAGATTGCACCGAGCACCGACCCCTTTGGCCCGGCCCTCAGTCAATTCAGTCATTTGGCAAATTCGCTTTTATGCTGCAACAGCAACTTAATTTATTGTTATAACAGTTCTATTTCTATTTTTCATCGACCCCACAATTTTCGGGTATTTGTGCAGTGAAAGAATTACTTTCTCTTGAATTTTCTTTGCTAAACATTAAAATAATGTAATGATCTAAGAACTTAATAAGACTTGTATATTTCTTGTATTTTAATTTTGAATAATAAAATAATTAAGTATAGTACCAATTAAACTCTAAACAACATTTGCTGAGAGAGTGTTAGGTTTTATCGTCTTTTTATTATATTATTTCTTTAAACATTATTAAAAAATATACTTAAATTAAATTGTCTGATTATTATATATATTTTCTACATTTTCAGGCTCTTTTTCTGGCAGTGCATCAACAAAAAATGGAATGGCAAAGACAGTCAGTCTGTCGCCACAATTGTGTGTACACGGCCAATGGTTTATGGGTTCCTGTTGGCCATTCAAATGTGGAATCTGGCTCTCGGTCTATTGTCTCTATCTCTACCCGATCCCGATCCCTAACCCAGTCCCTAAACCCAACCCGAAACCCACTCTATTTATGTACAACTATATCTTTTGACCCCTTTGGCATTCGGAGGCATTAGGCCTTTGTGCCAGCTTCAAGCTGCTTTAAGGAGTTTGTCAATCTAAGAACTAAATGAGAAGATATAGAGAAGGAAGCTGGACTAAGTTGCTATAAGTTTCTAAGTTTCGTCTAGTTGTCTTTATTTTTCTCATAATCAAATTGACTTGTTATTAATGAACTTTACAATTTATATATGGAACACTCCCCCAACCTTACCCTCTCAACTCTGAATGTTTTCTCTCTACGCCCCAGTGACCTCATAAAAAAAGACAAATTAAGTGCCGGACGGAGTCACTAGTCACTTTCTTATCAATAACAAGAGCGTTTAGATGGCTAAATTAACTCGGTTTCCCTCGACATTTGCATAACCAGCAATTAAGTTGAACGTTAAATCAGAGCCTGAAACTGAATCTCAATCTGAATCTGAATCTGAATCACAATCAAGTGGGCTGAGGTGGAGGCGGATTTGTTGGTATTATTATTATTCGTTTGTTTGCCTTTCTCGTGCATGAAAATGGCGTAAAGATGGAATGTTTGGCTATCAAAAGCTAGGGAAATGTCCTCGACTTTGGTCAGGATACGCCGGGTTACACAGTCACGCACAGCAGTGCTGTCAAGTTGTCCATTTTCTGGCATTACTTTAGCTTTTTTATAGGGTATATTTTACATATTTTTTAACTAGTATAAATTACTTAATTATTCAAAATCAATAGATTTATAGGACTTTAGTTTGTCATAGAATCCTTTTAGCTGTTTAATTGTTACAGCTTTAAATAAATTGTATAGTTTTTCAATAAAATCCAACTACTCTAAGAATATATTTGTATATTTTTATATTATTTATAAGCCTTATTTTATAAATTTATATTTTTCTTAACCTCTTCATTAAACACGTTTCTTTGTACCTTTTTTAGCTTATTTTGAAGTAAACTATCAGCACTATCCCCGCATACATATATCCTGCCGCATATCCTGGCAATGCCGTGCGTGGGTCCCATCAAAAGGCAAACACGCCCGGCAACATTTCAATGTCTAAATGAATTAAACAGGCCAAACAAAGGACCCAAATGGGGGGACGCCAAAGGATGTGGGGCGGGGTTAGCCCTTTTATGTGTAAATTATGGCTTCAATATTATATTGACAATGAATCAATAAAGGAAATGTCCTTAAAATTAATAGGCGACATTTTGATATAGAATTACTCGCTGTGTCATCGCTTTTAATTAAAATCTCCAGACGAGGGCGCGGATATATTGTATGTGCGTGTGTGTATATGGGTATGCTTATATATCCTGGCATGTCCTCGGCAAATTTATTGCTTCCTGCGAAGCGCTGATTAGTATCTGAAGCGCTGCCTTCAGTTTATCAAACTGTCGCCTTGGCAGTCCCCGAAGATTGACGACCATAACTCCCCCATTTTCTCACATTTTCTCCCTTTCCTCCCTCCCCCAAGGTCCCCGCGTTCCTTTCCCTATAAAAAAAAAACGCTTTCAGCGAGTTAATTTACTCGCAAACATTCGATCAGATTTTCTGGGTTGTGTTGTTTGCTCATTTTTCACTTAAATTTTTAATTTGTTTTGCTGAGAGCTCGCGCTGAATTGCGATGGAAAGCGCATTAAAACTGATTAGCTGCATAATGCATGGCTGGGAAAAGTGCGGAAAATTTGCGGAAAACTGCAGGTAGTCGAGAGAGAGACAGAGAGAGAGAGAGAGAGAGTGACAGGGAAGCATTTTTAAACGTATTGCCAGCTCTGAACTTTGCTTAAATTCCAAAGAATTGGTTATTTGGCTTATGACACTAACTTCTTTTTAACTAAGTTTAACTAAATTTTAATTTTAATATTTGCTTTTCTTAAATCGAAATTAATCAATATTTTAAAGGGGATCATGATTTATTTTCCTCTCCAATAAACCCCTTAAAGAGTCTAGTGTCATAATACCATCATTTTTGAATTCCTTCATTCTGATATTTCTTTTTTTCGATTTGAACTGTAATTTAAATTTGAATTTAATTCAAAAAATAAACAATTAATTTTCTATAAAAAATGACACACCTAATATTCTGCAGATGAAAGTTTCCCTGGCTTTTTAGTCAGCTATTTACATTTTCACAAAGGCAAAGCCAACAAATTAACCCGCAAAATGAGGAACAGAAACAATTTCCAAGCCATTACATGTTTTTTTTTTGTTTTTTCTAAATAGTTGTTCAACTTTTTCCATTCCTCTTCCTTGACCAAGAAACATTGTACGAATTCCGCACTTCATTTCGCTTCTCCATTTTATTTTTGCGTGAAATACTTTTGTTGCTTCCTGGTGCCAAAAATAAAATTCCCATTTCATCTTCTCGGGTAAATTAAAAAATGGGTCAGAGCAAATAATAGGAAGGGAATGGGTATTGGGAATGGGAATGGGAATGGGAATTGGGAATGCTGAAGGGAAATAAACGTTCAACTCACGCGATGAGTTAACAGCAAAAGTTGATGTTTGTGCTGCTGGTTGATTTGTTATTTTTTCGCATGCTGCGAAAAATGCGTTTAAATGCTCTCGAAAGCGTTGATTGAAAAGCAATTTAACTCATATAAGGATCTTGGCGGAGGAAAATAATACCCAAAATAAGAGAGAGAAAGAGAAGGAGCAATGAGCTCCAGAAACAAACCAGTAAAATCCCAAAAGACAACAGTTTTTAAGAGCCAAAATTGGGTTTTATGTATAAACATTTAAATATTAAAAAACAACTTCAAATAGTAGATAAATTTCCGTTTAAAATGATATTAATAACGGTACCCTCTTTTTGTTTTTTTAATATAAAGAGTTCTCTTTGACCTGTAAAGCATCTTTAAGTTGTACCTACAACTTGCTTAAAATTTCTCCAGGTGCACCTCAGGAGTTAATTGGCCAAAAGCTCATGTTCAGGTGAAGGGAAACCCTGGTAAAGGCTAGCAAATAGAACGCTTGAAAACCATAATTTGGCTAAAACCGTCTAGACATTCGCCGCTCGCAACTAACCAACTATCTTAATTTGTTGGTGCCAACAAACTTTTACCAACTTTGGCTTCAAACTCCATTGGAGAGACCAAGAAAAAAAAACAAGAAAGGAATGGCGGGCCAAGACCGGGGGAAAAGTGGCTGAAAAGCTGAAAAGAAAAGCGCCGAATAAGGCTCAAGAGGAAGTTGTGGTGGTGGTGGTGCTGCTGCTGCTTGGCATATACAATTTCGATAATAAGCAACAGTATCCACAGTGCACTTTCCTGTTCCCACCGAGGGGGCAGCAGGGGTAAAGGGGTGAAAGGTGTACACAAACACACACGTGTGTGTGCAGTTTTAGAGGGGAGAGACTAATGCGAGTCACGTCAACGCCGCTACATGCGAAATCGTTTTTTGAAAACTTTTTCCAGCTTTGGGAAAAGGGAACTTCATCCTGAAAATATTTGCGGTGGCTCAATTAGTGGCACTGGCCTTAAAAAGGGGACCTAAAGAGTCTCGATTAATTTTAAAATTCTTGGTAATATTTACAAGTACAAAAACAGCTTGAAGTTTAAGTAAACACCAAACATTTAGCCAATAAAATCAATCAAATCTTTGCATTAAATGAAGGCTAGCCTTTCCTGATTAACTATATATATTATATTTCGGGAATATAAAGAATTATCCTGTCTCTGGACTCACTCAGCAGATTGAGACAGCCACTTAAGCTCGATCGGTGGTCAAATCGAGGCGTTTACCACCGCTGGCTGACATATTGGCACTTCTTAATGCCAACAGACAAAAGGACAATCAGCTAAGCACTAAACACTTGGCGGAGCGGGAATAGGGGAAAGTGGAAAGCCGGAAAAGTGGGTAGAGTCTCACTCAATGGCTCTGGGCTCTTAGCTCTTGCCATGTCAAAGTGATTTTTCACCTCAAGGGCAAATTTAACACAATAATTTGCACAATTTGTCAAAACAACCCTCCGGCTAAATGGTATCATAAACCACCGAGTCCCTTTTGGCCACAGACTGTGTGCGTGGGTGTGTGTGTGTGTGTGTGTGGGTGTGTGTGTGGGAGAGTTGATTGTCCTGCATGCATTTCAGCCATAGCTCGCCTGTGTTACGGCCCACAAAAAGCTTTCCGCTTTTCCTGGCTGACTTTTCGTACCCCGCCATACATTTTTATGGGACGACTTCCACGGAAAAGGCCTTCGGATTATTATCAAGGCCCCCGTTTTGGCCACGTTCGTATGATTATTTGGATTTTAGATTTTAAGTAAGCTGATTGGTAAATAAAATATACATAGTTTCAACTATGCTTTTAGGGGGTTTCCTTTGATTTTTAGACACTTTAAAATTAAATTGAAATATTGCAACAATTATAGTTTCAGTATTACTTTCTTATACTATTTCAAAATCCCTTAAAAACCAACACAGACAGGCTTTTTGGTTTCAAAATTATGTATTTTTGGCTAAGTTATGATTTTTTAAACTTTGACCTGTGCAAAAAATCATAAAAAAATATTTTTGCATGCTGCTTGGCTTTCTTTCTTGTTTTAAAATACATTTCCAAACTTCTTAAATAGGATTTTTTTGTATTTCCAACAAAGATGGAACTGAAATCATGTTTAAAAAAAATTAAACAACATTTTAGGGATTAGAAATTATAATAAAAAATCTACCTCAAAAATGTAAATGTGAACAAATATAAAATATATTTTTTATATTTACGAAAAGAGCATTTGCAGTTTGGTTTCAAGGTTTCCGAGTCTCAATTTAATATTTTCATTTAAAAAATTATGCTTCTTGGTCTAAGTTATCATTTTTTAAGCTTTGATCTGTTGGAAAAAAAATGATAAAAAAATATTTTGGAAAGCTGCAAGTCTATAAAAACTTTGCCTTCCCAATGTTAGCGTACTTTTCTGATTTTTAAACATTTTAACAAACTTCTTTATTAAAAGCTAGAGATTTTCTTGTATTTCCAAACAAAAGATGGAACTGTAAAAAAATATTTAAAAATTTTATAATAAAAAGTTCCACCTCAAAAAATATAGATATAAATGTACAAAAAATGCAAAATACATTTTATATTTACGAAAAGAGCATTTGCAGTTGGCTTTTTCTGGTTTCGAGTTTCATTTTTAATATTTTCATATTTATGGCTGGCAATGTTTTGTCGCCATTTCACGCACACACACACACATACACACCGGGGCTTCCCCTGTTTGGAATTTTCAGTGTTTTCACGCCCATTTTCCACTGGCCTCTCTCACTCACACGTTTTTCAGTTTTGCACTTTTGCAGTTTATGCAATTTCAGTTTCGCGTTCGGTTGTTGTTTTTCCCACTCGGTTTTTGTTGTCTGACCGCAGTGTGGCATTGTTGTTCTTGTTGTTCTTGTTATAGTTGCTATTGCTATTGTTGTTGTTTTGTTAGTTGCCCCGATTATTTTTATTTGCACTTGTTTATGCTGCAATTTTTATAATAAACGCCATCGTGTCCGCGTCCTGACAAGTTTTCAGCCTGATTTTCCGCGGCCCTGCTCGATCCGTCTGCGGTTTTTATCACTAATGCGCTCTGTTTTCGATGTATGTAAAAACATTATGAATACAAGATTTAAATTTATATAAATAAAGCTATATGATGCGCAGTGTATATTGAGGGGAAAAAATTCCTGGAATTAAATCATGAGCCTGATGAACTGTCTCGGTGTAGCTTTGCCGCTTTTAATTCTTTTTTGAGTATTTCAAATGTGTTTCTCTGTTCGTTTTTGTTGCCACTTCAATTTGTAATAATTGTAGCCACAGGAAAAAAATATATATATATTTGTATTTATGAAAAGTTTCCCAAGGCAAGAGCTTGTTGAAAGTTTCCTTCAGTTTGTAGATACGTTTTGCCTCAGGTTTACTTAGATTTTTCTTATTTCGATCGGATTTAAGTAGGAAATCTGAGGCTTAAATTGTTTTCATTTCAATTAAAAATTTATGAAGACTGAGAGTAAAGTGCTGTAAATATATTTATTTGAATTTTCGGAATTGAATCTATAATTCCAGTTTTCTTGTTTGAAATATTTTTGGGCCAGAGGTCAGAGGTTGAGCTACTTGAACGTTAATTTGTTTCCACTTGCAACTGTTTTCCTCACATTTTTAGTGAAAATATATTTATGTTTTCCCCTCCACTTCCACTTCCACTTTCCTTTCCCTTTTATTTTTTTGGCCACTTGTGTTTGGAGTGGGCGTTTGGGTATGTTTTTGTGTGCTACAAAATGCATTAACTCAGCTAAAGTTGTCCAAGAACATCCTGCCACACGTCCTTTGTCCGCCGGCTCCAGAGTCCTTTTGTCCCAGCAGACTCTGCTTTTTGTCCCTGTCCGCTTGATCCCTCGTCCCTTTTCTCTGTTTGTGGCAAGTGTCGGTGCGTTTTTGTTGCGGTTCTGGGATTCGACTCCGCATTCTATCTATATATGTGGATGTACTATATGTATGTGTCCGGGAGTCACTGCTTGACAGGAGTGTAAGAGTGTGTGTGCCTGCCAAAATCCTTTTAAACTTGCCTCGCAAAACATTTTACATTCGATGACGTTTTCATTGCAAGATGCAACGTCAACAATAAACACAAACACACTGAGAGAAAGTTCTGTGGGAATGTGTAACTGGAATCTTGTAGTTAAACCAACATTATTCTTGTTGGATTCTTATATTTAAAAAACAATGCTTTATTCCCTTTTGTATAACTTTATTATTTCTTATTCATACTTAAAACCTAAACCCTTCAAAGAATGCTTGTTATTGGCTGAAACTTAGCTGCAATTGTTACTCGACATTTTCCTCAGCGCATTCCTCTGGCAAAATCAAATTTGCTATCAAAAAAAAAAAAGGGGGAAAAAATAGTAGAAAGCAGAAAGAAATCGGGCTGAAAAAGAAAGTAAAGTCCAGTGCCTGGCCCGTAGCCCGAGAATTGAGTGAGTGAGGAGAGCCCCAGTGGGGTCCCTTCGGGCCTCATCCCTTCGATCCCTTTGTTGGGCATATTTCACTTACCGGAACTGCAGAGCAGAACGATTGCTGAGCAAGCGATAAATCCTGCCGTGGAGCAGCAGAATGTGTGTCCTGGCGGCATCGCTGTCTCTCTATTTTGGGGTATAGCTTTTGGTAGTGGATCTGGAGGAGTCACTTTTCTATATATGTATATTTTTTATGCTTTTTACTTTTTCTTGATTTTGTGATTTGAATTCTCTCTTGCGTTGCGTTTTTAGGTTTTTTACTGGTGGGTTGGATTGCGCACACAAAGTCTGCTGTTAGATCTGGCACTTGAGTCTCGAATCGGTCAGCTTGGGCCTCCTCGGCTTCAGTTTGGAATTCGGTTTCAGTTTCAGTTTCGATTTCAGTTTCAGTTTCATCTTAATTTCCATCTTCATCGCTCAACTGATGCTGGGCCAATGGCCCGCCGCCCCCGCCGCCTCTTTGCATATATGCAAATTTTAATTTCCGCTACTGGCATCCTTCATTTCCGTCCTTCAAGCGTTCTTTCTTCCCACTCACACGGCTCCTTCTCCCGCTCTCTCTCTCTCTCTGCCTCTATCTCTGTCTCGACACTTTGCACTTGAAAAAAATGTTGAAAATAAGAAGAACTAGCTGACCGTTCACCGAGAATATTTCGCGCTTCTTCGAGTATCGCCAGAACGCAGTTGCAAGGGACACGCGTCCGCCTGTGCCTGATGCCGAATTGAAACTGAACTGAACTGTCAGTGGCATCAGCGCCAAAGGATATGCAACGTCCTGTCGGCAGGCGCGCAGCAGCAGCAGCACTTGCCGCCGCAGCAGCAGCAGCACAAGCACCAACACCGTCGTCCTAGTCGCTGGCCGAATGAATATTCGGCTTGCGGGGTGTGTTTCGGGGCCAAGGACGAAGCCACACGAAGGCCGGCGAAGGCCAACGAAGTCTGTTAGCCGAGGGCACACGACTAGGAGTTGGAATTAGAAAATACTGGGTCTGGGCACCCGGCGCCACGAGTCCTTGTGGGAACACTGTGAAGGAATTCGAGGAAATACTGGTGAATATTATGGATGTTGCTTTTGCAGGAACATATAATAGGAACACCACATTGAATATGATAACAAGAGCCCAAGAAAATCCAACTGGGAACAATCATAGAGAAAGTAGTAAATATTAATATTTAGATTTGTTGTACCAATAGAATACTTCTAGTCTGAGTTCGAGTTATATTTTTGTTGCGAAATTAAGAAGAAGGTTAATTTGGTAGTTTAAACCATACATTTTGTCTACAAAATTGGGTTAAATTGTTAAATAAAAAATATAAAAACTGTTAAATTAATTAAAGCTCAACATGAGAATTAGTTAAAGGTGTTATGTTCCAAATTTCAAAAACATTGGTTTAATAGATTTCGAAAAGCGCTTAAAATTTTGTGATACTCGTTTATTGAACACCAAACGAACTACGTCCAAGTACCCAAAACTTTATCAGTTTTGCTTTAAACGATGTGAAACTTTAATACAACATTCTTAAGATATAGGGCTTTTATAATAATAAATAATAATATATAATATATAATATATGAATAATAATATACGTAAGTTTTAAAATTCAGCAAGATTTTTATCATCACCAACTCTTCCCTATTTTCTTTAGACTCTTAAATATATATCTAATCAGTGGGATATTTATTATATATGTTTATAAAAGGAGTAAGAATAGTAATACATTTTTTAAGAATTTATAAACAACATATTTTCCCTAAGAAATATTAGTTATTAATTATTATAAGCAACTTTAGCACAGTGTTTGCAAGACAATACAAGACTGTTCCCAGGGTTATCTCTTATACAAGGACTACACTCTTCTATTAGGTCGCTTGGCTTCGTTGGCGCTGAGGTCGTGGCAAAAGGACACGAGGTGCTGGCGTCGCTGCCGACGCCTGCGCGACTTTGGGACGACGAGTGGCAAGGATCCGGCGAATTACAGCGCTTGGTAGCCACGTGCTAGGAGTGCGCTGTGTTGTCCTGATTGTCCTGGGTTATGGTTGTGGCTTTTTTCTCCCTTTTATTTTTTTGTAGATTTTTTGTTGTTGCTGTTTACTTCTATTTTTTTTGTTATCCTGGCGCTTCCTTTGCACTGCTGCTGTAGTCCTGCTGGCAATCAGCGAAACGTTACGTGCGTTGCCTGTTTTTTGTGCTCCAGGACCGGGGCCCAGGGGTGGGGGGGCACCTTATCAGTGGCGAAGAAGAAGAAGGCGAGGACTCGTCCTCGGAGTCCTTCGTCCTGTGCCGTTCGGCGGGAGTCGTCGTTTCTTCTTCAGCTTGATATAAATTCTTATTGGCGCATTACAAATTGTCGTCCTGTGAGTGTGTGTGTGTGGGAGGGCGCACATAATGTAATCGCCTTACATAACAAGGATATGGGGGGACAGGACATAAGGACATAAGGCATAAGCAATTTTTCGTCTTGCCTGGTGACAACACAGACAGCACAGATTTGGGCCTTTGTTTTGCCAGTAATTAGATTTTCACCTCATTTGCATACAAATGAGAGCGAGTGTCGAGTCGATGAATCGCAAATCAGGACGAGAATCGGCGAGTGCGCATAAATTAGCGAAAAATAATATATATGTATATGATATATAACTATATATGGGGAGGGGGATTGAATAACATATTAATGTGCGGGCTAAACGCTTACACAGTATCCATTTTAAAACCCAAAATCGAATCGTATCGACAGCAACTAATCCATAAACTCTCTCTCACCGCGTAATTCAATTCAAATGTCTCGCTGCATTATTAACGGCATTTCAATCAAAGTCACTCGGCGGCAGTTGGCCCAAAACCACCCCCCCCGGAAGCCAATTCACTTGACATTGCAATTGAATGCGAAGGCAGCCCCACAAGAGCAGCTAATGGTAACAATAACGAAAATCCAACAAAAATCCCACATAGCCCTTTAAATACTCTGTTTTTGATTCGTCAGAGGGGCAGATATTTCGGGTATATTTAACTTAAAATCGTTTAGGGTTCATTTTTTATTATTATTTAAGTTTTTCTTACTGCAACCTTAAAACAAAAACTTTAAAAATATTATAATAACAGTTTTATTCTAAATTTTGTACCTAACAAATTGTATTGCATACTTTTAGACACATTTTAAAGAGGTTTAAAACCCTAGTGATATATGGGAAACACTAAAACGGACCCTTTGAGTAGGGAAAAGGGAATTTTCGTCATAGTTTTTTGCTTTATTATTTGATTTTTACGGAAACACTATATTAGCCTGACTTCTGAATTCTTCGTAAAGGTAATCCGCAGTGTGCTGCAGATTGTAATAATTATTTATATATTTATTTAATACTTATTTTTATACCCTTGCAGGGTATTATAATTTCAGTCAGAAGTTTGCAACGCAGTGAAGGAGACCTTTCCGACCCTATAAAGTATATATATTCTTGATCAGCATCAACAGCCGAGTCGATCTAGCCATGTCCGTCTGTCCGTCTGTCCGTCTGTCCATCTGTCCGTCTGTCCGTCTGTCCGTCTGTCTGTTTCTACGCAAACTAGTCCCTCAGTTTTAAAGCTATCTGAATGAAACTTTGTATAGGGTCTTCTATATACTCTCACTGCTATATATGTCGGAACGGGCCAGATCGGACGACTATATCATATAGCTCCCATACAAATGTTCGATAAATTTTTAGAAAAAAAATTATAACTTAGCTGTTTTTCAACATTTTTGCACCATTTTTTAGATATGGCCATTTTATATTATCCGAAAAGTGCTTGTCAAACTGTAAAAGTTGAATCTCACTTCGACCAGTGCTTATCAAACTGTAATCTGAACTTCCGCCTAAAAGATGCCACGTTTTTAATAGAAAACCCCAAAAGTATGCTTTAATTTTTTAATAATGCTAATGAGCATCCTGTGATGCAAGTGAGCAAAATTTTTCATTCAATTTGGCCGCTTTCCAGACTGCGGTAACAGGCGAACAGAAACCAGCAGCAAGCAACTGAAAACTGGTATAAACTGTTATAAAAACTTTTGGGCAAATATAATAATTGGTATAAACTGTTATATTTCATTTTATGCATTTATACCTATTTGTTGCCGACAACAACAGCTTGATGGCAACAACAACCCCTTTACAACAACATCCCTGCAGCAGTCCATACAAATTTCTGAAATTTTCCATGCAAATTGCCCGTTTCCCAAATTGGGATAACAGGCGAACAGAAACCAGCAGCAAGCAACTGAAAACTGGTATAAACTGTTATAAAAAGTCCAAGTTTCGAACCATTGATCTTGGAGTAAGCGAAGACTCAAACCAGATGTGACCATATTGTACATTTTTTGGCTAAAATGTTGCTTAAATGCACCTGGGCACACTGAATCTGACTTTGCATCAGTGATGCTCATCTATCTATTTTGTCCCAATAAAGAAATATAGCTAGATGGGCATCACTGCTATTACGCCTGATATATTGCCTCCCAATATTGCAAAATAGCTACATGAGCATCACTGATGCAAAGTCTGATTTTATAGCCTCCCAATATTGCAATATAGCCAGATGAGCATCACTGCCATTAAGCCCGATTTTATAGCCTCCCAATATTGCAATATAGCTAGATGAGCATCACTGATGGAAGTGAGCATCACTGATGGAAGTGAGCATCACTGATGGAAGTGAGCATCACTGATGGAAGTGAGCATCACTGATGGAAGTGAGCATCACTGATGGAAGTGAGCATCACTGATGGAAGTGAGCATCACTGATGGAAGTGAGCATCACTGATGGAAGTGAGCATCACTGATGGAAGTGAGCATCACTGATGGAAGTGAGCATCACTGAAGGAATTGAGCATCACTGATGGAAGTGAGCATCACTGATGGAGATGAGCATCACTGATGCAAGTGAGCAAATTTTTTCATTCGATTTGGCCGCTTTCCAAACTGGGGTAACAGGCGAACAGAAACCAGCAGCAAGCAACTGAAAACTGGTATAAACTGTTATAAAAACATTTGGGCAAAAATAATAATTGGTATAAACTGTTATATTTCATTTTATGCATTTATACCTATTTGTTGCCGACAACAACAGCTTATGGCAACAACAACCTTTTTACAAAAACAATCCCTACAGCAGCCAATCCAAATTTCCGAACATTTCCATGCAAATTGCCCGTTTCCCAAATTGGGGTAACAGGCGAACAGAAATCAGCAGCAAGCAACTGAAAACTGGTATAAACTGTTATAAAAAGTCCAAGTTTCAAACCATTTCGGAGCCGGCGGAAGTAAGCGGAGACTCAAACCTTTTGAATCCAAATTTAGGTGTTATTTTACAACTGCACCTGGGCACACTGAAACTGATCGTCGTTAAATTCAAATTTGACAGTTAAATTCAAATTCAAACTTGGCAGTTAAAATATTTAAAAATTTTTTTAAAATTCTAAAAAAATTTTAAAAATCCAAAAAAATAAGTTAAAATATTAGAAAAAAAGAAGACATGAGCTTCTGGTATTTTATCAGAATTTTGGTATAA